GAAAGTGAAAGTTTTGATTCTTTTACAGTAAGAGTAAAGCACGAAGCCAAAACATGTGAATTTTCTTGCACCAGTGAAACTTGTACAGTCAAGAATATCCTCACCAGAGACCAAATCATCATTGGAACATCGAATAATGAAATTCGCAAAAATGCCCTAAAGAACCAGTGGGACCTTGATAATCTGATTAAAGGTGGGAGACAACTGGAGGCAGCAGCAAGAGGGGCACAGAGAATCCATGAAAATAGTGAAGCACCTGTCTCCAGAATAAAGAGACCAGGAAAATACTCCAGAAAAGGGTCAAAATCAAAATATGAAGGAAAATTGCGAGAGAAATATTCCAACTGCCCAAATTGTTTATCGAGAGTATGTAAAGGAGGAAAGCAGTGCCCAGCAGCAAATCGTGAGTGCTTTGACTGTGGTAAAACAGGACATTTTAAAGGCTCGGCAATATGTAAAAAGAAGAGAGAGAAGATTAAACCTCGCACTCGGCGGGTAGAGAGCAGTAGCAGTAAGGATGAAAGCTCTGATACTGAAACATGCACATCTGAAAGTGACTCAAGTTCTAGCCAGAATATTAACCGTATACGGTTCATGAAGAATGTTACAAAAATACGACGCATGCGTATTTGCCAGCAGATGCGCAAAACATCAGAAAAATCACGCTATCAAGTTGAGGTGATAATTAAAGAGGGAAGAGTAAGTGCATTTGCTGACACAGGGGCGGATATTTGCGTAATGTCTAGGAAACAAGCTCAAGCTTTGGCTTTGCCCCTTGGAAAAACGAAGATGAAAATACGCCCATATGGATCAAAATCAGTAAAATGTTGTGGTTACTATATAGGCACAATCATGCATGGAGAATCAGTTGCCAATGCATGCATATACGTGGTCAAACAGGATCTTGAAACTTTGCTCAGTGGAAGAGTTTCAGAAGAGCTAGGAATCATAACATTTAACCCAACTCCAGATAACCAACAACCAAGTATTCGGCGCAACACAGAAATCAGAGATGACGTTAAAGCAAGCATTATTTCGCAATATCCAGAGGTATTTACAGGTATTGGTACATTAAAAGACCATTTTGTGAAGTTTCACATAAATGAAAATATTCCCCCAGTAGCTGCACCGGCCAGACCTGTTCCATTTCATTTACGGAAGAGATTTGAGAAAGAGATACAGACCATGGAAGAGAACAATATAATAGAAGAACATATAGGACCAGCACCATGGATTTCAAATGTAGTGCTCGCCCCAAAAGATGATGGTAGTATTCGGGTCACTGTTGACATGCGTCAAGCAAACCGGGCAATTGAATCAACAAACATTCCAATTCCCAGAGTAGAGGACATTAAAACACAACTTGCAAGGTGTCAACATTTTTCTAAACTTGATTTTAAGTCTGCATTCCATCAACTGGAGCTTGATGAAGAGTCTAAGAAGATCACAGTGTTTCATGCAGGTGACAGACTGATGCGGTATCGAAAACTTACTATGGGCACGAAACCAGCCTCTGGCGAGTTGAAAAAGGCGCTTCTTCCGCTATTTCAGCCCATTCAAGAAGCACATGTTATCCATGATGACCTCATCATAGCAGCCAAAACAAAGAAACAACATGATCATGCATTAAATCGCGTCCTTCAAGTAATTGCAAAATCAGGAATGACTTGAATCCTGATAAATGCATGTTTGATAAGGAGGAAATTCCATTCTGGGGACTACGTGTCTGCAAAGATGGTATTAAACCGGACCCAGAAAAGGTCAAGGCATTGCAACATGCCTCACGCCCACGTTCAAAGGATGAACTACAATCTTTCCTCTGTATGATCCAGTCAAATAAAGACTTCATACCAGACTAGCAAGCAAAACAATGAACCTTCGGATGCGAACAAAGAAACACAGTCGCTTCACTTGGGATAAGGAGTGCCAAAGAGAATTTGACAGGTTGAAAGTTGCATTCAGAGAAGACACTCTTCTCCGCCATTTCAATCCTGAAGAGGATACATTTATTTTTGTGGATGCGCATCTTTCAGGACTATCTGCAATTCTGATGCAAGAAGAGACAAGTGATAGTGCAAAGCCAGTAGCATTTGCCAGCCGTGCCACAACCCCAGTAGAGCAGAGATACCCACAGCTAGACTTAGAAGCACTAGCCATTGACTTTGGATTGCGTCGGTTTCGCTACTTTATTGCAGGAGGTCCTGAGATCAAAGTCGTTACAGATCATAAGCCCCTGGTAAGCATTTTTTCTAATGCTAGAAAAGGGTCGGTCAGAACAGACCGGATAAAGCTGCGTCATCAAGACATGAAATATAGAGTAATCTGGAAGGAAGGGAAAGTTAACCCAGCTGATTACCTTTCCCGACATGCAACACCAATTAGTAGCATCAGCAGAGATCAACAAAAAGAAACCAGTGAACTAGAAAAAACGGTCTGGCTTCTTCAATATGCTCCATACACCGAGTCCATTTCTATGAGTCGAATCATCGATGAGACAGATAAAGACAAAACACTTCATGAGTTGAAGAAATACATTAGAAAGGGATATGTACCAAAGACAAAGGGTAATCTCGCTCCATTCAAAAAGATCTTTGCGGAACTTACCATCTCAGATGAGGAACTGATAATGAAAGGAGAACGCATTATTCTTCCTGAGAGTTTGTGGGACATTGCCCTTGTAAAAGCCCACCAGGGAGGTCACCCTGGAATGAACAGCCTTAAACGCCGCCTACGCAGTCATTTCTGGTTCCCAAAAATGAACCAAAAAGTGGAAGAGAAAGTGGCATCCTGTAAAGAGTGTCAACTATTTACAAACAAGACAATGCACGAACCCATTCAATCTCACAGAACGCCGGAACATGCATGGCAAGATGTAAGCATTGATCTGTTTGGTCCTATGCCCGACAGTAAGCATGTGTTGGTAGTTCTGGATAAAATGAGTCGATTTCCTGCAGCAAAGCTTGTCCCAAACACCGCAGCTAAGCCTGTCATTAAAGCATTGGATGACATTTATACAGATTTCGGTTATCCTGAAATGCATCGCACAGACAATGGACCACCATTTGATTCAAAAGCATTTGCTGAATTTTCCCAAGGCAGCGGTATTGATCATGTTAAAACCTTCCCGTATCACCCACAAGCAAACCCTGCAGAAACATTTATGCGTCCTCTCGGGAAAGCGTTAAAGGCGGCCCATTTCAATAAAAAGGATAAACATACAGCTATTAAGGAAGTCCTAGCAACATATCGGGCGACGCCTCATCCTGCAACGGGAGTACCACCGGGAGATCTCTTGCTTCGTAGTGGGTATCGAAAAGATTTTCCGCGACGGCAACTGACTGAGCAACAGATACGCGAGGCTCAGATGCAAGACAGAGCACAACGTATGTCTCGAGAGGACCAAATGAACAGGTCGACCCATAGAAAGAAGTCCATCTACACTCCAGGGGATCTTGTGTACATACGGAACATGCAGCGGTGCAAGTTTGATCCCATCTTTGGGCCAGAGCTGTATAAAGTCCTGTGCACAGAAGGTAGCGGCCTGTTACTAGAAAGTTTGGCTGATAATAAAAGTTTCAGAAGGCACTGTGATGACGTAAAGCCTGCAGTTAGCCAAGGAAAAATCGAGGACCATACTATTTGGATAGAGAACCAAGCCCATCAAACAGAAAACGCGAACAACCAAGATCCGGTTCCAGACATGACAGAAGAGCCAGTAATTGCCCAGCTGGCGTTACTGCGCAACATCCAAATGAGGACAGGGCTACAAGACCTCGGAGGGAAACTCGTTTACCTGCTAGGTTCAAAGACTACGTCCGTTACTAAAAAAGGGGAAGTGGTGTTGTGTCCGCCATTTTTGGGTTGTTGTTGTTGGAAGAGGAGGAGGAAGGCAGAAGGAGGGACTGCAGAGACTGACTGAGACTGTTTGCTTTGCAACTGTTATAATGTGATACTTGTTGTGTTATTTACATATATACATCAACAGCAAAAGGATGATGTCTGGTTTTCTTGTCTCGGAGACTTTATAAAGTAGACGAAAAAGAAGACAAAATATAAGAAAAAAGAAGGGAAGGAAACAGAAGGAGAAGAGGAAGTAGAAGAAATTGATGAGGAAGAAGAAGATGAAGCCAAGAGAAAGAATAAGATGACGACAAAGATGTGGAGGAAGAAGAGGAAAAAGAGGTAGAGGAAGAAGAAGAGGGAGAAGAAGACGAAGAAGAAAGAGAAAAAAGATGAAAAGACAAAAAAGAAGTAGGAGATGAAAGGGGGGAGAAAAGGTGATGAAGGAGTAAAAATGAAGCGAATGGCAAGACATTCGTTTAGCTTGCTGAACTTCATGTTCAATGCTAAACCATTGACGTAAAACATATATGGCAAAAGTCTTTATCTAGAGCAGTTTTTGTAGAATCTTAGCTAATGATTCTGTAGTCGGAGAGAAAAAAGATGTTGTTGGATGTAAAGGTAGTTTCAAGGGCAAAAGTCAAGAAATGTTTATAGCGCACACAGAATGTATGTACAGGTGGATGAGGTTCTACAAAGACTACAATTCAAGCTTAGTTCAGATTATAATGTTGCTTGAAGATTTTCATTTTCTTGACTACATTTTAGGTAGAATCATCCTTTTTTCTACGCAAAAGCCTTTTTTATGAAGATTGATTCAAGAACTGTCAGATGGAACGACGAGCAAGCTCTGCCAATTATCTGAAACATCCGAAACCGCGGCTGTGTAGACCAGAAGTTCGTTTTCATCCTTGGATTCAATAACTTTCAATTGGAAGGCAGCACACATTGGGCAACTTTAACAGACATGTGCCTGCGTTTCTGACTGGCCTATTTCGATCCACAACTGGGTATATTTATTTCCTAGCTTAGAGTTTTTGATCTATATTCTGATGTTTGATACACTGAAGAATGTCAGACAAAAAGCTTTAATATGTTGTAAAATGTTTGCATTTCCAAACCTATTTTTAACTTACCACAAAATAAAAAACTCCCAAAACTCCCAAACAAAGAATCCATCAAAAATATCTGCAAAATTGGCTAGCAAAATAGACGCCAAAGGTCTCACTACATTTTATATAGAAAAATGTACGACTAGCCAAACATAAAATTATTAAGTAAAGTTTAATCTTCGCACAGCGAATATAAAGTTATTTTGAAAAAAATTAAAAATAAAGACATTCAATGTTCCCGTTTGATAAACAATGCTGAAAGCCAATCGACAGGCACTTAAGTGGCAGCACTCAGACGGTTGCTGATTGGCCAATAGTCTATTGATAAATGTCACTTCAGTATCTTTAGATTGCTTTAAGTACACGCTGCTTTATGCAATAAAATTAATCTGTCAGAGAAAAATGATAACTCAATATATAAAAATGTCTCTAAAGCCGAAAACCCACTCCGGAAAATGATCCGCGGATCGGCTCAGATTTTGTGTTGCGCAAGCGCTTTGGATGCAAAAATGGTCACATGACTGATCCGCGACGGATCGAAACGGATAGAAAAAAAAGTTGAAATAATTTCAACTTTTTTTTGAACCGTTCCGGTACGGTACAATAGTTTTATTTTGATGAAAATCGAATTAGAACTTATAAAACAATAGAGCATTGCGTCATGAGGCAAGGTCCCGTGGAGATATAAATGTCAACGTGCATTCCAATTTGAAACGATTCGCGGATCGAACGGAACTGATCAGAACAACACGATCGGATCCGATCCGCGGATTATTTTCCAGAGTGGGTTTTCGGCTTAAGATTTAAATATTTGTTCGGGGTTGGCTTATTGGTACAGGGCTGCAAAGAGGTAATTTCGCGTCATTAGTCCCTACGCTGCCAATTCTCTACGGCAGCATGCAAAAGTAGGGCTAGGCCTATCTATCTGCTACACGTGTTTTGATAGAAAAATCTGTGAATGCACATCCAAATGCTACAAATATTGATTAATTGACAAAAACGATATAAAAAAAGCTAATACACGAAGGTACAAATGAACATACACAACGTAGAGGCTACTATAAACTACACATATTTACAATAAATGTCGCTTGAAGCAGTTAAAAGCACTAAAAATAAAAATCATCGCGAAAGAAATGATTCTATATTCCTAGGAAACGGGTGATAACGGATGGTTAAAATATGCCAATAAATGATTATACGTGTTACAAATATGATGGTACAAAAACCTTTCTGGAATGGAAGCCTAAAAAATAGCCTTGATATTCCTGTACATTACCGACTTTATTAAATACAGAGAAATCGTTTGTGTTTCTAGAGGTGTAATTGACAGTTAGTTGATGCAAAAACTTACTGAAGGACATCATGACTTGGAGAAAAGCTAGTCACAACGGGATGGAGACAGATATTGGGATCGGATCTTGAAGCTTGTTTAATCTTCCAGCAAAAAGGCATAAATATTGAAACTCCAAATTATTAGCAGAAACTCCAAACCTACGTCTAGATGTCACAATAACCAAACAAAACCCACTTTGCAGATTTCGTATTGAAGCAATTTGTATTCTTGTAATGCCAAGGAGGGCTTGGAAAAAGTGTTGAAGTACGATGGAAAAGAAAAAACGCTGCCAGGTCAAATAGGGATAGAAAAATTTAGATTAGGGCCCGAAATCGGAGGGCTTGGCAGTGAAACAGTGTGTACTGGGCTATCCCAAATAGACCTAAAACAAATACAAATCCTTAAGAAATCATTTGTGCCACAGATCTCACGCACAGCTCCTGCCCAACGACGGCACAGAGCTCCAATTCATCTACTAAGAACGGCTATTCAAAACTAGCATTACTGACAAACCAGTGGTAATTCAAGTACAGAACTCAGGTATCGTCTGGTTCGTTTTCTTTCCGTGATCGGTATGAAAAGCCGGAACGCACTTCAAATCGAGGGCTGACTTGTATCTACACCATTTATTGAGCGCACCATAATAATAAAAGGCGTGTTTGCACTGCTCATCGACCGCAAAAACGCGGGGTCCTCCAATTCGTTTCCTTTTCAACAAGGTGTCCTCTGACTTTGCTGAACCACCGTAAGCACATAAAGGGATGTTGTAGTAATAGTGGAGCCCTATAAGCAAAACACCTCTTTTATCAAACGGTAGGCTGTAAATTACATACCAACCAAAAATTGCCACATCAATAGCTACAAGAAATTCGCCGAGTAGCCAACAGGTCATCAAATGAAAACACAGAGAGACCTCGTACGGATTTTAGAGGCAAGGCTGGGAACCTCGTTATGGGAAAACATCGATGTCTTCTATTGAACCGCGCTTACCTTATAATATACGCTCCTCTTATTCCTAGCTTTAAATTGATCAAAATAAAAGTTTAATTTAAAGTTGTCAGTGCGTTATAAATTAGAGACGATACTAAGAAAAGTATGCACCTGAATTTCCAGCAGATCATAGGCCAAATTTTCCACGCGTCTGAAACTTGGCTTACAACGGCGTTTTCGCTAGACTGGTATTTCTCAGCAAGAGATGTCGTACACTCGCAAGAGATGTCGTACACTCGCAAGAGATGTCTTACACTCGCAAGAGATGTCGTACACTCGCAAGAGATGTCTTACACTCGCAAGAGATGTCGTACACTCGCAAGAGATGTCTTACACTCGCAAGAGATGTCGTACACTCGCAAGAGATGTCTTACACTCGCAAGAGATGTCTTACACTCGCAAGAGATGTCGTACACTCGCAAGAGATGTCTTACACTCGCAAGAGATGTCTTACACTCGCAAGAGATGTCGTACACTCGCAAGAGATGTCTTACACTCGCAAGAGATGTTGTACACTCGCAAGAGATGTCTTACACTCGCAAGAGATGTCTTACACTCGCAAGAGATGTCGTACACTCGCAAGAGATGTCTTACACTCGCAAGAGATGTCTTACACTCGCAAGAGATGTCGTACACTCGCAAGAGATGTCTTACACTCGCAAGAGATGTCGTACACTCGCAAGAGATGTCGTACACTCGCAAGAGATGTCGTACACTCGCCAGAGATGTCGTACACTCGCAAGAGATGTCTTACACTCGCAAGAGATGTCGTACACTCGCAAGAGATGTCTTACACTCGCAAGAGATGTCGTACACTCGCAAGAGATGTCTTACACTCGCAAGAGATGTCGTACACTCGCAAGAGAAGTTCATTTCAAGAAGGAATCACTTATCTACATCTTTGAGAGCTCAATAAATGATCTGGCTAAACCTGACACGTTAACAACATAAATTTGCTCTGCCCTCCGATATTCGCAATTCTTTCATACCATTCCAAACTATCAGCTTATTGACAGTAACATAAACAGCGAATTTTATTCTTTAGCGGAAACAGACACCTGGAGAACAAAGAGAGAAGGTTGCCCCCTCCCCCCTATTAGGGAGGTTGCACAAAAGGAAGACAATGGTCTTTTGTTCTAAAAAAATAGACAAATTTGACGTCATCTTATCAAAACAATAGGCCTACCCCCCCCCCCATTCCCCAAAAAAATATATGGCGCCACTGGTTGTGGTCTGGACATAACAAATTTCGTCTTCAATTGGTTTCCCAACGGTTGCCAACCGTGTAACCCAAACTAATCTGAACACTGGCTCCCTGTGCTCCAAGTAGTTTAAACAAAGTCGATGACAATGTTAAGGCCTAGCCAATTATATTAAAATCTGCTCACCTGAACCAGGAATCGGTTCTCTTAGTTCTTGCGACTTCTTCTTCAATGTTTCGAAATCAAACTCTTTTCCATCCACATTGTAGAACTGCAAGGACAAATGGATAAGCAATATGAAACCAAATGGCTTTTGAAGCGGAAGTGGCTTATATAGAGGATATGTAGAAATAAAGTTGAAGCAAATAATTAGCGGATGATTTGGCTATATGGGCAACCATCTTATCGCAATGCAACTTCACTAAGAAAAATTTCCGTTTATTACTCAAATGAGTCTTAACAAGAAAATAATTCAAAGGGCTAAATTTCCGCTACTGGTTTAAATAGGAAGACAAAATGAAACATGGTTTGAGCAGAACAATAAAGCGATCAAGGAACATGAAGAAAGAAGAAAGACTAACTGCAGAAATTCAGAGAAGCACAGAATGGAAGCAATTTTTGGAGTAAACATCATAATTGTTAAATAAACATTTCTTTTAAAAAATCTTATGGATAAACCCTTTAAAGTTAACTGGAGACAATTTGATTTTCAAGCTCTTTAAAAAATTATGTTTTTATAGCAACTTTCCAAAGTTGGTTCGATGACTTGCCAAATTTGAGTGTATCTTCAAAGATGCTTCCAGCCACCCGTGTGCTATTGCTTTTAATAAAATTTTGTTGCGAAAGTCTCAAAAGGCTTTAAATATGGCCTTTTGAGACTCTCAGAAGGCTTTAAATATTGCCTTTTGACTCTCAAAAGGGTTTAAATATGGCCTTTTGACTCTCAAAAGGCTTTAAATATTACCTTTTGAGACTCTCAGAAGGCTTTAAATATTGTCTTTTGAGACTCTCAAAAGGCTTTAAATATGGCCTTTTGAGACTTTCGCAACAAAAAGGATTTTATCTAGGGGGCTGTACCTTCTCTCAAGGCGAGGAATTAAAATCCGGTTCTTTGTTTTCTCATTTCAACATAAAGATAAAACGAGATTATCACTGGCCTAAATACCTTTGTATCCTAAAAACGAAAGAATCGAAAAAGTTGAAAATCTTTTACACGTCCCCTTCCAAGCTTATAAATAACAGAAACGCTAAAATCTTTTGGGATAACTGCAAAACAGTTCTACTTACTGTGAATATATCTTTCAACGGCCTGTATTTGAAGCTGGCAAAATGATTCTTAATGCTTCCTTTCTCGCATACCATTCGACGCAAGGCCGACCCGGGCATGAAAATTTGCCACAGCAAGATCGAGAGAAGTAGTAAAAATGTCGTCAGAATCGAAGCGCAAATAATGTTTCCTGCAAAAAAAAAGAAATCATTAACGATGGGCATGACTAAATTTTGTGGTGTGGGAAGTCCACATAACCAAAGTCAAGCAGCTCAACCCCCCCCAAAACCCCCCAACCCCCCCTTTCCCTCTGGGGCTGGTTAAAGGTAAGAAAAATCAGAATATAAAGAGTCCTTACTTCTCTTTGAGCGCTTCCTTGATTTCTGGATATCATCGATTCTAGCATTGACTCGTCTCTTCAGTGTGCGAAATCGCTTTTCAATCATTCCTTGGAAAATTTCCATGGTAATGGATGCAAGGCAGTAGACAAGATTCAGCTGCCGGAGAGATTGAGTTTCATAAAAAATTGTTTATTTTTACCGATCTGTTAGAAATCACTGAATACAAAGAAATGCAGCGACGCTAAGAAGAACCAGAGACAAGGCACTATGCTTAAAGACAAGAAGATTTAAATAATGATTTCTATTCTTTCGTAACTTGGATTTTCGTTTTGACCCGCTATGCATCTTTAACATGGGCCTAACTCAAGCATATGTAAAAAAATTTTTAGTAGAATTGTCATCAAACCAACATGAAAATTTATCTAAAGGGTATGTGATACGGATGTATAATAAATTTTGTTATGAAGCCAATATCAAGTAAAATTTTCCGAAAAAGGCACATTTGCCCCCCTTTCTCTCTCGCCCCTCTCTGTCATCCCAGAAAATGTTACAACGCCTGCTACGGTTGTGACAATATTTTACTTGTTTCTTGAACTATCTTACCTCGTCCTCGTCTGCATAGATCGTTTGCCAGGCCATTCCCAAGGCGGACGAATCGTTAATCAACAGTGGCTTGCTACCAAGAGTGCTGGAACTAACGGCGACGCCGGGATGGGATGGCGATGCGTAAACAATATCGCCACGTGTAACTGGCCCTCTCACTTTGACGGGGACGATGCCAAACATACATACAGTTTCAGTTCGAACTGCAAAATTAAAGGAAATTCCAATCACATAAAAGCTCCTGTGCACTTGCTGAAGGTACAAAAGGGATCTCTCAAGGAGAGAGGTTGGATGGGGAGAAATAGTTGACGGAAATAACCCCAATCGCGATACGGGGGCTCTGTTTGCTGATGCATATAAAAAAATAGAAAACAATTCTGATATGGAGGTGACTACTAAACACAACAGGGGCGTAACTATGGATAACAAAAGGGGTAGCAATTGACTGAGAGGGGGCCAGTTACCCTCAATCCTTAGGGTAGATGGGTCTCCAGGGACCATTCGTGGGCTACAAAAACAAAGCCGAGGAGGCTCTCCTAATTTCTATCCTACTTAATGTGAAAGATTCCTTCAAATAACAGCAATTGCGCTTAACCTTGTTGGAAACTAGCAACTTTTCGAAAGCAATAAAAATTTTATACCTCCTGGTTTCACCTTGGCCTCCAAATACTGTGATCGGCTGATAACACCTTTCAATACAGCGTCTATTGAGTTCTTTTGCGTGAGCTTATCAAGCACACATTCGCCATCCTTGCGTTCAAACAGGCCAACGATTTCACCTTCTGAGAATGCAGGGTGAGCGTCTGGGTTCTGCAACGTGAAATGATAGGCAATGTCGCCTCGGGATGTCTTGATCGGCTCTGCCACAACCAGGGATCCGATTTCGGCACGTTTTGCGTCCAAGAAGTCGGCTGCGACTTTCGATGCTGTTATCAGCATGCCATCTGCAAAATATATTTATTATTTTAACATTATGATCGAGAAAGTCTCCTAACTAACACCTACCAGAGAATTAAGCATCAATCTGCAAACCCAACGGGTTTTCAATGATAGCATTGCAGACAAAAATGTTTGAAAAAAGGGGAAGCGAAATCAGTTTTGGCATATCGTAAATCCTCGAATTAGCCCCCTGGGGGCTTATTTAATTTTGATATTTTTGGATGGGGGCCTATTCGAGAGGTGCTTTTACGAGGGGGGACTTATAAAATTATTGTAAACATTAAGAAGCCATTATTAAAAGACTTCGTTTAGTAGGAATTTCTTTATGAGCATTTAATTAAATAATACCAGAAGTATGAATTTGCTGTGGCAATTCAATAAAACGCCATAGGCAACCTCAGATGGCAAAAATCATCTAATGGAGGGCTCCAATTCGAGAATTTACGGTAGCAGTGGGGGCTTATTCGAGGGGGGCTTATTTTATTAACAATTTGTAGTTCTAGGGTGAGGGGTTATTCGAGGGGGGGGATTTTTTCGAGGGGGGGAGGCAATTCGAGAAATTACGGTATCCCCATAGCAATAAAAAAATCCAAAGGAATAGATAAATAGGAATCCGACTTGTTTATCAAGTCACCAGAAATCCGTTATGCCATAAACGATAACGATGTCTCGAAGGCTCTAACATACGGAAATAGTTGAAAGTGACGTTCGCAAGAGTTTAAGTTCGGGTTCACAGGGTTTTGGATTAATGTGTGAAGGGAAAACAAACAGCACTGAAGCTGGTATCGGATTCATAAGAACGCCGGGTTTCTTTTTTACGAATGTGTCCGGCTAACTATCCTCAAAACTGGGGCACTGTCTTGTGAACAGAGCTGAAACTGAATCATGCCTTCACGTCATCAAATTACATGTCGGATCTAAACAAATCGTGTATGTAGTGATTCCGGTTAGATATGAGCAGGTCTAATATGTAATGAATCCGGTGAGGAGTGAAAAGGTCCGATAAGTAACGCATCCAGTGAGGTAAGAGCAAGTCTGTAATGAAATGAGTCCGGTAAGTTAGTAGTGAACAGGTGTGAAATTTGATGAGTCCGGAGAGTCCGGAGAGGAGTGAACAGGACTGATCTTTAATGAATTCGGTAAGATTAGAACAGGTCCGATATGTAATGAATCGGGTGAGGAGTGGACGAGTCTGAAATTTAATGAGTCCGGAGAGGAGTGAACAGGACTGATCTGTAATGAATTCGGTAAGGAGTGAACAGGACCGATATGTAATGAATCCGGCGAGGTGTGAACAGTACCGATATGTAATGAATCCGGTGAGATTAGAACAGGTCCGATACGTAAAGAGTCCGGAGAGAAGTGAACAGGACCGATATGTAATGAATCCGGCGAGGTGTGAACAGTACCGATATGTAATGAATCCGGTGAGATTAGAACAGGTCCTATACGTAAAGAGTCCGGAGAGAAGTGAACAGGACCGATATGTAATGAGTCCGGAGAGGTGTGAACAGTATTGATATGTAGTGAATCCGGCGAGGGGTGAACAGGACCGATATGTAATGAATCGGGTGAGGGGTGAACAGTATTGATATGTAGTGAATCCGGCGAGGGGTGAACAGGACCGATATGTAATGAATCCGGTGAGGTGTGAACAGTACCGATATGTAATGAATCGGGTGAGGTGTGAACAGTGCCTAAAAATGCTAACCTGTATGTGACGTGCCGCTGCTGTATCCACTGCTCGTGCTTACATTACTTTTAGGCATATCACCAATCGATAACGAACCTAAAAAATTTGCATATCCATTTGATCAAGCGTGTCCATAAAATCAGATTTAGTCCAAAACACAACAAAAAATTAAAATGACGTGATATAAGTGGCAAAGGTTTCAGAATGCAAAAGAAAACAACTTCATCAGTAACATAATCAAAATTTCAAAGCATTTCATGGGAAGAATAGAGGTCGCCGCAAAAGCAGATGAGATTTAACTTCAAATTTTTGCAATATAAGACGACAATATAATATAAAACCAAAAACCTGTAGAAAATCTAAAATATCTAATAGGTTCGTTCATAGAAATTTGAACTTTTACATAATGTAAACATGATAAGCAGAAGATATCTTATACCAGAACTTGAGCAGGGAGAGAACAGGATTCTAAAATCCCTTTGCGGTCTTTAAAAGCACGACATTGTGCTGGTGAACATCGAATCGACAACAGCTTTGTATTGATACTCTGCGATTTCTTTAAAAAGAAACCTCCATATCGCGGACAGACCCAAACAAAGAAAATGTCGGCCTATAATTCCTTTATTTTGTCAAAGTATCTTGGAAATAATTACTAGACGCTGAACAGCTCCCTAAAAACTGTGTCTCAAATCCTACATGCGTTCATCAAATTGAGGTTCTACAGTACATAAAATGGCATTGAGAGTGATATTTTAAAAAACATTAACCGATAACAAACAGAAAAGTCAATTAATCAAATACCATTAGATTGTGTTGATTCGTCGGTGCCGGTTCTTGCTCGTTTAGCACCCGGTCTCGGGGCTGGTGGCAGTTGATTTGCTTCTAGAATCAAGAAGTTCAATTTTCTAGTCAAATCAGGAACCAAAAAAATCTCTTAAACCAAGCCCCAAAGGAGGATATGCGAACCCGGTTTAAGTGTGCAATTAGCATCAATATTAGTAGCTTAAGGCTGGCTTTTCTTCGAATTTTATCAGAACTCTTGTTTTGCAATTTATTAATTAAAGAACACAATAAAATCGTATTGCAACTGGTGTAATCAAGTTTCTCGGATGCTTAGAAGTGGAAATCTCATGCCATTATTTGGCTAAGTTGCATTTTATTGCTTTTGGTACAAAATATGCCCTCGTAATAATTTGATAAAGGTTTTTAAACTTCAGATGTAAAAATTCCCACTCTTTCAACACAAGTGTCGAAGACTCGAGAAGGTTATGCTAAGGAACGTAGGCCTATGAACAATCACTAGCTGTAATGGCCCTTGTTAACCTTCTCTAGATCCTCATGGCTTCATACATCACATCATAATTATGGTAACAAGAGGAAATTACAGTAATCTTTTTTGACTGAAATACCAAAAATAAGACAACAAGACATAAGGCTGGTTCCAAAACAATTTTCCTTAATTAGAACTCATTCAGCATTCTAAAGATCTAATTTGCATTCTGGCTAAAAACAATTCACCAGAGGGATAGAGCTTGAAGCTTGGTACCTGTGACTGGCTCTTTCTTGTCCGCATCTTTGGCTCTGCCAACGACTTGAAAACATTTTGTATCAGCAAAATTCCATGAGTGATCGACAAAGGTGACCAGGATTTTTAAGTAGAATTTGTTTAAATCTTCGATTTTGTTTTTGGCCAGGCCGTAGACCAATTTTCCATTCACATCATAGACTGAGTCGAGGTTGATATTGAGTATATACTGAAACGTTGTTCAAAATAATGTCAAATTGTCTATTACATAATGACAACTGCCCGTACAATAAGTGACTTTTTACGTATTAAAGCCGACTTTCACTGCGGCAGTATCGCTCGTGTGTAAATTTATGCTGGAGGTTGGTCGTAGCTACCTCGTTAATGAATGCACTCAGATGTACAATGCCTGCCAAAAGTACTTGGAACACCCAGCAATTTACGCTGCATTTGATATCTTTCATTCCTTTCATGAAAAAAATTGCTACTTCCGCCCCCTTCCCCCGAAAACAATGTTGATGATTTAGAGAAATATCATAAAAGAAGCGCAAAAGAAAGTGCCTTCTTAAAATCCTAACCCGTTTGATAGTACACCAACATTGTTCTGTAGAGGAGAGGGGGGTGATTGATTTTGACCTTGGAAATTGATGTCAGTGTTCCAAGACTTTTGGCAGGCATTGTAGGTACTAATCGGCTATCACGACCAAAACAGGCTCTCGACGAATAAAAATGTCGAAAAAGCTTCTTCAATTTCAAAATGATCAATTGACTTAAAACGTAATTTAAAAAGAGCAGTATGTGAGAAAAATTGATAAGGTAAACAGACGCATCACAGTTGGACGGAAAACACAAAAGCGAAAAAGAAATTACATTTTATACTTAGGTAACTAGGTACATTTATAAACCATAATTAAAAAACACACATACACGATCAGAAATTTTTTTTATTAGAATTTTCGCGATCGTGTGTGTGTTTTTTAATAACGGTTTATAAAAACCGAGTTGCCTAAGTATAATTTGTCATACAACACACGGGATTTCTTAAAATCCTTGGCCTAAAATGCCAGTGACCGAAAACATGAAAAGGGTTTTTATCGAAAGGGTTTTCATCAAGAGGGATTTTTCGAAGAGATTTCTAAAAGCGGGCACGTTTCAAATCTTCCTTACAGAAGGCAAACAAAAATTGAGTACGATTTTTTGAGAAAATACAACTTCATGTAAGCAGTTGTCCTAAAAGTTAATGGACGTGGCATAACTGGATTCAGTAACTGAGCAATCGTTTAGCTTTAGTTTTAGTTCAGCTTTATTTTTGCCTTTAAGGGAATTTTAGGATGCTATTTTTGCAAAAATGTTAATGCTTTTCCATCTGAAAGAAGAACTGAATTATACCTCTCCGACTTTTCCTTGCAATGCTTTTACTTCCAGCTCGACTGGTTCATTAACCACGTCAGATCTTTGAAAAGACGGATCAACAACTCTTGCCACAAAACACCGGATTGTGAGCACCTGAGCAACGCCAAGAAGTGTTATTCCTAAAACGATCCTTGAATCCTCAATGCTAAGCCTCTGTTGTGAAACTCCACCGCTTCTTCTCTGCATATAGAAGGAGTTGTATGTTAGCGTAGACATAATACAATACAATTCTAGAAAGATGCGATAGGATAACTGGATTCAGGACAATATATTAAGAGAAAAGGAAGTGACACAGCCACGGCAGGACTCGAGCACACGATGAGCCACTCTGTATGCGGTTGCTCTACCCTAAATCTAAAGATGCAAAAGCATTGTTGTTATATTTCTCATTTAAAATCATTTAAAATAATCATTCACATGGCAATGATGATGAAAAACAGTACCTGGGATTTGATGATTGACTTTGGAAACTTGATGTAGTTGATTTCAAAATTCCTGTTTTCGCTGATAGCTGATGTGTCTACTTCATCGCCAATGAAATCAGCATTTTCAACTCCAAGCACATTTCCATTACAGTAGACATCCTGTGAGCTGTTGAAGTAAATGCTTCCATTCTGCTGTCCAAACAGACCATTGCTTATAAAATCTGTACATGTACTGCTGTGTGAGGGCCCCGAGATGGAGCTGATGATCTCTTTCACTAGCTCATCATCTTCGTAAGAGATGTTGATGTCACCTTGAGAAATAAAAAGAATCATCAATGCTTTTTTGTGAGTAAGCATGAAAGGTCCATTTAATCAGGGTTACTAAGTATCAGAATATGCATGAAGAAAGGATATTTGAAATGTTTCTAAACAAGATTGATGTTGACAAAAGTTAGATCAATATGGAGTTAACTTACCATTCAATGCTGTGTTATTTAAAAATAATCTGTAGAACCTAGAAATTTTTCTGCAAAATTGAATATCTCCAACTCCTCAGGTTTCCTTCAACATTTGAATCTTAGAAACTACCAATAATTGACCATGAGGAAGTTTCCCTTGTTTATTATGCTTTTGAGAAACAAACTGTCTTCCAGCCCTTTTAGCAAGCAAGCAAATAAGCAAACAAAGGGAGACAGTGAAACAAATAAAGTTCAGAATGTGAGCCAGATACATTGATTGTTCTTCCACTATACTTGGAGCACAGCATCTTTGTATTAATACAATTTTTCTGTTTATTGTTAAAGGCACAGCGTTGGCCTGTTTATCAGGGCATTTGTGACAGGTCCTTGACCAATGGTTAAGTCTTGTATGTGTGTATAAGATGCACATTTTTTAAACAGTTAGCCAAGTCAGTTGCCAGATATGGTGTTACAAAGTCCAAGATCTATCCCTGCCCATTCTGTTCAAAACTGAGTGCATCTGCATTTTCATAGTGCAGAGATCAGGGACACCAGAGAAGGGGGCGTGGGGGGGTCAACCACCCCTGTTGCCTTTTGATAGGAGGGGCAAGAGGGGCCAGAGTGCCCTTTTTATTAAAGTGCCCTTGATGCCGGCCAATTGTAATAATCAGAGAGATTTGTATGAAATTCTAATTGTAGTGCTTGAATCATGACGACATTTCTTAAAACTTGTACAATAATTTCTTATGCCAAAAGTTAGCCAATTTTCAAGATATCTACAGAAGATCGAAATAAAATGGCAGTTAGTGGAAAGAATTAGTAGAAGCTGGGAGTTATCTTTCAAATGTGCTTTAACTCAAACCCCCCCCCTTGCCCCTTTGTCATTCCAGCATTCCTGGCAGAGATCCTGATTGAACTGGATGAGGTAGATGCAAAACCTCAACAGCAGCTGCCTGGGCTTATGGGTAGCTCATAACTAGTTGTGATACAGTTAAAGGATCTTGCTGTTTATTTAGAACTAAAGAAATAATTTGGCTTGATCCTTAAATTATTGTAGTTCAAAATAACCTTATTTTATAACCCATGCAACTCCCTATTTAGATGAAAATTAAATATCATATTATCAGGTACATTTTAGAGTTTTGAGTTATGCTCTTAAAATTTCTTCACTAATTATCACAGGAAGGGACCTAAAGAAAACAAATAATTCTAAATTTTACCCACCAGGTGTCACTAAAAACTCTACTCTTGGTAGTTCCAAAAACCGAGTATTCTAGCAAAGCATGTAAGGAGCTCTTGTACTATTCTTGGCACAGTTCAAATAAAAAACTTGTGCAACTTCAAAGTTACAGGGAAAGAGGAGCTTACCATTGTGTGTAGATATCAGTGGTTCTGTCATGGATGAGACTTCTTCCTTTTTAACAAAGCCAAGCATTACCCCAAATCTATAACGAAATTGCAAATTAGTCAATGGTAACTGAACACTTGCGAACATAAATCATATCAAAATAGGCAGCCAAAATTCCAATTGGTCTTACAGAGATATGGAGGGGTCAGGGTGGAATCAATGTGAAGCTCACGCCGGACATACGCCAATAAACAATAGAAAGACAATGGGAAATCGGTAGTCTACGTCGGATATTTCTGGCGTAAGCTACATGGATTCCACACTGGGGGAGGGGGCGGGGGCATTACTCAAAAGGGTCACCAGCACACATAACAGTTGAAATAGTGATGGAGCTGAAGCAGGTATGCAAAGTTTTTTACTTGCATCTTGGGAGTATATAAGTAGAGCTTTCAATCTAGTGAAGACCTATTTAATCTAGTAAAACAAAACCACACTGTTTTTGTGGTTAGGTATCTTTGTTAAAACACAATTTTTCATTATTGTTTGATCTATTTGCATTCAAAAGAGCTCTTTAAATTTTGAAATCTTTTAATTGGCATTTTGTTTCCATAATGCCTTAATAGTGAGCATGAAAACAAATTTTCATATTCATTCAGGGGGCACAGTGGGTAAATGCCCTCCAAACTTTTCATAAACCGAAGTTAAGTGTCTATTAATTTGCAGCTCTTGGGGTACCTCTGCTATGCCCTAATGTACCCCCACCCTCCCACTTTTGAAATGTTTCTGTGCCTATAGGCAAGACTTTCACCTGTTTTGATACTGACTGTAACCAGATTGATGACTGAACTGAACTGAAAAATATTCTTAGAAAGGTTAATTTTAAAGTTGTCTTAAAAAAGGTAAATTGATCCTCATCATTCTAAAATGACTGTTTGTAAATAATGGGTCACCCAATAGTAGAAAAATACACATCTAGAAAGAATTATTGCAATTGAAGGGATGATTCCATATGCATCATAACACTACCAAGTATACACGGGGATTTTTAGTGTCATTAACTAAATTCTAAACCATTTATTTCAATTTTGACCCTAAAATTTGTAAAATTTTGACACAATCCGCAGTTTATAGTTGCAATTTGACGACAAAGGCTCTGACAAAATAAAATATCTGCTATTTGTTAACTTTTAAGTTATTTCTTTAGAAAGATGCGTGATATCATAAGTGTTCAAGTAAGTGCCATTTGACAAATGACATTCGTCATAATTTTCTGTAACGTCAATTTTCATAATCTGTTTATTTACAATCAAAACTGAGTAGATTTGGTTCACACATAGAATGAATAAATCATTGTCAAAAAAGTAATATATTAATGGGAATATACTACAGGTCGCAAAAGTAACAGGTATTATTGACTGGCCAAGGAAATAGGAAGTTCGAGAAGTAAATTCCGGCCATTGTACGGACAGGGCAAAATATTACGACATAGCCTCCATGTTTGACCTAAACAGCAACAAAAATACGAAAAATAGAAGAAAAGTATACGTTCTACCTTAACAAAAACGTTGAATATCCTTTCCACTTCGCTGGCAGTCAATACATAAAAAATTCTCTCAACTTTGTCTTGAGGCCAACTAGACTGGAAGCTCAGTATTGCACCTTCGCGGTGGTACCACAGAATACACTGTTCAAATGTCTCGATGACGTAATGACAATGATTAAACGATTAAAAAGGTTTAAAGACCAACAGAAGGATGCAGTTTCATCTTCAATGGTTCCTTACACACACTTGTGCTCACTGCATGCATCTCTTTTGGGCTTCTCTCTGCGGTTTTGCCTGTTGACATACGTATCCAAAGTAATTGTTGGTTCGTATTGGCTATCTACTTCCTTGTTCGCAACATGATGGACAATCGACACGAATGACGTAATCTTTACCATTCTTCTGGCCTTCCTGTCTCTTCGTGCCAGAAAATTTAGTCCCTGTCAAATAAGTCTCGACTTCGGGTTCAGCCCCCCCCCCCCAATAATTGTCAGACTGTAGTATGTTTCCTTTATAACAGTGTACTGAATGAGAAGGAAAACAATGGGCAGCCCCCCCTCCCCAATGTGAATTTCGTTCCGACGGCACTGGGGTTCATTATAGTTTAGCGATTACCCAGATTAAATTCGAGTGCAATTTGACGCTTACACCTTATAGATATTGTCAAAAATACCAAAGTCAACGAATATCGGAGCAAAAAAGGCACGGTATATCGGACCCCTAATGAACTCACTGACGTAGCTGTTTCGTAGTGAAATAAGCTGGGGGCAAGCCCTTGCTTTTATCAAGGGTAAGACACAAATTGCATTCTACATGCAACATGCCAGTTTTCTGTGTGCTCTCAAAGTGTCTCAAAATTCTTGGTTCCCAACGACGTTTTCTGTGCTGTAAGCTTCACGTGGTTGGCACTGTTCATTTATGAGTTAATTTGTTTTGATTATTTATATATTTCTATGACTTGGTTTTGCTACGACAGTGAAAGTTCATAGGCAAAAAACTGAAAGAGCTTTGCGCCACGCCGCTACGCCACTTCACAAAAATTCAGTGTGCGCCTCACGCCAGCAGATGCTTATCTCACGCCGACGCCACGCCAAAACAACCCAACTCCACGAAATAGATCTTCGGGATTTGCTACAAGGAATGCACACTGGCTTATCGCTCTTGAATAAGGACATTTCACAGTAAACTATGGGAGACAAAAATTAGCAAGATTAAAAAAATCATAATTAGTGTAACAAAATACTTACGTTGTTCAGTTCGTCAACTACGTTTTGGTATTGGTCGAGAATTTATGCCAAATGATATTTTCAAAATCCAAACGCAAGAATGATTTAAAAGTTTCGCTTTCCATTCATCAGCTCAGATTGCACGCATCAGACATCCTTAAGTTCGAATGTTCCTCATACACTTTTGTTGACCTTGTTTCTAATTTTCCGTTGCTTGAACCAACCTGTTAATTAACCAGCAAACTGTTGATCAAATCCAGAGTTTCAATAGAGAATCCGCAAGGCAATATGGCCTGTTTCTCTTTTGATGGAATTAGAAAATGACAGTGACTAAAGTGTTGGCGCGGGAAATTACCTTTTCCCAGAAAATAAGAAATTGAAATTACTTTAAAATCATTGTTTCAGCAAGGTTATCCTTTAATCTGTGTCCATTTTCAAGAAAAACATCTTTCTTTCGTGACTCTACAGCTATTCGAGGGGTCAGCAGTCGCTGATTGGTCAAAACAAGGAACCAATCAAACACAACATTCTTCCTCTAATTTTGCTTTCGATCCAAACCTCAGTATGACTCAGCCACTTCTCAGGAAAAACAACAAAGGCCGTAAATTTCTTTATTTCTGAGACGACCAATTAAAAACAAAACCTCTAGAAGTGGAAATACTCTACCCAAGGAACGGCATGACATGTACTTTTCTCAAATGTTGAATCGAATGTAAACAACACGAACGCCTTTCTTACTTGAGCATTCAGAACAATTAGAAGCACCATCTTTAGTTGCTCGCATATTTTCTAGTTGAATTTGATGATTTCAAGACTAAGAAAAAGAAGTGGACGTAAATGCGAGGCTGGAGGAACACCAATAATTCTAGGATCTTATTCGGAGAGTTTTTCTTGTATTGCACCTATAAGGCCTGGTTTCTATAAAGCCGTAAGGATGCCGGAGCCAGTTTTCTGTCATTTTCTATCTTCCATGCCCTGCTATCGCAGTCATCGATTCAAATGGAAACATCTGAATCTTGTGCCGCAACAATCGTGCCTGAAGTGTCGCAAGATACCGCTTACTGTACCGGTCGTCTCCAGAAGAGTTGAAACGATCCAACATTTTACAAGTCGTTACGGTACCGCAACCGTAAAGGTTGCGGCTTCCGGCGGTCCCGGGAGAGGTGGTTTCCATTTATGTTGAAATGGCTGCGGCATGCCGGGGAAAATGGCTGCGGCATTACGGGGAAAATGGCTGCGGCATGCCGGGGAAAATGGCTCTAGCAATGGCTGCGGCAACCTTACGGTCTCTTACGGCTATATCGAAACCAGGCAAAAGAGAATTGAAATATTTATTGCAATAACTTAGAAATACGCTGGTATATTTACTGAACACGTCTGTAGAAAAACAACGCAAGCCTCAAAAGCAAGACCTACGTTAAGGCTATCGTTGCTTGGTCTCTCTTGATATCTTTATTCTTATAAGCATTGGAAGCTATAGCTTGTATATAAATTCTAATATGAGTATTAAAACGAGATTCATTTCATCAGACAATTTCAGTGAAGTATTTATCATTTGAACGAGCAATTTTTAAGCAATTTTTTGACAAAAAATTGGCTATAGAATATTTTAGTTACATAAAACGTCGTAGACGATTTAGTCTCATCTTTATCCATATTAGAAGGGGTGACATATATAGTTCGGATATAAACTATTCGAAAATGGGGCAAAATTAGATGATGATCTAAAGATTTCCAAATAAGGCAAGGCCATAGAAACAATTCCAGGTAAACGAGAAGGTCCAATGAGTTGGGTGACCCCTAAAAGATCAGCAGGCTCTCAAGTATTAGCAAAATAAAATATTTGCTAGTTTTTATCTGAATGCATAAAGCATTAAAAGAGCCGGCAAGCTTAGTTTCATATATACGATCCCTGATGGAAGAAAGACACCCTTTAAGGGGGAAAGAGGATATTGTCTTCGTAGATCCAAATGGGATTTTGACTTGCCAAGCAGAACCATGGAATGTAATTTTTGTGCTTGGACTGACGAATGAATGAACAGTTTATAATATATCCATTTGCGGAAAATAAGCCATTCATGGTTGCTTTTTGTACCAAAATTACGCAATTCTATATGCATGTTCGTGTTTCTAACTTAGATGGTTATTACTCAGTTAAATTACTCACAAAAATGTGTTCTGCATTTGACTAAATTCTACTGCCTTTTTCACAATCTGTTCTACAATTTCCTGAAATGTTCTTTGTTTGTCAACATCCTGCTACAAACTTTTTAATGAGCAAGTGAATCTTCTTGATTGCTCAGCCATTCTTATTCTCTTCTACTTCATTTGCCAAAAAACTGATTTTCAAAAAAAAATTTCCGAATCATGTTGGATTCGGAGGCATTTAATTCCTAGCACTCCATCATTTTATCCAATGGGTATCTAAATACATAATTACACGCTCCGACAGAAGTTTTTTCGCATCACCGATAAGATACAAATCCATCAAAAATGATGAACTAGGATCAGGGAACACGAATTTTCTTATCTGGGATGTCCTGATTTTTCCTTATGTCATCGTCATTTCTAATTTAATCTAACCATTAAAAAACTCGGGGAAAGCACAAAAAATTCTAAACTGTACGGCTAGCACTACTTTAGAGGCAATTTCTATATAAACACAAAGCTAAAAATGGTTTAAAGTTGAGAACGAATTAAGAGCAAGCTGAGGCTGAGCTACTGTAATATGAAGTTTGAGCAGTGTTTCATTTCAAAATTTGAGGAGCTTTTTGCCATCTAGGGGTTTTTTCCAGCCAATTTTCATCCTTGTCGCCAAATAAAAGGATGTCTCACTCACTTTGTTGGCAAATAAGGCCTGAAAACTTCCCTAAAGCGCAATAGCTATCTATTGCACTGCTTACACGTTCATAATTTAAGAGCAAGTTAAGAACAATCCAGCCTCAGATTTTTAAAAAAGTTAAAAGCAGTCAGCCTGAACTTCAAATCGCTCGTTCTTATAAAAAAGTGTAGTTATTATCCCCTTACCCCTTATCATATTGAGCACGCTTAACACGTCCCAATCCACAATATTTGAAGGCTAAAAAACCCCTGTTTAGGATAGCTAGCCCCCGTCTGATTTAAAAACTGAGATTAACATGATTATACATCTAAAATTTTACTTCGAGTTGCCTTGAGCTCTTGCACATTTTCTTTATCAAGGGTTTAGAATCTTTTATTTCTTCAATCCAAGAGTTTTATGTTAAGTCTTGTAATGGCCAATGTTTTAATCTGTCTTTGGATTAAACAGGGCTTGATCGAATCTGTGCAATCCCTTTTAAATCGTTTACTATATATGACAGTCTCCTCGGGGGGTAAATACTTTTTAGCAGTAAGGGTGGGGAGGCTAAATCTGTGAAAAGAGTATTTTTAAGCATTTAAATAGCAGTGCCGTCAGAACGAAATTCATATGGGGGAGGGGGGGGGGCTGTCCATTGTATTGTCTCCTATTCAGTACAATGTTTTAAAGGAAACACAGTACAGTTTTGTTTTGAACTTGGCCACCCCCCCCCCCTTTTATTTCCCATTTAGAGCATCTACTAAATATTTCCACTAAAAAACAATCCACATTCGTCAATTGCCATAAATTACTGCCGTTGTCAACCACTGTATAAAAATAATAAAAATTTAAGAATCGTTTGTATATTGGAGGATATAAGAGAAATGTTATCATTAGATCAAATAACATTCTTGTGACAAAAGCATCAATTTTTTTTCTAGCAGATGAACAAATGATGTAATTAAAGGCAACATTAAAATATATCCAGGCCTCTGAAAGATTTTGTTAAGTAGTTTTAGAAATCTTCTTTGTCTTTCATTTTTGTTTTGTTTTATCAATGAATTTTTTTGTTTAACTTGAAAATTGTAGTTGTTATTAATTATTAGTAATCTGTAACATTGTTTAATGTAAAGAAAATATGTTTAATGTAATGGTCACAGGGTTGCTATATATTTCCATGCTCCCTGTGGCATCGTCTTGTAGTTTATCTGTTTTGTAAAACTTTATGAGAATATAAATACATATATACATATATAGCTATAAAAGATGCATTTTGTATTCCCGCTCTTTCCCAGTTTGAGGGAATTAGAGACACTGTTTTGAAATATTTTGATCGTCGTAACTATTGCTAGCTATGCAGAAAGCGAGTAAAATTTTGTTTGGTCCTTGCCAGGCTCTTCTCAAAATCTTCCTTGTACTAAATGGTCACAGAAGAGAATTCAAAAATAAAATTTGGATATCATTGGAAATGCGTTTGTGTCATCGATGGATTCAAAATTTATCGAAGAATTTTTCGAGGAGGGACAATTTGAAAGACCTTAATCAAAACAGACTTGTTGCATCTAAAGCTAAATCTAAAGTTTATCTTTAAAGTGATTTCATCAAGTTTTCTGCACCTTCCTTGTACATCTTTTTCAAAAACTAGGGGACTCCCCAAGACACCCCTATTTCGTAAATCTTTGCGCAGCTGAGATTTGCTTGCAGCATAAATGGCCCTGGGTCACTAGTCATTGAGTCATTATCAAATAAGTCGTTGCTGTTTAACTACAGCTGAGAAATCGTATGACGTCAGAAGGATCCACTTGCTCACTGAGAGTGTCTCAAGATGAAGAAAATGTCGATTGAATGCAACGATCTTAAACATTTGCTACTCATGGTGACAAGGGCTTGTTCCACTCTTTCTCTAGGGGCCTTTCTTTGATTGCAAACATTTTCTAGAGCTTAGTGATTCCAAAAATCATTTCAGTGTATCTAAGCTGGTCTCGAATCCCATATATTGAATTATTTTAAACAAAATTGCATTTTAAGACAAAGAAATAAATAAACATACACGTGCAACCATTTTTAAAAACGATACACTCAAGCTTATATCAATCACTAGCCACAGAATAGGCTATGTTACATTGTGGCACTTTTACTAATTACATCAGACAAGGCAATACCACTTGAGAGTTGCTGTGATCCAGCACAGCTTTTCCTTTAATAGGGTACTCATCGATCCCCAGGGGTAAAAAGGGTGACAAACAATGTTCTTCGCACTATAGTATCTGCACCACTTCATACAGGAGCTTGAGTAGAAGTACAGATGAGTGCAGGAAACATCGGCAGCAAACGCGCTGGGCCCAGCAGCTTTGTCACCACAGGCGCAAACCTTGAGGTTCAAATAGTAATGGAATCCTGAAAATTTAGTAATATTTTGTAAGTTAGCAAAGTCATCATTTCAAACTACTAGCAAAGTTGTACCTTACGTGGACAAATTGCCATATTTGTCAAAATACAGGCAACGGAGTGACAAGGTCCATAGCATTGGAGGGGTGAAATATCTAAATAAAAGTAAAGGTGGGGCATTCTTAACGACCCCGCCTTTTTAAACAATTGATAATGCTTTTCTATTCAGATTAGCTTTCCATACAAAGATTGGGGGCATTTCTTAGGCCTATATTAGCAAATCTACTGCTGATATTCAATAATTGTGATCCATTCCACCTGTGACAGAAAATCTTTCTTTTTGATGATTTAAACGTTCTGACTAAGTGGCAAATTTCCAAAATGTTTGGACAAATTTGGTTCTTTAGGGGAGGCTGTAGCCCTCCTGCTCAATTGACTGCAGACCTGCGTCTTTAGACTATGCCACTGGATGAAGAGGCTCTTTCATAAAGAGGTTACCTAAAGATGGTCTGGCTGGTTGTAGAGCGTGAGATGGTGGGTGGCTGGAAGCCATACCATGTTTTTGTAGCTTTCAAATTACAATGTATAACGGGTCTTGAATATTCTTGAAATAAACTGTTTAAAAATTGCTTAATTTTAAAGAAGATAAAGTACATAGATCCTAACTGACTTTAACAGTGTCAGAAAAAGTGATTGGTCGAGGGCAGTGGCGGATTGAAGAAGAAAGTTTGGCAGAAAACGGGGTCAGTCTGCAACAGAGTGCAGGCAGCTTGCTATACAAACAAGGGTTTCGATTGTGCTCAGCTCAGTTCCCCTTAAGCAAGTCTTTGGTTGAAAGAATTCTGTCTGGCAACCTTCGAATATGCTATAGATTTTTTCCGTGAATGAGAAATGATGAATGGACTTAGTCGATGAATGGTTTGAATGGTTTCTGTGCAAAAAGAATCTTTGACACAAATTCAAATATGTTCGGTGTATTCATGGGTGTTATAATTGGTGTGGTGAAGGGTATGGCTTCTAGACATTGCCTACATCACAGCCCCTCCTAACCTCCTAGGACAGCACCCCTGTACACATTGGACTGCACATCTGCCCCCTTCCATTAAACTTGAGAATTAGATTTACCTGTACTGTTAATTGCCTTTGCGCCCCCAAGGTCAGTTTTCTTTATAAGCTTTTCCCAAGTAAATTCGATTCCAGAAATTTTGGTTTCCTACAAGTGCAAAGAAGAAATTTCATGACTGGAAGACAAAAATGTCTGGTGACTAGAAATGATGAATTATATATCTCATAGCTTGAGAAACACCTGTTCTGAATAATTTGCAATAAGAAATAGAAGGTTGTCCAATTTACTCAGTTTTTTCTTCAATTTCTGAAAGACACCGTGATAACTTTGTTAGGCATTAAAAAGAGAGTTTCCAATTAAAAAACTTGTTTTAATTATTTCTGAATGCCAGAGCCATAACAGTAGGGAAAAACAGGGCTTGTGCCACCCACTTTAAACTGGGGGATCTATTGAAAGAAATGACCCTCTTACCCCGTATCTTCCCTCATGGCAAAAATGTTTGATAATGTTTCGTTTATGAGCTTTGGTTAGACTTCTTTGCTATAATCTACCTACAGGTTTACTCATCTGAAAATTTGAGATAATCTTTTATTTAGCAAAAAGAGTGGGACATGGCCACCCTGGCTCCCCTAATGCACAGGCCACGAGTAAAAGAGAGCAGTTGAACTATTACCTTGTATGCTGTGCTCAATTCTCTGTACGAAAACGAGGCTTGTTGCTTAGCAATCATCCCCTGTCTGCATTGCCAGTACTTGAAAGCAGAGCATGGCACGAAAAGCTGCCAAAAAAGAATCGCAAGCAAAGAACAGAAGACGAAAGAAATGCCAAAGCAAAGACGCAATCCTGTCAATAGAAATAGGTAGATATCAATAAAATAACATCGACGTTTACATTCTCGTTCAATTCCTTTTTTCCTCTATTCATTAGAAAAAATATGCCGAAACTACCCATGGAAAAAGGCAATGTCTTGAGGGAAAAGATATATGAAGAATAATTCAAACTTTACTAATTCTTTCGTATCAGCTATTTTATTTCGATCTGCTGCGGGCATTAAGGATCTGGGGTAACTGGCAAATGGACATGCTTACTCGAATCTAACGTCGCAATTTAGAAAATATGATTGATACTCTATTGAAAAGAACATGCACAGTCACGATAATTTAACAAATACAGAATGACAGTTTCAGGGGCATGTAAAGGACACAATGGCCCCCTTTGCTTCTCTATCAAAATGTGAGAGGGGTGTTTACTTTCCGTGTCTTCTTTCCGGCGTCTCTCTTCAGAATAAATGCGTCTCATTAAAGAAACTCGTCTCTCCTCGGTGTCAGGTACAAGAAATCATGGTTAGAAGACCTTAAGGTGCCATGCATGATATTAAGGAGACATCTGTTGTTACTTACTTTTATGTAGCCTTTTCCTTGACTTCTTAATGCTGTCCACTTTGCTGTCAATATTTCGGTTTATTTGTTTCATGTTCCTGTCCATTAAGTTTCCAAAAACTTCCATGGTTAATGAAACCAAACTCTCAACCAAATGAATCTATGGTTAGAAAAGTACATGCAACTTTGATACTGCAATGATAACTCAAACCTGCACCTAAGTTTCTATTCGCATTCGTATTGGTTAATATGAAAAGAAAACTTGATATTTTGCTGTGATAAAAATAAAATAAAATACTCGAACAGTCTTGAAATGGTTATTATATTTGTCGCCAAACGTGATTTCGAACTAAAATAACACTGATTTATCTGTGCTTTTCTTTGTGTTATAACATAATTGCAGGTTATATCTTAAAAAATCATTTTTCAAAATTTAAAATCCGAAAAACCTTTACTAAATTTGCTAATATAATGAGATTTCCAAGTTTGTGATCAAAATGTCGAAATGTAAGGAAACCTCGTCGTAAAAGCCTCCAGAGGTTTCCAGCGCAATTCCAATCAATGCATTGGGTATGGTTTGTGAATTTTTCAGCTGCCTGCCACTAACAGCCACGCCAGGTTCAATTTCGGAGCAATAAAGAGCTTCTCCGCTCGCAACAGAACCTTTAACACGCACGGGAACCACCCCAAACATGCAAATTGTTTCTGTGATACCTGCAAACAATTTGATATTTGAAATACATTGAGTAATACGATTGGAAAAAAATATAACTTTACAGGGCCGACAGGTAATTTGTTGGGTTTAGAGGGGAGGGGGAGGAATCAACTGGAAATGAAAACTAGCTGCAACTTGTGGCTTCAATGCAGGGTCGAAAGAAGACAAGTTGACCAGAAGGACCATAGCTACATCTTAAAGCCAACCTTTTTCAAAACTTACTTTCAGATCTAATTGCAAAGATGAAAGTACATCACCAGCTTCACAAAGTCATCAACCTTTTCTGTTACCAACAGAGCTGTGTGTGACCAAATGGGGGGGGGGGAGGAGGAGGAGTGGCTTTGGGAAGATGTGGCTTGGGGAGGCTTGGGGGAGTGGCTGGGGGGAGTGGCTTGGGGGAGGGCTTAGGAGTGGCTTGGGGGAGTGGCTTGGGGGAGTGGCTTGGGGGAGTGGCTTGGGGGAGTGGCTTGGGGGAGTGGCTTGGGGGAGGCGGAGTAGCAATTAAAACTCATTCTCTTCTCCATTTCGATACAGACGAACAAGGCAATCTTTTTAAATATTAGCTATTGTTAGAAGCATCTCTTGATAAACTGGGTCGCCAGCTAATCAGTTTTACAGGCAAATCAAACATTAAATCGATCTGAGCCAATTCGCAAGCAGAGAAGTTAGGCACCCCTCTCCAAAGACCGTATAGCAGATTACAGATTGAGAGGGCTAAATATGCTTAAAACATAGAGCAAGGTAATTTTTGTTAGGTTTAAATTATATTTTGGAAATACTGGGGGAGTCTAAAGCCTTCTCAGCCACACCGCTTCTGCGATCCCTACCCCTCTAACTAGGCATAGGTCCTAAAAGTCCAGTTTAATACCCCAGCTGTAAAAAGGTCGTTTACTCGAAGCACTTGAAGGAAACTATGCTGCAAAGCAGTGGCGGAAATTCGTTCTTCAGCTGGGAGCGCAATGACCACAAAAACAAGCAAATATGCCGACAAAAGCGTGTCTTAACAGCTTGGTTTTTTGGAGTTCAATGTACACAGATGCTGGGGCTAAACATGCCCCCCCCAAGGTTTTTTAGGTTTGTACTGCGAAAAGACCTAAAAACCGTTTTCTCTCGGTTTAGCGAACTCCCGATGTAACAAACTATTTTCATGTTCCCTTCAGAGTTCGTTATATCGGGATTCCACTACATATCTTACCACTGGCTTTGGTCTTTGCTGCAATATAGTGCGACCGTGTTATCACACCTCGTGTGATCGACTTTTGTGCATTTCTGCTGGACAGTTTGTCCAACACTGCTTCCTTATTTATCCCTTCGAAAATGCCAACAATTTCACCTTCCTTAAAAAAAGGGCAATCGCTAGGATTTCTGATAACAAAATGATACGCTATGTCCCCTCGTGGGGTATTTATTTGTTGCACTCCATACAGCTGTTCGATAAACGCTGTCTTTGATCTGATTTCTTCACTGACAATTTTTGAAGCTTCGATGAGTTTCTCTGCAAAAATAAAGGAAAAATGACTTATTGATCTATGGCCTGAGACTAAAGCCGCTCTTACACGGTCAGTTTTTGTCGAATTCGATTATGTCGAATCTAGTTTTGCTTCAGATTTGTCGAATCGAATGCCCCTTTTTACACGATCAGACTTTGTCGAATAAGATAAGATTCAAATGCCTCAATTCTGTTTATGAAATGGAGTTGGTTGCTTCAGCTGCCAGAGATATTGCACTGGTATTAAAAAAACGAAGAAATAAGAGGCGAAAACGAAAAAAATGGACAAAAGAATGGCTGAATCAATGTCCTGTACGAACGATTGTCGAACGTTTGGCTGAACGATCCTAACCCCTTGGCCTCCTGACCCCTTGGCCTCCTGATCCCTTGGCCTCCTAACCCCTTGGCCTCCTGACCCCTTGGCCTCCTGACCCCTTGACCTGCTCCCACTGCAGAGTATTTCTTTGTTTACGAAAAGGCACTGATCTTCTTTCCTAAACAAAAAATGTTTGAAGTTCAAGCCACTCAAAACAGGCTATGAAAAACTGTCATTCACCGTTTTATACGAATATCTTACAATATATAATACCATTGAAAACAAAATTAAGAGCATCAAACTGGAAAATGCCAGCATCTGTTACCTCTACAAAGGGAAGTCCTCGGCCCAGCAGACAAAGGTTCGCCTTCTTTAAGGAACTGTAGAATTCTTTCCAGTGAATCTAATGCATAAAAACCACTTTGATTAACAAAGATGAAAGTTAACATAGGGGATTATGAATACAGATTCGAATAGCACAACCAATACCTTTGTAATGTGTATCAAAGTTTGTCATCATCATCATAATAAGGTACATTGTTACAGCCCTAAAGATACAAGAGGGTTTGCATATCATCACAAAACATTGGAGTTTGCTGAATTGGTTGCTGATTAAACAAATAACTATTTATACCGAACGGGTGTTTGAAATGTCGAGAGCGTTTGGCCAAGGCTAAACAAATGTTGGATTTTTAAGTTGTATGAACGTTAGCAGAAAATCATTTCATGAATACCGTTCCGCTCCTTGCCTTCGCGGCAAAAACTGATGAAACATCGCCTCAGTCCTATTCTGCATATATAACTGCAACCAAAACACTTTTTTAACAAAAATACCTTAAATTTTTCCAGCCTCAATATTCTAAAGAAAACTTTCATTTTCAGACTTAATATTTTCTTATCTTTATTTAAAATCTGATATGATATGAAAAAGGCGTCTACCACAATTGAATCTCGATAAGCTAACCTGCATGTGGCACAGTTTCAATTGAATCTGATTTTCTCTTTTTGCCATGGCCTAAAATGCAGAACCATGAAATACTTCACATACTGTCATTGCCATCTTAACTGGCACAAAATAAAGAGCGTTCCATCAACTAGTATGACAAGACAAGTTGCAAGCACTTTTGCCAGTATAGATTGTGTCTTAATAGTGCCAGCGGCATACCTTGCACAGAAATAATATACACAAGTCATTTGCAAAATGATAGAATCACCAAAATAAGCCTGCAACTCTTGAAAACCATAGCTAGCTTGCTTTCAAAATCATTTCAGCGTCCTTTACAAATCCATAAGCATTCTCCTCTTGAAAAGTTTACAGAACATAACATGTGTACGGCTTTTAAAGAAACTGTCTTACTACTTAACATCCGGTCAAGCCATTGCATTTTAATCAGTTAAGCCATAAACAAACGTTATTTTACCATTGGCGTTTGAAAAAGCTAGAGGTTGGTAAGCAACTTGCTCGAGATGATCTCCTTCGTCTGGTTCCTTTTGACATGACACTTCTTTCATTTTCCCAACGATTTTAAATGGCTCTGTATTCTGTGAACTTTTTGAGCCATCGATGAAGATAACTTCAACCCGCAGAAAAAACAGATTCCGTTCCTCAGTGTTGCTCTTTGCTAAAGCATACACCGGCCGACCGTCCTTCGAGAATACTGAGTCCAAATTGATTGTCAGCTCATACTGCAAAATATTAGATTTCTTATTAAACCTCAATCTACCCAGGGTGCCATTCCAGGAAAACTCAGGGAGGGCATAGCTTCCTTTCAAATTCTCAAAGACATTTTAGGGACCAGCCCCCCTGTAATGAGCACATATTGGACTAAGAACTTGTGTCACATACCCACGTAGCGTGAAATTTACTTTTTATTTGAGATACTCATGCTAAAATATTCAATGCAAAAAATTGTCGAGAAAATGTGATCTTATCTCCTGGCTAGCAAGGGCAGGTTAGCCTGTATTCCAGACCCTTAAACGTTCAAGTTAGGGATCTGAAGAACAACGAAGAAAGATAAAATTTGGAAAATAAACTCAAATCCTCATGATTAGCAAAATTTGTGAGTTGGTTAATAAAAACTACAAGAAAATGGTAAATGCTTTCGGCTTTTGCTGTAATTCATTTGCTAGGTTAATCCTACACCTACAATGCCTGCCAAAAGTCTTGGAACACTGACATCAATTTCCAAGGTCAAAACCAATCATCCCCCTCTCCCCCACGTAACAATGTTGGTTTACTATCAAACGGACTAGGATTTTAGGAAGCACTTTCTTTTGCGTTTCTTTTATGATATTTCTCTAAATCATCAACATTGTTTGAGGGGGAAGGGGGCAGAGGTAGCAAATTTTTTTCATGAAAGGAATGAAAGATATCAAATGCAGCGTAAATTGGTGGGTGTTCCAAGTACTTTTGGCAGGCATTGTAGGTGTAGGATTAACCTAGCAAATGAATTACAGCAAAAGCCGAAAGCATTTACCATTTTCTTGTAGTTTTTATTTTTATTGTAGCTAGTTTGAAAATTTGCAATTATTTATTGTATTTGCTTAACATGTTAAAAATATTGAATGTTAAAAAAGAATAAAATTTCAGTTCATAAACACCTCAAAAGATAGAAGTTCAGTACCTTGTCGCATGTCGGGTGCTTCTTCTCAACTTCAAGCTCAACAGAACCAATTGGCGGGTTTACTATCTCTTTGATTCGTTTTACATACACTTTTATGTCAGCAACCTGTGACAGTGTAAGCATTGCTATTTCTATAACGACTGTGGAGTCCTGCTTCCGAATTCTCTGCATTGATTGGCCATCCGCCCTTTGCTTGATAAAAGAGGGTAGAATTAGAAGATTCTGATTGGATTATTTGAACAGAATCATATTCAATAGAAAAATAGAATCAGTAAGAACGAGATACAACGCCCACAAGAGATGCTTATGAAACATATCGATAGAGCCCAGAAAAAATGAGAGCAGACGTCCAGTTCCGTCTATTGCACGCGCGAATCTCCTGATCTGATTGCCTCCTCGTAGCTTGTTCACGCTAATGAAACTTTAGGTGTAGGATCAAAGCCTACTACCGGGGGGAAGGGGGGGGGCGAACTTTATTCTCTGCGGCCAACGTGATATCAAAATACGCATACATACGCAAGGTCACGTGGGTGCGTACAAAAAGTTGGAGGTAGAGGTCGGCCTTAAGATACTGAGGAAATCTAATGAAAAACACAAATTGTTTTGGAGGGCCCCTTGACAAACAGCAACGCTGAAAGGCAACCCTCCTTGAATATTCTAAATCAAATTAAACCAAATGAACCAAAAAACCACGCCTAGACCCCACCTGTTTTGTCTTCAGGAGAACAATCGCTTTTTTAGGGGGGTCCAGAGGGCCATAGCTCCAGACCCCACGCCCATGGTAGCCTGAAGTTTGCCCGGAACGTAAGAAAAAAGATGAAAAGTTGTTAAGAAAAAGGGCATCCGCTGATGTTTCGACCCCGGGCTCCGCACCTCTTAAATCGCCCCTGCAGGTGGGTATTCCAAAGTTTAGGAAGAAAACAACGAAAAGAGATGAACAATGCCCAAGACCACCACGATGCAATGTCAAATAGAAAGGGAAGGGAAAGCACAGAATAAGGTTGAAGAAAAAAACAAGCAATGTTTCGTTCTGGCTTCGAACTTATTGTCTTCAATTCAATCTCTTATCAGCCCACAACCCAGTCCAAGCCCCAAGTGCCGAACCCCTCAAAGTTCTGTCATACTAGTCCCATCCTGTGTTAAATCATCTCGAAATCTCTAAACCCCTCTTGAAATTCCGAAAATCAAAAAGTCCCTTTCTAATACCCATGCTAACTTTATTTGTGTTCAAGCATCAACATAAATTTGGCAGATTTGAAAACCTGGATAAATACTCAAGTGTTCCGATCTTCCCATTTTGGGAAACGGGCAAGAGAGAGTCTAATAATGAATGAGGCAACTCCCCCTTATGGAGTGACAGAGCATGCGTACGGAACGAAGTTATCATTACGCATGCTCTATGACTTCAGGACGGGGGGTTGCCTCACTCATTTAAAGATTTTCGGTCGCTAATCTTCCCAGCAATCCCTTTGTTGTTTACAACAACAGCCTAACATGAATACTTTTTCTTGTACGATAGCCTAATGGTACCTACTTGTGATTTTAATACGTTCCTCTTGAACTGTATGTAGTGCATCGTAAATGTCTCCACGTCCAAAGCTGCATCATATACTGGGTCAAGTGACTGTTCTGATTCGGATGAAATAAGATAAATCAAATTAATTGGTGCGATCATCTGTAGAAGATAAGGATATTAAAGCATGGCTTTTTACTTATAATGGCACACAAGTAACAGAGGTGCCTTTTGCTTAAGTGGAAGAAATCTAAGAGATATGAAAAGTGTATTTTTTCTTCTAAGTAATTAGTGAAAAGTATTGGTTTCAACATTGACAATGCTGCATTCTGTAGGGCCCTGAATAAAGCTGGGTCTGAATTCACAAGGTTTTCCTTGGGTCAATGCCCGAGTATATCTGTCTTCTCATTTGCTTGTACACTGTATTATATGAATATACTCGGCTGGTATTTGCGTGTGTTTCAATGTGCATGCATTCGTTCCTTGGCGTCAACGTGCATTCCTATAAAAATGTGCATCTTCTGTTGCATGTGGCTCCGTGTCCATATTGATCTTACGTGTGCATACTTGCCTGCGTGTTCGGTTACTCTCTTGCGTATATTCATTTACCTGTATGCGTGTATTTAAGTGTACGCGTGCTTTCTCGTGTGTAAATGTATCGATCCGTGCGCGTGTTCCCGATTATGCGTGTATTTGCGTATGCGTGTCGTTACAACGTGTAATCAATGGTACTAACCTTCACTTGCCAATGCATCATCGTGCAACAATGGAGTTCGCATTGAGTTCAATTCTTCGTTTGTCCTTATCATTGTCATAAACTATCTGGCTACTAGAACAAGGCAAGCAAGCATATCAAAGAAAATGGAAGAAAAGACTTTTCGCCCATCCCCCCTCCCCCTCCTCTCTTAAATTCCATAGGCTATGTTAGAAAAAATCTAATACATTTTCACTGACAGTTTAAACCTAGAAGTGACTTGGTGAAAAACGGGGTGATGTATCACCACTAAGACATGGAATGGATCTTCATGTCGATAACTTCATGTTTCGAGACAGCAGAGCATTTCTGAAACTTGGATTGGGGTATGGGGTTACTCAAGACTGTTGAGAATCACAAAAGATTTTGCTGATCGGGTGAAAGACTAGATAAAAAAGGGGTTTGTTAACATGCACTACTAGTTCTGAATTTTCATGGCTTTAGACATTTTGAAAAGAACCAATCGCAAAAAGCAAACGTGAATTCACCTTAAAAAGCAACGAAATGCGCCATTATGAAAGGGCGGGGGAGAGCACCACCCATGTTTTCAGACAGAATCTTGCAGTGAAGCAAAGCACTAAAAGTTGTCAAAACAACTGTTAAGCCACGTCACCTCTATGCTGTCTTGCCCAACATTCCCCCTGGCATTTCCGCAATGGGTCCTGTAAACTTTTGTTAGTTACTATGAAAACTATGGTAAAAAGGCGTCAATAAATGAGGTACATTAAGAAATGGAGGGGGTGGGGTGGTTTGGTTACACGACGACGTACGATTGCATAGGAGGGAAGGCGTAAGATACATAAGAAAAGGGCGTATGCTCTTAGACTTTTCTGTGATAGAAAGCTCAAATCAAAGGAACAAAGAGAAGCATAGAAGTATCAATCTAATTGCATATCGTTATTGTATTAGTTTGACTGTATAATATCCTTTTGGATACACTGATTCCCATGCAAGAAATGGTCATACACTCGTATACAGGGACGTCGCCAAAGGGGGAGTACAAGGGGTACGGCATCCCCCTCCCCAACACTTTGTCCGTCGGCATATTTTGGATTTTTTCCAGGCAAAAAAGCGACTTTTGTACTCACCCTGGAACTATTTTACAACAATTGTATCCTGATTCCCATGCAAGAAATGGTCATACATTCGTACACAGTGACGTCGCCAAAGGGGGAGTACAAGGGGTGCGGCATCCCCCCTCCCCAACACTTTGTCCGTCGGCATATTTTGGATTTTTGCCGGGCAAAAAAAGCGACTTTTGTACTCACCCTGGAACTATTTTGCAACAATTGTATCGTATCAACATTTCTGTAGTAGCTGAACTTTAAAAGTATGGCACTAAAGTATGAACTTTGAAACAGAAACGCATAAAAGCAGCATGGTATTTACCTTTTAACCACACCCTTGAAGAGTGAGACACGCCCATTTATCAGCAAAAATTTCTCCTTTAACCCCAAAAAAATTTTTTTGGCTTCGCCCCTGCTCCTAAAGACGGAATATCTGGTGCATATCTACCGCATTGCAGTCCCAATTAAATTTGTTGTATACAACTTTTTCAATGAAGTCTCGGTTTTTCCAGAAAAATAAGAACACCTTGAGAACGTATCCAGCCTCAGATCAAAATATAGTGGAAATGGAAATTCGTTTTCGAAATTTGTTCTCGTGTTGACAAACAAAACATATTTTCAATCAGCTTTGCAACTAAGTGTCATACATAACTGTCTTAGAAACGACTTATGGCACATGTAATTATAGAAATGTCAATGCTAAAATGAGAACAACATTCTGAACACTCAAATTATCAAGAAAATAAGAACCTCGAGGTTGGGTGAACCCCAATCAGGAGTATGAATCAATCAAGCTATATTGTCTAAGACAGGTAGGTTTTGTTACCTTTGTCACTTTTCTTGTACAAGATACACTTTTCGGAGAATGAAAACACTTGAAGACTTCGTGAATTCTCAGCCTGTTGTGCGCATCGCTTGCAAATTTCTTGGTTCGCAAGGAAAAAACCAAAACTCACTTCCTTGTAAAATGACTCTGGTGGACGTTCCCTGGAAAGTAAAAATCGAAATTTCTCTTCCTCTTCGCTTGATATTCTGCTGTGTTGGTCAATAACTAACAGCTTCCGACCTGCACTGCACCAGGAAACCACTAAGATAGGTATGGCTGTTATTGTTGAAACATTTGCTGTGCCAGACCACTGTTCCAGACGTATTGAACGCTTACGTCATCTGCTAATAATAAGTTTGATTATTCCGTTCTATCCCCGTAAGTCGCAAGGTTTTCTATAAAGGAGAGAAAATGTTAAGAAAGATTATTTCATATTTGGCTTATAACGAATTCTCTCAACTTTTAAAGCACCTTTTTGGAGAAGGAACTGCAATGCCATTGTATTGGCAAAGACATGACAATCGACTCGATCGCCGGTTGTTTCAAGGATTTTTGGCAGGCATTGTCTACATAGATATTGAGAAAAGCATCGTATTACAAGACACAACAGAATGAAGGTGAAAGCCTCTTGTTTGTCTTTTTCTCTAATTACTCCTGCGTAATGCCCCGCAGAATTCAAGGGGGGCTTTTGCACAAAGTGTTGCAAAAACAATAGCAAAAAAAGACATTTGCCAAATTTCGGCATCAACAAGGGGGACTCAGCCCTCTGAGCCCCCTAGCACTACATTCCTGCTCTTTTTATACGAAGCAGACACCTTTTGCCAAATCTCTTTGTACAAAATTTTTCTTCTCCTTGTACAAAATAGGGTGATACTGAGAGCGGAAAAATTTCATCGAAGCATTCTTTAAAAATGTTATCATTCACGGCGGGACAAACGACTTGAAAATGAAAATAAGATATTGATTAATTACCACTTACTATATCCGTATGATGTTTGATACTAATGTATCAAATATGTTTACAAATGATTATAAAAAGGGCAGGAAGAACAATTGCAGCTACAGAAAACGTATCCATAAAGGGAAGGTGATTCAAGTGATGACAACAGGTCCTGAGGAGATGGGGGTACGTGGGGCAACATGGGGGTAACGATTGAATGCTTCGCAATACAAGGTGTAAGCTTAAATTTGCAAATTCTAGTAATTTCTGCCATTGAAGACAAATTTTTTTTGATAATAATTTTGTTCCTAAGGTTATGATATTAAGCTGGGCTAAAGTGCATGCGGAAGTTGTCTATGCAAGAGAGACACTCCTCAGTGGATTGAAATTATGACCAGCTCGGTATGCAGATATTAAAGATATAAACCAAAATCCAAAGCACCAGGTTTTCTTTATCATTTTCTGATATATACTAAGGTAAATAATAATTACGACTAGAGTAAATTTAAATCCTGTTTTTCTTCCTTGATTAGTCAAACGTCAATGAAGACCAGAAATACAAACACATAGGACGGCCTCACTCCTCAATTAACAAGAATCAATATATCAAAAAGCCCAAAAGCGAAAACACTACGGAGAGAAAAAGGTTTGTTACTTCTTGCTAAAGAGAAAAAAAATCAGAGAAATGAAGATTCAACTTTACAAGTCCTCCAGTATCTTTTTGATAAATTTCTTTCACAGAAAACAACAAAGTAGCAGATATCTATGCAAGTGGGCCAAAATTCATTCCAAAAAAGATGACAAGAGGTATTTTATTCTCCAGTAAATTCACTCACCTAAATTCAAACACCTTTGCCATCGGTGAAGGAAATGTTTCACTAAAAAACAACCTTTAAAACACAGATTATGGTTAACAGCAAAACTGATTGTTTGTCCCGAAAAAAACATGAAGGTTATGTTGGGTTAACAATTGTGCCAAACAGTTATTTTTCAAAATTACGACTATTTATTGCGATACAATTAAACAAATCTTAAAGGCATACTGTCGCGATCCTCATTGGTCATTGATGTGCAGGAAGCGTTCCGCATTTGACCAATAGAGTTATAAAGTGATGACGTCACAAAATCTATTTTTATAATTTTTTAATTTTTATCTCATAACCTGAAAAAGCATCATATAATAAATACCAATACCTAGATATGCAAAATCAGTTGAATGTGCTACAGATTGGCTGAGATATGGTCACATGACCACAGGCTCTGTCATCACCATAAAATCTCTTGGAAGTTGGACCCTGTTCATAATGGACAGAGCCTTGACAACAGCAATCTATTAGCAAACTTCAAATCTTTCATTGGCCACATCTCACCCAATTTTCGATAAATTTAACTAATTTGCATATTAAGAAGTATTTTTTGGTTTTCTTGTAGGTTATGTGGTTAAAACACTAAAATTCTGAAAACAGTTTTTTGTGATGTCATACTTGAGAACTGTATACTATTGTTTTGGTAGACCAATAAACTGAGGGACAGTGTGCCTTTAACACGAAAAAAGTTGATGTGCAAAATTTACTGGCATGTACAAGGGTACCCAAGTAAATTTTGGCCCAAATTAATAGAGTGAGGGGCAGATGAAACCAACAGCACGGTCATTTCTAGTTCCAGCTTGGGGGATTATTTTGACACCCCTATGCTTTCACATGAATTCAAAATAGCAATAAAAGAGTCAAAATCAGGAGTTATTGTGTGAAACTGAGATATAAACGAAGCTGCCAGTTAGCGCCACAAGTGCTTAACAGAAAGCAAGATTGAATAAGAAACTATTGAATGACCGTATGCACGCCGAAGGAGCATCCAGGAACTTGCGCCCAAAATAAAAATGTGCGTCCATCTGCGCATTCAGAATCGTCACTTTGCGCTGGGATCTGCCAATAGAGGGTCCGAAATTGCTAAGTTTCCGAAGGGCCATAGACACAGCGAACACGGTCAAAACAATAAACAATTGTTACGAAGATGCTCGCCGATATTTGAGGAACAGAACGATGTGCTTTCTTGACAAATAAAATAACAAGGAAACGAGGAAATGGCCTAGACAACGTGTGCAAATCTTATCCTATCTTGCAGACAGTCTGCCACTGTCCTTAGGGCTCATGACCACAGCCGTCTTGAAAAAAGTTTAAACAACCAATTCTTAAGGCAACAATTAAAAATCATTACATTTTGGCATCGAATGTTAAAGATAAACAAATGCATGCAATTTAAAGAGCAAGAAGTATCACAAAAGGGTGCTACCCACATCATCCGAGGTATTATCGCAAGAGTATGGCAGCACATAATTTTCTGAATGCTATACCAAAAACATTTCTTTGCCCTTACAAATACCGTTCTCTTACATATGCCTTTCTCGTTGCCCTCAAGTCTCCATTCCTTTGAGCAAACCCTGTTTCATAAAGGGCGTTCTAAAAGTGTGAATGCTGGCACAAGGGCCCAAATTTTTCAAGCACGTTTATCAATCTCCTCATCTGTGCTTTTTTCTATTCGACTCTTGAATCTTGAGGCGATTTCGGGTTAAATGAATGCTACACATAAATACCTGATTAGCTTTTGTTTATCTTTCAAAAGATCAACTCAAAATTTAAATTTCGAAAACAACAACGATCTTAAGACATAAATGTAAGAAAAGCATATTTATGGCTAAAGAAAATTACCATTGTTGGTCTAAATAAAAAATATCGGTTTACAAATTTGGGATTAAAAATCAACTTTATTAATAGACCGAAAATGTTCACCATAATTTTATAACTACTAAATTTGTGTAGCAGATAGTGGCACGGAGGTATTGAGTCTTGATTGCATCTTTGACTGTGCAATGGTAAGCAGTCATTTGAAATTATGTGGTTGATTTTTGAAAAGTTTTCCACACAATATTATTGGCGAGAATTCATTAACTTTAGCATGCGGAGAAGAAATGAACTGTTTATTCAAAATTTGGATTCCTCGAGAGGGTCGGAATTCAAAATTCGCCAAATCGGTATCGGGAGTTGACAAAAATAGTAATCCCTGTGGGAGAAACCAACCTCCACTGGGAATCAACTTATCAAAATGGTTACAAAAACTGCATGAGCATGTATCACGTGATTATACTAATAGCGCGTTCACGGAAAAAACAATTGAAAGATTCTCTTCAAATCTGTGTTAATGGACTCCTGCAGGATCTTGATTTTTCCCAAGGGGTTTAAGAAAATTTCTGTGCCACAATTTTTGTCACTCTGCCACAAAAATGCTCTAAATTCAAAATTTCTACCTATCTAATAAATGCAGCTACTATCAAATTATCAAGTAATCGAATCGTTAGCCTCAAGTTGGCGAAGTTTAAGAGTTCCATCTGAACCACATGATAGCAAATGCATGGAGGGTAATATCTGTAAGTGTTGTACCCCTGTGCTGCCATGACGTAGGTACGTCCCTCGAAGGTGATCTTTTCTGTAAACATCGTACAGATCGTGAACGGTTAGGCCCCAGACCTGGAAAAAGGAAAGCACCGTTGCAAAAGCTTTGAGCCGGTTCGAGAGCATTCTTAAGATAAGGTAGGCCGTGCTATTGAAACGGCGGTTTGAATGCATTTAAAATCAATATTTAAAGAAAAGAACCGGATATCGCTTACTCGATAATTTGAGGCTAGTTATTAGTTGCCCTGAAGCGCATAAAGTTTGAGGTGATTTTGAAACGCCTGCAAAATATTGCGAAAAATGTCGGGATTTTCCATTCATGCCAGTGCATTTAATATAGCACTGCAGCACATGCTGTTCGTGTAGAGATTTGTTTTTTCTTCTTGTTAATTCAAAGATTTGCTTGCGTAATTAATGTTTGGGTAGGTATCCGTAATAGACTTGGTTAACGAAGATTTGGGCTGATTCAGCCTAATCATGGGCTGACTCAATTAAATCGTATATGCATTTTAAAGTTATTCATAAAAAATCTTTGACGTAAAATTTGCATCCTGTTTTTCTAAATGCTGATTGGTAGTCATGTTTAGTTTGTGTAGATTAAAAGTATATAAAACGTCCGATTGTAAGGTAAGAAGCGACAGAAACGGCAATAGAGAGATAGATAATCAGTACCGAGGTGTACAATGAAGAAGGACTGGATACAACTGTTGTGTTTCCTTTTTGTGTTCTCTTGGCACTTTAACATTAAATCTCTGAACCAGCAGATAGTGCTGGTGTTGGTACACAAGATAATTTCTACAAAAAATACAGCAAGCACAAACCTTGATATCTCCATCAGCAGACCCAGAGACAAAGAATTCTTCACTTGGGTCGACTGCAAAGCACTTGATGGCGGAATCATGTCCAGCAAACGTGTGTAAGAGCTTTCTTTGTCGAATATCAAATATACCTGATTATTCAATTAAGAAAAGAAAAAATCATTTCTTGTGGATATAGCAGGAAAACTCGCAACGGCTCCCCCGTTTCAATGGCCTATAATAAAATACAAAGGCAGCATATTAAGGTTGCCGACGGGGGGTGCAGATGAAAGAATGTGAAAGGGGTGCCTTACATATTGCCAATTCTAAATTTGTTACGTCAATGCCTTATGAAATTCTCAAGAGAAATAAAAATGTCTCTTGGGATTGTTAGCAAAGGGATCCGAATAGGAACCAAGTTAACCAGATAGATGCCTACTTTTCCTCAACACATGACGGCACCAATTCACGCAGATTAATGTAAGATAATGCCTAAATTACACTGTGATTCATCCAACAAGAAAATAATCGGTAAGAAAGGATACAGATATTGCCTCTTCTGCCGCCAGAGAGAAGACACTGCTGGCCAGGAATGTAGCAAACAGATTGGGACGTATGGTTTGGAAGGATAAAAGCTGAAAATCAAAATACCAAAATTTAGTAACAACATGATAAACAAAGACAATAACAGGTTCAACGTAGAAGGCCATTTTCCGTGAACCGATAAAATATCAAATTTAAATATATCAAATGTAGGAAATAAGAAGACGCACTTTAAAGTGCATCTAAAGGGATTTTGGGCTCATGACAACTGAAAATTCCCCTATGCCATCTTTGTAATTTTTATATGAAATTGTGAAAGTTAATCAAACAGAGAAGGAATGAATATGGAATATTGATGCACCTATTCAAGGATGCTTGTCAGAAATAACATACAATCTCTGAAATATGAAAGTATTTTCTAATCAGCAGAAGGGCTTCACCTCGAAGGGCTACACCTGCAAGGAACGTCAGCGATCTGAACGTGACGCTTAACAAAGAACTTGATTCTTTAAGGGAATGGCTCCAAGGCAATAAGTTATCATTGAATGTCCTGAAGACACAGGCGATGGTCATTGGATCTCGGCCTAACCTTAAGAAGATTTCGACAAAATCAATGGAACCACCATTATTTTCTATTGTTGAAATGTTGAAATGGTTGATAAGGTCAAGTATTTAGGGAGATGAAAATTGATAAACATATAGCTTGGGATGAACATATCCACTAAGGTTTCTCGTGCTATTGGATTTCTTAAATATGCCAAGAAGTTACTTCGAAAAGACATTCTCTCTAAAATGTATCGTGGTATCGTTGAACCGCATCTCCGCTACTGCTGCTCAGTCTGGGGGGCATGTGGGGGGACAGGGTTGCAGGTGCTGCAAAAACTTCAAAACCGCGCAGCTAGAATTGTGACCAACAGCAGTTATGATTCTTCTGCTAGTGCTTTGATTAAAAGTTTGAATTGGCTACTGTAGCAGATATGATAAAAAACCGAGACAGCTTGCATGGTTTACAAATCGATAAATGACCTTGCTCGTGATTACCTGTCAGAAATGTTCATTAAAAATTCGACATGCAGTAGGAAAAATTTGAGAAACACCGCAACTGATCTTCAAGTCCCACTAATGAGAACAAGTAATTGTCAGCGAGCTTTCTCATATCGTGGTGCTGGAGTTTGGAACCTCTTGGGTTGTGAAGTCAAGCAGGCATCCTCATTGAAAGCATTTAAAAAAGCTTTAAAAAAATAGTTTATTTGTTTATTTATTCATTTGTTCATTATTGTAATTAAATTAGGGTTTTACTTCGTATTTATTTTTAACTTAATTTGTAACGTTTTATGCACGGCCCCCTGAAAAGCAATCTATCGATTGACGGGGTTACCGTGCTTAAAGAAATGAAAAAGAAAAAATGAAAATGAATGAATGAAGGCATTACCCTTGGGCAAGCTTAGTAATTATTTCGAATTTATTCACTAAATGTCTTAATATCGTGAGAAAACTCACAATGCACGAGGGAGCGTCGGCTTGACATTAGAGTGTCCCATATGCAAACAGTCCTGGGAAAAAATGAGAATATTGAATTTTTGAATACCTCAGAGAATGCCACTAGATATAAGTTAATACTCGAAGGTATTAAATCCTACTGTTTTGATACATATTATTTATTTCACGCCAACATGTGATAAAAATTTGATACTGAAGGATGAATATCGCGGGAACCTTATAGAAGCTTAATTTCAATTGAGCTTTGTTGCAGTTTAGATACAGGACGGTCTGGAAAGCTATTTTAAAGCTGTAGTGAAACTTTTCTATTCAATAAGTAAACAAATTATTTGTTAAACTATTCATTGAATGAAGTTAAATTTAATTTAGGATATAGAGGAATATACTTCGCTTCTGATGAGTAGCCGGCTGTTCCAATAAAACTGGAGGACCCAAGGAATGCAAAGTCGTATGCCTGTCTGTTGTACGCTTTGATGGCCTAGAAATTAAAGGGTGAAAATGTAAAATTTGCAAGAAAGGGAAGAGGAATAACAATTCTGACAAAAAACCTTATGAATAAAAAATATCTTTCTGAAGCTTTATTTTAAAGAAAGGAATGCTGAAATAAAATACTAAAATTGGAGCTTTGAAGTTTCTACGAAAAATACTTTGAGTTGTGAGGGTTTTTTATAGAGTGTTGGGTAAAAAAAGAGTTGTGGGGATGGAAGTTGAGCAAGGAAAATATCTTTAGATTTATACATGCCTAAAGGAATAAAAAATTAGTGTTTCCAGGTGTGTCATAAGGTGCTTAATGCCATATAGGCAGTGTTGTACATGCTATTTGTCGAAAGAACAGGACGGTTCAACGCTGCTACTCCGAGTTTAACGCTTAATGCGATCTTTAGACAACTGTTATTTGTCTAAATAAATGTATCAACCAATGCTTGTGCAAATACTGAAGTTTGATGATAAAGATTTTAAACGTTTCTGTGGCTGAAAAAGCTCAATGTCAATAAGTCAGCAAATAGTAAAAGGATATTTTCAATAATTTCCTGATACAAAATGCTGAACAAGCACAATTCGAGCAGTCAGCCCGAAGTGAAAGAGTAAATGATTCAGAGTAAATATTTAACAATATGTGAGAAGAAAGGGTCAAGCCAAGCAGATTAAATTGCATTACGGAAAAAGGAAACAGGAAATGAGCAAAGTACCAAATCTTGAGTGGCTCAAGACTGAATTTGAAAGGATAAAGATGTACTTGAAAAGATGGAAGTTAAAAACGGGAGTGGTACGAGAGTAAAGTGGTACGAGAGTACAATGTAAACAAATTACTTACGACATATGGCTTTGGATTTGCTGTGCTGTTCAAGGTCCACAGACAAAGGTATCCGCTGTCATCTGTGGCTCCAAACTAAAATAAACCATGAAATTGGCTGCAAAATTTCCATAAAGCTCTGCTAACTAAACCCCTATTTGTATTATCAAGATTATAAACATACATTTTTATTTTCATAAACTTTCCCACCCATCCTGACCGAATTTTCGAGCCCCCTGCACTACGTTCAATAATTCGTAAATAGCTTAGGGATAGAGTGTAACGAATGGGGGTTCTGTGACATGAAACGGCTTCTCTAGCGCTCCAAGATAAGTCTATTACACGTTTTTGTAGCCCCCCTTTTCTCGGATTTGGGGGGAGCTAAACATGCTAAAAGCCAAGAGCAGGGCGACTTTTGTATGGTTTTAAGTTCATTTTGGAAATTATTGGGGGCTAAAGTCCCCGTAGCTCCCCGCTTCCGCAATCCCTGTATTACCCACCAAAACTACAATCCCTTACAAAAGATGAAGCACCCATGCACCCAAGAGTACCTTCCAATGTTATTATTTCCAAAACAGATTGTTTTGAAGAAGTCATAGAAACGATAGAGCTCTTACACAATTAGTCATGGATAGAGTTAGAGTCCGTATATGCGCAGCATTCTCTTCTCGAGGTATACCCTACATCCATCTCCTCGAGGTATGCACAGCATTCTCTTCTCGAGGTATGTCCTGCATCTATCAACTCGAGGTATGCGCTGCATTTTTTTCTCGAGGTATACCCTACATCTATCTCCTCGAGGTATGTACAGCATTCTCTTCTCGAGGTATGTCCTGCATCTATCTCCTCGAGGTATGCGCAGCATTCTCTTCTCGAGGTATACCCTGCTTCATCTCCTCGAGGTATGCGCTGCGCTTTCTTCTCGAGGTATGTCCTGCATCTATCTCCTCGGGGTATGCACAGCATTCACTTCTCGAGGTATACCCTACATCTATCTCCTCGAGGTATGCGCTGCGTTTTAACGTGTTCTCACGATGGTATTACAGTTTGAAAGGGTGCTTGCCTCTTTCAAAAAAAGGCGCTGCGCGGGCTAATATCAGGCTATTTTAACCTTTTCTCAACTCGATATTATGGAAAAGCGTAAAAGAGAGAAGGGTCGTGTTTGTAGTAATCTAACAGACTATGCGCAGGAGCATTTCTTTATGTGACCAATGTTTATATAGTTTTCTAGATGACAGTATTACAGTTATGTGTGTAGGCCATTGAAGTAAATATTAAGTTATCGTTCTGTTTTGTTTGAACCTATGCGTTGTTCTATCTCCTCCACATCTTAACCTTGGCGACGAGAAAGATTGATGGACTGGAAGCTCAAGTGTTGTGTTGAACTAAGTTATGCTGTAAATAGAGTTCTAATGTGATGACGTCACAAAAATCTATTTTTAGAATTTTTGAATTTAGATCCCATAGCTTGAAAGAGCATCATGAATTACCTCTTGATATGCAAAATCAGTCAAATGTGTTACGAATTGGCTAAGATATGGCCACATGTGTATTGGCTTTTTCCCCATCAAACCTATATATTTTGGTCCTTGTTCATAACTTTATGAACAGAGCGAAAATAACAGTGATTCGTTAGCAAACTTTAAATCTTTCATTAGCAATATCTCAACTGATTTTAGACATATTTGACTAATTTTGCATATGTGGAAGTATTTTATGAAGATCTTTTATGTTATGTGATTAAGATTCAAAAATTCTAAGAAAAGGGTTTTTGGCGACGTCACACTTTAGTGACGTCACACTCTATAGCTCTAATTCGTTTTAAGTGAAATTGGACTGATTCACCTCGATCAACGATTACAACACATATCTGTACTAGAGAAATCAGATACGCTCAACAACTGCGATATTTTCACTTTCGCTACATTTTCAAAGGAGACAGAATTTTATCGAATTTCACCACACAAGGAAGTGAGGCAACCAAACATTTGAATGAGATCGCCATTGAGGGCAATGACTTCCTTCCACTGTGGTTTTCAATCTACAACGACTACAAAAGTTGGGTGGTTAAATACTGCAACAAGGAAGGGAAATGTTTTTGTACAATCAGCAAATTTTGCACAGCGAGTCGCATTTTAAAGTGTAGAGTGACAGCTTTGAGCTTCCCACATATATCTATAAGATACTGATCAATTAATATTTACTTTGTTAGTTAAAGATTTATTTTTTAAGAATAATTGTGCGTTCTAAGGCTTATAAAAGTATTAAACATAATTATCAAGTATTAAATATTGCGAAAAGGAAGTAAAGATTTTTCACAACATATGTAACTTTTTTATCAAGTCCTACTTCTGCGTTGTAAATAGCACATTTTAGTGATTGATCAAATATTTTAGTTATTAATCATGTTTTAATAGTTCTGCCAGCTTAAATAACTAATTTTTAGGATTTTTAGGATCTTTAATGGTCAGTTGAAAGTTTCCACTTACGTTATTGTTCGCCAAAATATGGTACATCTTAGTTAGCTCTAAACATATGGATTTGGTTCAAAATTATTTGCATTCCCGTGAAAAGACCAATAGAACCGCAATATCGAGTTGAGAAAAGGTGAAAACAGTCTGACATTAATCCGCGCAGTGCCTTTCATTGAAAGAGGCGAACGCCTTTTCAAACTGTAACACTATCGTGAGAACACGATAAAAATGCAACGCATACCTCGAGGGGATAGATGCAGGACATACCTCGAGAAGAGAATGCTGCGCATACCCCGAGAAAAAAATGCAGCGCATACCTCGAGTTGATAGATGCGGGACATACCTCGAGAAGATGAAACAGCGCATACCTCGAGGAGATAGATGCTGTGCATACCTTGATAAGAAAATGCAGCACATACTTCGAGAAGAAAGCGCAGCGCATACCTCGAGAAGCAAAACAGCGCATACCTGAAGAAGAAAAAACAGCGCATAATGCGAGGAGATAGATGTAGGGCATACCTCGAGAAAAAAACGCAGCGCATACTCGAGAAGAAAGCGCAGCGCATTCCTCGAGAAGAAAAACAGCGCATACCTCAAGAAAAAAAAACAGCGCATACCTCGAAAAGAAAGCGCAGCACATAACGCGAGGAGAAAGATGCAGCGCATACCTGTAGATGCGAAATACAACGCAGTGCCTACCTTATTGCCAAGAGCATTGAATCTTATTCGATTGACTCGCTCATGTACATTTGGACCTCTGAATGACAAAATTTGCTCAGGGTGACCGAATTCGAACATTCGCACACTGCCATCATTGCCGCCAGCCATATCTACAATGAATAAACATAGATATATCAAAATATATATTAAAATATCAAATATGAGAAGTATTTAGCTAAGGCGATGGGTGGTCTTAAGGAGTGAGGGGACATGTAGATTAAGACCCATATATGTAGATTTTAGAAAAAGAGAGGGGGGGATGATTCTTAATGAGGAGTATGTGGCCTTTTTAACGAGGGAATATCAATTTAAGATGAGGGTGTATGATTGCAGAGATGAAAGGGTAGGGTAGAGTGCGGAGAAAATACATGAATTTTTGGCAATTGAGGACTCAAAGTGAAGACCATAAAACTAGAAAGTAAATATTGTTTTATTCACAACTGTTTGACATGTCTTTAAACAATAGAATTTATTTAATCTCTTTTTCACAAATATTTTCTCCTCGAAAAAAGTTTTTGAAAAAATGTTTTCTTACAGTAAGGAAGAGATGGATGCGACTCCATTCGTCGAACTCCAGGAAGAGGCCTTCTCAAACTCTGAAATGAAAAATCACAACAATCGTATAGAAATGCTTCATCTAAATACAAAGTGTAGAAGTATATACTGTTCTCTGTTTTCAGCTTTCAAGTAGCTCTCCTTTCTTGAACTTTTTCATTAAAATTGACAATCTTGCTGCTTTTTTAAACCCCGAGGAAAGTAGCGTCATTTTTTCTAGGGATCGCAATTTTCTGATTTTCCGAATTTCATTCCTATACTTGGTCTCTGAAAATATTCTACGAAATTTCGAAGTGTTCTCAAAGTTCTTCACTAAAGGGCATCAATCTTTTTCTTTTTCAATAAGCCTTTACACGGACATTTCAAAGAAAATAGTAGGTTTGAAAACTATCCTTGAGAAAATCCAGTAAATTAGCCAGTCTGGAAGAAAATCCCTTTTCATAGATATTAAATACAAAGTAAACAGAAAAACCTTATATTTCTGATAAATACAATCAAATTTCTCTGCGAAAACATCAGTCAATTTCAAATTCTTAAAATGTCAAAGCAGCAAATTAGAATACACCTTACAAATTCTAATTTTTTGATATTCTTTCAATATGTTTCAAATAAAAACAAATTGATCTTAAAATAAAAAAAGCGACGCAAAAACAAAAATAATCTTACCACTGAACAGGCGCGATCCTTGCCATTAATTGCGGTATCTTCCTCGGGTGTCCTGTGTCAAAGTTAATTACTCCGATATATAAAACTCGAAGTTTAGGGGTGTTGGAGTAGGAGGTTGGCGAAGAGACAAGAAAAAATACATCTTGAAATAATTCACACCGTTAACATATGATTAAAGAGAATTAGCTAAATTTTAAGCAACATCTGAGCTAAGCTTTCGAAAAGATGAAGTACGAAAACGAAATTCGGAACGAAAACGAAATTCAAAACGAAAACCACTTCATGTTTAGGTGTTTCTGGCTAACAAATCTTTTCTATTAAAAGTCATCAATCCCTTAGAATGACAAAGGCATTGACAACTATACGCATCTTAGAAAATTTTATATTTATTCACTGTGTTTTAAGAGTTTAAAACAGATCCTCAGTTGCTCTGATGATGTAGGAAGAGTTTCTTGTAACTGCGAAACAGCTTCAAGAAACACATTCCATCAGCTGTCACTTACAAGGAGAACTGAAGAATTAAAGGGGGGGGGGCATTACAACCGATGGACTGAGTCACTTATCTCCTTGAGGGAAAACACATGCAGAAATACTTTAAAACGTTAATTTTTCCGCCAATAAAAATTGTTAACTCTCAGCTGGTCATGAAAATTGCAAGAACAATAAGTCATTATCATAAGTTTGTCATTGTTCCTATGGATTCACGTGCACAGTTTGTCGGTAATCAGTTTGTCTTGTCAGTTTGCCTAAGTGATCATTTCAGGACGATGACTCAAAGATTGACGCTCATTGGTCTAAATTTAGTCTCTTTACACGGAGCACTAAAATCCCAAGGGATCAAATTAAACACTTACGTCTTGCGTGACCTGTCACTCAACTCTTTGGCTGGGTTGCTTTCCGTCTCTGTGAGATTCGAAACATCTAATTCGACGACTTCATGCGCAGCAGCAACCACGAGGGTATTTTTATTTGCCTGCAGAAAGAAAATGGACCGGAGTTAAGCAAATTTATCTCTGAAGCATATTTTGTCAATGTGTTTCAAAGTGAATACAACCAAAATTATTTGCAAGATCTTTTTGCAAGCGTTTTTAGATTCTCTTCTTTTTGTTTCAGGGCAAACAAAATTGCAGGCTACATACAGCGTCCACTCGCATTAAAACAACATAACATACAGTAACTGCCTCAAAACGAAAATTATCAAAAATGGAAACTATATTAATTACAAACTGACTTTAACCTGTACTGTCTGTGACGTAGGCTACATTAAAACTGCCACTAAAACCCCAACACTCACGTTGTTGAAGCAGAAACCCATTAAAAGATCAGCATCTTTGTATATGACCTGGGGTACACGTGAATTTGGCTCTTGGCCTGATATCTGGAAAGAAAATAAAAGAAACTTTATAGGCAACAAAGATGTAGACTTGAGAGACAACTTTCTAAGCAGAATTAACAGTGAACTATCTAAATAATAGCGATCGATTAAGCAAACAAGCATAACATTAACAATTCTAAATTAACAGGTATGCAATTTTATTGTGACGCCATAACACTTAATTGTTGAAACCGGTTCGTAAACAGCGCGAAATAAATACGGTATTCTAATTAAGTGAAATAAAAATATATTGCTAGCTATTTTTGAGCCTCAAAGCTCTCCGCCATTTAGAAAGCTTACTATAATATACAGATGCATGCGAAGTTTATTCTGGAAATAGCTGACAATAGGCCAGTAAAATGGTGTCATCCTGACCCGATTAACTGAATTACACTGGGCACAACAAAACCGAATTAGGTTGTCTTCAGTTCAGAAGAACAAAACAATCCTACTTTGCTCTATGAAGTTACTAGCAGGTTTGGTTGTGGATTCTGATTGGTCAAAACAAAGAATCCTTATTGGTTGATTCGATCTCAATCTGCAAGCTGTTTTTGTCAACAATCGGGCATAAAGCATAAGTTGAGTTCCACATTTAAAGAGAGTCAACGGACATATATCTTAGAATTCTAAACATAAATTCAAATAGACCAATTCGACTTACGTCCTCGTTTTGAAAAAATCTTCAAATTCTCTTGTACAAAATTTTTAACCTCAGATTCGGATTAAGAGCAATGATTCTAGTCTGCTTGGAAATTTTCATTATGGTATTGCTCACGATATTGATTTTATGACGACATAAAGATAAAAACTTTATAAGAGATTTGACCGTGATTGGCGACTAGGGGGGTAAAGTTTCACCCGGAATGATTTTTGCGGTCAAATCCCTTGCAAGTTTTCAAACTTCATTTCTCCATAAAATCTAAATTACAAGCACAAACAAAATGAAAAGTTGTATCCAGCCTAGATCTATTGTGATAAAACCAAATCTGAGCTTAAAAAAGTCGCATAATTAAGTTTGGAGAAATCTCCAAAACGAGGTTGTAAGTCGAATTGGTCTATTGAAATTCAATTGGCATTGAGCTGTAACCAAGAACAAAGTTAAATGGAATGTCTGGCAACACAAAGGAATTCTATCATCATGATTGGTTGCCTGTTCATAGATGTGTAGGTTAGCCAGTTTTATATCCAAGCATTCTCCTTAAATGAGAACAAAAGCAAAAGCTGTTGGAGAAAGCTTGTATAAGTTACGAACAATTTACCTCATCTAGTAGAATGTCCTTGGGGAAAGCGAATTCCAAAAATGTCTCTCTAAGGGATTCTTGGTGCACCAGCGCGTGCCAAAGCCGTTTTGATGGGTCTGCAACTTTCTTGCTGCATCTATACCCACAAAATAAAAACAGTAAAAAGTAGAATTAATATAACTATATATATTAACTAATACATTAATATTACAATAAATATTACATATTACAATATTATGATAACTATATCAATAATATCAAATTATTATAAAGCACTGCAAAAAAAGATGCTTCGCCATCATCTGATGGAGATAAACTCGGCATAGAATTTTACAGATGACGAAAAAGGCCAGGTTTTGTAGCATGTAATGAAGCGAATATCTCATAAATTACTTTTGAAAGTATCAAAAGCTTCAGTCGATATTCAAACATTACACATGGAGGGTCATAATTAAAAGCAATGAAAAATGGGAGATCAAAGCGTAAAGAAATGATTGTATTTTCATTTCGGAGCTTATTCGGCAAGATGGTGTCTCGGACAGTAATAGAATGAATAATTTCAGGTGTGAAAAAACTGATGTGAAACAACTTGATAATAAATTATAAATAAGATAACAAACTCACTTAAAAGGTGTATTGTTTGGGTCCATGAGAAACTTGACTTTCTGCAAGGTCGGTCCTCCCCTTGTGAAACCGTCGTCAAGGGGGGCGTACAGAGGGAGAAAATTCTCGGGCGGATTTCCAGGCTCAAATGTATTTCGTATTTGAATTTGCCATTTAAGGACTAGCTTCACGATTGAGTACAGCAAAGGAGAAAGCGAAGGAAGTTCTGCAAAAACAAAAGATCGTGAAGCAAGACACAATGCAAACATCGAGGAACAAACCACAGTTGAATTAGAACTTTATGTCGCAGTTAATGGCCACTAAAGTAAATGTATTAAAAAATACAAATTGTAATCAATGTGTAGGTATAAAAGAATAAAGATAAAATACCTGACATTTCCAACCCGGCAGCATTTAAAAAAGTCATTATTCCGTTAACAACAATTTTCAAGACACACATCGTCATTAACCTCCAGCTGTATGACATCTGGCTAAGGTCTTCAACGCTCTTCTGCTTATCAGTAGTTTCATCTTCAAGCTCGGATTCATCTTCGTCACTGTACATATCGGAGTCATCAGTCTCGAATGAGTCCTGCGAGTTGTACTCAAATGACCCGAAGTCTTGAAGAGGCTGCAAAAATCTCTCAAATGTCTTTCAAATCTCAACCAATTTTAAAAACACTGTAAAAATACTCCTGAAGGAAAACTTTTAGGAAACATTATGGAAACATAGATATTCTAAATAGAGGGGAAAAAACCTTAAAACAGTTTAGAAAGAAATGATGTATGACTGACATATCAATAATTTGGATATCATTAAATCCCATAACACTGTGGGAACAATTCTCAAAGGAAAGTAAAGATGTGGATCTTTTATTGATGAAAATCTCTAGGGAAGGGTTCCAAATTGGTGATTTGATAAAAAATAATATAGAAAAGAGACGGGGTTAAATTAATTACTCGGCCTAAATAGGGTGCCGAGATCAAAGTAAACAAGCATCGGTGGCAATATGTTTTCGATATTTAAAGATAGCGTACCTTTTTCAAGAAGAAGTCATATAGGGTCATTTGGGGTGGAATGAACAGCTCTTGCTGCACAAATTTCCCCGATGATGGCGATGTCGTAGGCAAGGCTGCCTTTTTTCCAAGCAGTCGGTAATTCCACTTCATCCTTGCAGCGTCAACTTTTTTCTTGTCTTCCTCTGGCTTCGTAGAAGACATTTCTGGAGTCGCTGGTCTTTGTTCCGTGGCTGCATCTTCATCTAGAAGAACCAGCTTTGTCCCACCGCCAAACACCATGCCCCACATGTCACAGTTGAGTTGGTTCATAACAATTCTGTACATCTGATTTGGCAAGAATTGTGAAGACGAGGTTACAAGAAGGGCTACATAAACAGCAACAGCGGCTTCGCAGAGGAGGATTTTAAGGTTCTTCGCACCCTCTTTGTTTGTGGCAGCGAGTATAGAAGAAAACATTTGAACCCCCGGCCAGTTTGACGGAAATGACGTGGGTGTCACGTGCTCTTTTCTATGGGAGCCTGGGACATCGAGACCAGTTTTTGATGTCTGCCTCACCAATTTTCCTAGAAATATGAAAAGGGAAAAAAAAACCCTGAGGTTCGGAAACCCTTTTTCTCTTTCAAGAACTAAATATTCTTTGCTAGTCAGGAGAATGAGCTGTATTAGTCATTAAATATATAAAATTACACGAGAAAGACTCTAACAACGCATTCTTCAAGAAAATATTTTTTTTAAATTTTTTGCCTTAACATCTAGTTATGAGTGAGCAAATTCAGTCTTCTCCAATCTGCCTTCGTCACGAGCACATAGACAAGCTGGGCAACCACAACAGTCATGTGCTCGCGTTTCTGATTGGCCAATTTCGATCCACAACTGGGTATATATATTTCCTAGCGTAGAGTTTTCGATCTATGATCTGACGTTTTAAACTCTGAAGAGTGTCAGACGAAAAGTTTTAGTTTACTCAAATGTTTGCTTTTTTCAAAGCCATTTTAAAACATTAGTGTTCTGCAAAGATTTCTTGCAAGGTCAAATATTTATATATATGTGTAATTCTAGACTATATTTTAAGTAGTGTGTGTCGATATTCCATTAGCTATGCAAAGATCCTCGCGGAAAAATTATTTGCCAAAAACCCTGACCCGTCCAATCTTAAGCTTCAATTTAGCAAAGGCAATGCCCTAATTCCATTTATTTCTTTTTTCAGTGACCTTTTATAAATAGCAAGACTTAGCCCACAATACATAGTCTTCTTGCTTCTTACCTTCCTTATTCTCTTTGCCAATGATTTTCACTTCACCCTTTCGGATCGACTCCAGTAACTGATCCTCGTGGCCACCACAAAGACTGTGGAATATACACGAGGACAATGACAACGATAGACTCTCTAGTGCTGCGGCAGCATTTATTGGGTTTTGCATGCTTGGCAGTTCAGGGAGGCGGAGTAACATTCTTAAGATGTCATGTGTCATGTTCCTCAGGTATGTGACTGGGTTGGCGAATAGCGAGAAGGTCGTCATTGTAGCGAGTAGAAGTGGGGGTGCTGTCTGGCCGGATGAAAAAGCACGAAGGGGGGCGGCTAATGACCGGTAGTGCTCCAGCTCATGAAGGAGAAACAGCAGCTCAAGGCAAATAGCTGAAACAAGAAAGTCCATTTGAAAATGAAAAGGGGCAGATGTAGTGATAGAAAACTACATCGTTTAATTTCAAAAGTAAATGGAATGTGAACGTGAGCCTAGTTTTGGATTCGTTAGACCTGTCTCTAAGACCATGAATGATGTTGGGATAATTGAAACTTTGAGCTTACAAGGAAAATATTGCAATATCAGGTAAATGAACTTTAATCAAGCTGTACACGATTCACTGACTGGCAGCTAATATTTCTATGGACAAAATAACATCATAACTTTGCGATGACTTCATAAAAGTAGATCCTTTTAATATTTAAACGTTAACCATATAACCTGAAAAGAGCGTAATAAAATAGTATACCCGAAATTGGCTACTTTCCTATTCTTTATGGTAATGCGCTCTTGCTTGTTAACTTTATGAGCCAAGCTAACATTATATGGACCAAGTAGCCTTCTAGCATCAAAATCATCCGGACCTTGAACAAATTACTTAACCTATTCTTCTAACGGTTTTTACTGACTTGGTAGATCTAAACCAATTCTGTTGTGCTTTTTCGAATAATAAGGCTCAGATAACAAAATTCAGAGACTAAATGATCTGGAATTATTCTAACATTTGAAAGGCCATTGTTTATTCGACTAGGCGGATTGGCTGGCAGGTTCAACATAGAAAACTTGTATTCAGATGGTTCATTTGCTCAAAGACATTCCTTAAGGAGCGATGAGAATATAGAGTGCTTGATTAATCACTCTGTAATGAATGGAAATATTTTGCAACTTCGTCCAAAATATTAAATTTTACAACTGAATTCGTACCGGGCAGGTTTTCACCACCAACACCCTGCAAGGCACAACAGTTGTACAGTGTGGTTAGGATGTTCCCATTTTTCCGCAACCACCGAATCTTCCGCGTCAAAAGTTCCGCTTTTTGTGACAAACTCCTTTTCTCGACACCAGTTTCCTCGGCATATTGACTCACTAAAAACAAATAAAATGGGAGCTGTAAACACTTATAAATTGAAAAGTATATTCAGAAAACCTTCTTCCCGAGACAGGGACATTCCAAGACGTATTTACATCAATCGTAGTTCTAACGACGAAATCAATAACTTAGAATAGAAAAGAAGCCGAAGAGGAGCTCTATACATAAGAATTTCACTCTTTTTGCAAGCCCATGCCCGAATGTACTCGAGCCTAAACAAGCTTGTCGTCAACAAGGAAGCTCACTCACTGTTCGGGAGACGAAACCTACAGTCTTTTGTTTCGAAAAAAATACCGTCTTAAACCAATCAGTGTTGCAGATTCATAGCACATGCGCATTAATAATAGTATTCGCACAGCTGCTCTGTCTAGGACCACACAACTTTCCGTCAGGGCTTCAAGTGATAATGCGCATGTGCAATGACCCTGAAACGGGGGTTAGTGCATGTCTGGAAGACGGGCACGATTCATTTCCCGAACAATCAAGGCAAGTTTGTCCCCACAACATTTAGAACGAAGAACAACAACTGATTCGAGGTTAGACAAAGGACAACTGTTTTTCTCGCGTCAAAAAAGCAACAATGTGCCCTGGAGAGTTTCCCTTCTGCCCTTTCTCTATTCTAGGTCAGCACTTAAAGAAACGAGCAACTGGTGCAGCTATCTAGAATATTCTGGGACAGCACAGCTCAGTGGCATACTTACAAGGTGCCTTGGAATATGAGAATCGAAATATCCGCTCATTTAGTGAAAATGCCCTAATCATAATTAAACAAAAAGAGAAATACAACTTAATTAAATGTTAAATCATCAATTCACTTTGGTTTGTAAAAAAACTAGAATGCGAATTCGACTTACGATCGCTGTCTTTTCGCGGCAACGGGTCATGCAGGGCCTCATTATCAGATATAGCCTCGTCTTCAGACTCGTATCTATAGTCACAAAGCCGGTGCAGCACTTCAAGTTCTCTCTCCAACAAATGCGCCACCGTAGGTCTCAGTTTGACACCATCTAGAGTACATGTTGATGGAAGGCTCCGCAGTTCCTCGATAAGACATTTAAACACTGTTATGTATTTCAAATGAAACGACGTTATATCTTCCTCCCCTTCTTGCTCCAGCGGCTCATCATCTTCTGGTGTTTTCTCGCTTTTCGTGTCCTGAAATTGACTGGATTCGCTGGTTTCCGATAGCAGGCCGTTCAACTCACTCGTTTCCCTGTTAGTTGAAACCGGCTTGCTCCAATCGAAATCTTCCGCTTTTGAGTTTAAAACCGGTTTACTCCAATCGAAATCTTCCGCTTTTGAGTTTAAAACCGGTTTACTCCAATCGAAATCTTCCGCTTTTGAGTTTGAAACCGGTTTACTCCAATCAAAATCTTCTACTTTTGAATTTGAAACTGGTTTACTCCAATCAAAATCTTCCACCTTTGAAGCTGAAACCGGTTTACTCCAACCAAAATCTTCCACCTTTGAATTTGAAACCGGCTTACTCCAATCAAAATCTTCTGATTTAGAAGAGGATACGCTTTCAGTTGCTTGGAGTGTGTCCGAAAATCCAAGACCGTCTGAAATTGTCCCACTCGCTATCATTCCTTCAGTTAAAGAAACCTCTTTGTCTTCTTTCGTGTTTACAAGGGCTCCAGTTTCCTCTTCAAATTTTTCTTCCACCTTCAGTGTTTTTGGTAATAGCATCAAAACTTCTAATGCAACACTTGGCATTCCAGAGTTCAAATGTGTATGTGCAGTGCGGTAAAGAAGTTCTCTTTCAAACGGCGCAAAAACTGAGGCATCTCTCGCGGTATTTTCTGACTTCATTGTCTTCCTGTAGTCAAGCTTTCGTATATCACCGCTACGACTCCCTGTGTGCGTTGAATGCTGAGAAAGATGACATCTACGCACATACGGGTGTGACCGTAAGAAGAAATAGAAATTGAATATATCCGGATGTCCCATTGAAGCCATCTCATTGTATTTTATCTCTGTGTCATCAGTGTGCGGCGCTGTCGGATCGAGTAGCAAAGTCTCTAGAGACTTGTTGTAATCCCGCCGTAACCAATACGTCATGCTTCGAAGAAAGGGATCTGAAGGACGAATAAATACAATACTGAAATTCAGATAATTTTAATTCGGTGACTACATAAGGGCTACAACATAAGTGCAAATTAAAGAAGAAAATAAGATCTGTTTAATTTTTTACTAGAGTTCAGAATATATATGAATTTTGTTATTTGATTTTGGTGCTTGAAGCTCACATAAAATTCGCTTTAAAAAGTCACGTTTCATGTCTTTATAATCACCAAACATTGCTGTTTTCAGTATAATTTAAATGTTGAATTGACATTAAATGACATCGTTTACATTACAGAATCATCATGCAACGGTCAAGTTCTCTGCAACCCTAATTTTTAACAGCAATCTTTATTACTGCAGGAGTGCTTAACCAGATGTTCTCTAGGGATATGATTTCAAATTTCAAATCACCATTCATTCCACCCATAGGACCAGATGTTCTCTAGGGATATGATTTCAAATTTCAAATCACCATTCATTCCGCCCATAGGACCAGATGTTCTCTAGGGATATGATTTCAAATTTCAAATCACCATTCATTCTACCCACAGGAACAGAAAATTTCCCATGTGAGCAAAACTTAGCATCTCTAAGGACGAAATTGATACGCTCCAGGTGATCATCGCAACATACCTGGGTCTGGTCCTTCTGTGCCCTCTCCAAGAACGTACTCTGATAAAATCCTGTAAAAGGTCGATCCTTGTTCCATATTTCCTTCGTACAAACGAGTAATTACGAGTGCCAACTGTAAATCTTTTAATTTTGCGATGCAGACCTAGGAGGGTAACAGAATAGACTTATATATAAAATAATATTAAAACCAACTTTTGAAACTTCTATAAAATATCCTTTAGGGTTCTTTTGGGCCTGAACCTGTTCCTCCAAATTTCTTTTTCTGAATTTAGGCCATGTTAACACGTTTGGGTACGTGTTGAAGGCAGAACACGATTAAAAGACGCTACGTAAGGCCATTAACGTTTTTCAAAGTGTAGATTGAAACTCTCGGCTGCTTCATTTTTAATACTACAATAGAAGGCAGCAATGCTGTTGGATGCGAAGCAAAAAAGTGGATTTTGACATTTGATACCGGAACAGGAATGAATACATCAAGATTGCATACCTGCACGGCATCCCAGAGCGCCTCTGCAAGCAGAAAAAAAGCAACGGCATGCTCGAATCGCTGCATGCCTAGCAATGCATAGGCATTCTTCAAGGCAGCTTTCCTCCACCGATCTTCTTTGAAATCGTGGCCGAAAAACGTCGACATTTTCGTATCTCGTAAAGATCTGAAAGATGAATCGAATTCTAAAGATACGAAGAACAGCTTTTTCAACATGGATGAAAAAATTAATAATGAGAAACCAATTAAAACAAGCTTTTCTGAACAAACACATGTTTTATATAAACAACCAGTAACATCCATAACATTTTAGTAGGAACACATTTTCAAAAAAATGCAAAAAATTAGATTACATAAACAAATTTGCTTTTAATCATTTCTTTTATGAATGCAAAGCCCAGTTTTCTATCTTTGTCTTCTGAAGGTAAAACACTAATGAAGCAATTTAAAAAGAGATCGAAATTTTTAAATTTTTATAAAGTTAAATTTAAGGGAAATAAAGATAAATAGCAATTTTGTTGCTATGATGCTTTTTAAAAAGTACAAAACATGAATGAATGGAAAATCTCTTTAAAAGAATTATCTTAAATTGTCACTCGTTGATGTTTCCGAATCCTCTCTATCGGTCCATATTAAAGTTTAATATCCTGGTGTCTAATGGCTTCTTTTTTAATCTTTTAATGTATTAAAATAGCAATACCCCCTGCTATTACCTGTATAATGCACAGAGCAACGTCTTCTTCTTTGATGCTAGATAGAAAACTGCACAATCCAGGGGGTCTTGGTTTATCTGAAAGTGCGCCTTTGCAAGCTGTCGAAATAAAAAAAATTCACTTACCTTTCAAAGTCAATGGAGCCTAACATTGTTAAGTGAAATTTGACTGCTGCTCTTTTCTTACTCACTCAAATAAAAGTACGAGATTATAATTTTTTAAAGGCCAGAGTTGAGAAAACAGAAGGCTATGATAGAAGACAAATTCATATATCTATGAAACAAAATGCACTGTTATAAAAACAGGCAGAAAAAAATTGGATAGGGATGGTCAGAAAGTTTGGGAAGCTGAATCTCATTCGAAATTTCCTCCATGTATGGAAATTCCTTCTTTTTGGACAACCAGTGCTATATTTTTAAGATCTCCTTAGCAGATAACATAACAAACCTTTTCAGTGAGCCGTTTCAGAGTATCACTGCTCTTCACCCACCAGCCAACGCCGTGCGCCTTCAGCTCCTTCCAGCTGGGCTCACCACGCAACATCCCAGGAACCATTGCGAGAAGCTCCTCCTGGCAGTCAGAGTGAAATGCCCAGGCAATCTTCGCAGATGGCAATCCCTAGCGTGAACGGAGGCAAATCCAATCAGAAGTTTTTTATAATTAGAAATGAGTTTGAAACCCCAGAAGGTATTCAACATTTCCTACTTTTTAAAATGCTTGAAAAAAGATGTAAAAGTTTTGTTTCCAAATCTTTTCATGAAAAAAGTTTTAAGAAAAAAAGTTCATAAAATTGTTACCTTGCCTTCAAGACTGGCCCTGTGACCAAGGGGTAACGATCTAAGCAAAGTCGTGTGCTGTCGCATGGCTAGTAAAAACTTTAATCCACAGTCGTCAACAACATCTCCTCCGCTGCCCGCAGTTGCACCGATCGCTCCTGTCGTTGCGTAGCCTCCTCCGCCAACCCAATGCGACAACTTTTCATCTAAAAAAATGAATCGATTCATTACAATCAGTTGTCTCGACGATATCCATATGGGCACATTATGATAATATCTTTGTTTCTTCGGCTTCGCTTACAATAAAAGATTCCAATATCAACAGTGGTGTAACGGAGGCATCTGGGGTCATTTCATTTCATTTCATTTCATTTCATCTCATTTCATTTCATTTCATTTCATTTCATTTCATTTCATTTCATTTCATTTCATTTCATTTCATTTCATTTCATTTCATTTCATTTCATAATTTATTTGTTAACGCATGTTAAAAAGTGGCAGCCTCAAGGTGGCTGATGCGGACCTGCAAAATCAAAATATTTACATAACTAAAATCATGGTAAAATTAGGAATAATTTTACACTGTTTATACAGTTTTTTGTTGTAAATTACTACTATCTTAATTCATATGACATCTTTAGGGTTAAAATATTATATATAATTTTTCAAATCCTTGTTTCTTGATGAAAGTTGTTGTTTTCAGTTCCGTTATTGCCTTATGTTTTAGTTCATATTTGAAATTTTGAATGGGTCCTAAGGAAAAAATTTGGCCGGGCATGAGGCCCCTTCCTTTGGACTCCAACAAAGTCTCTTTCAACGCTTTACAACATGTCAAACACAATATCAGGATACAAAAATGAGATTTTCTCTTGTTAACTAGGATGAGCTGAGTTATAGAAACTTCAGTTTTAGATCTTTAAAACATGAGGTGAATTTGAGCCAAGTCCTCAAAGTAGGGGTTTAAAAATGATTTGGGTGCCCCATTTGGTGGGGGCCCTTTGTTGTCGAACTAAGGTTCCCTAAACTAAACGTATATTACAGGGGAGTATCAGGATAAGGAAAGTTCCGAACCTGTACGTGTTTCCCTTTTGGCAAAATTGAGTCCTCTCTCCTGCAGATCCCCACTCTCTAAATCCATGTTTGTTGTTGCAACTGTGTCAGCCAAAGCAAGCAGGTACAGCTGATTGATGCTATTCAGTCCAGGGAGTTGCCTTCGTGTCAACACATGTGCCAAAAGCTGGGCTTGGGCTAGGCCAAAATAAACAGCGCTTTTAGACATGCCCGTTCCCTTAGAATGGCTTGCCATATTTGCGTCCATTTGCAAGCCTCCGAAAGAGGTTGGCTTCGCATCGAATAGAGAGCTGTAGTCCGTTTCCACTGGGGCTGCTGGTTCATCTGACAATGTACCTAGAAAAACAGATGGCCTACGAGGTTAAAAAAGAGATTGATTTTACAGTTGGGTATAAAGCTGGGATCATGGAAATCAAAGTTTAAATGAAACGAAAGGCAGTTGAAACTATAAGCAATTGATACCAAAAGAAATGGTACGCTACTGCATCTGTGAATAGGCAATATAAATTTGAAAGCAAAGCAACCTTCTTCATTCTGCTGCAAAGCTCCACTTTCGTCTTTATCTGCTGCAATCAACGCCTGAAGTGGTAGCGGTGGGATAACATTCATCTCTGGTGTGTCTTCAATTGTCTCAGCAATATCTGTGTTAGAATCCATTGGACTTGAAGAGAGACAACTTTGAGTCCTCGATAACGTTCTCGACCTCGTTCTGATCATATCACCCGCCTCCGCAGCTTCATCGGCTGCCTCACGCCCCGCAACGCATCTGACCTGAAACGAAAGTGTTTCAATACCAGTACGGATATTTTGTTGCCTTTTGAGGAGGAGGGAGAAATTATTTGGCTGTTCTATACAGGTCAAAAATTGATAGCATAGTACAAGATACCATTTTTGCAGAAGGTTGAATTCTTTTTCTATAAATATATTTATACCTGATGGAGTTCGAATATTCTTTAACAAGCCAACGGACAATTAGTTATGTTTACTTACCAAATGGGAAAGAATGGCACGAACTCTTCGCATTTTACCCATGTTCATCAGAGCGATGAGGTTTTTTGGGTGGTACTGCGGCAGAACGGCGGTTGCGCTAGCAGCTCTGTACAAAATATTGTCACTGAACAGCATGTTTCTCTCGCCCTATGGAGAAAGCATAAGAATTGTCATCTAGTTGTGCTATTACAGCCATAATTGTGTTATTAAGTGATAAGGCGATCATGCTAAAATCATAGATTATTATGACACTATATAACAGTTTATGATATTAACCCGATACAATATCATAGATTTAATAAATTACAGAAATAAGATCAAGTTACTGCAAGTTGATAGAAAGAATCTATTGGTCTTGCTTGTAGAAATTTGGGTAGATTGGACGTTTTAGAAATTTATAACTATTTTATGACCTTCTTTCTATATCAAATATTTTTAGATCATAAACAATCGAAACAGATATATTTCTATGTTGCCATTGTTTGTTTTTATCAAGACCCTTACCATCAAAACTCTAACTCAATAATATTTTCAGTAAGTCTCAAACAACTTTAAAAAGACTGCCATGCCAATAGAAAAGAAATCGCAAAAAATCACCCAAAATAAACGTTTTTTAGTAGGAACAGTACGTAATTTCGGAAGCAAGCTTTTCGTCGATTCCCATTGTCAATCATGACCAAAATCGTAGAGTCAAATTGTTGATTCGAAATGAAAAATTATAAATATATACCGTAAATCCTCGAATTAGCCCCCTGGGGGCTTATTTATTTTTGATATTTTTGATGGGGGTTTATTCGAGGGGGGCTTCTACGAGGGAGGGGGGCTTATAAAATTATTGTAGACATTAAGAAGACATTATTAAAAGACCTCGTTTATTTAAGTAGATATTTCTTTATGAGCATTTAATTAATTACTACCAAAAGTATGAATTTGTTGTGGCAATTCAATAAAACGCCATACGCAACCTCAGATGGCGAAAATCATCAAATTGAGGGGTCCAATTTGAGAATTTACGGTAGCAGTGGGGGCTTATTCGAGGGGGGCTTATTGACCATTTGTAGTTCTAGGGTGGGGGCTTATTCGAGGGGGGCTTTTCGAGGGGGGCCAATTCGAGGATTTATGGTAATATATAAACACACCACCCACATTAAAATAGAAGGCTTTAAAGTTAAAAAAATCATTTTGTAATCCGTTGAATGAACCAGTAAGTACACAAGACTTACCTCATCCATCTCTTCGACCCTGTCTGCTTTTGTGTCTTTTTCCAAATTGACAGCTTCCCACTGCGAATACACCCTAAGCTCATTCTTCACTCCAACCAATAGCATCCCTTCGCGCGTCCACGTGATAGTGTTGATGACCTTGTCGTTAAGGTCAATAACATTGAGAAGGCTCCATCTAACGACAGATACCGATGATGACGTTGAAGAGACAATCTGTGGATGTATTGAAGTTCTCAATTGACGTAGAATGTAGATAGAATTCCCTAATGCAGCGCTGAGTATGAATGCACCGTTCTCTAGGGACATCCACGTCAAACCAATTGGGAGAGTATCAAGGTACGCCGAATCACTTGAGACGTTAGCGGGCAGCTTATAAGGAAGCTCAACTGTATCTTCGATTTTCCATGAATCGCCGCCCGTACTTTCACTTTCCAGTATGGACACAGATACTTTTGGCTCCTTGGTATCCAGGCTGACTGACAACCAAGCCAACCTTAGTGAATGGGCGTGGGCTGTTGCAAGCACCTTGAATTTTTTCTCGCTCAACGAGCCGAGATTGTACTCGCTAGAAACAAACTCGAACGTGTGCTTCAGGGTGGAATCATCATAATCATCATGTTTTTTCATCGCATAAAATCTCAAGAAACAGTCTGATGTTGTTACGCTGATCCAAAATGCGGACGGGCATGTTGAATTCTGGCATGACGAGCTTGGAATATCAGTAGCTGCCGAAAATATCAATGGTTTAACATCTTCAGGCAGTGGCAATTTCTGCACACAAATCTGCTTCGTTTCCAGGCATTTTGTAGTAAAAATACCATGCTGATGTTTCGAGGTCAACAAAGGACTAAGGGAGAACTGGGACGAGTTGCTTTCAGGTGATAATGGAGTGACAGGGGAGAAGTTACCTTCTGTCACGGGGGTAACCGCCCATGCTCGTATCACGTGATACCCTTGGGAATCGACAGTAACAGCCACTATATAGAACGGTCCCCATTTTGATTGATGCAGTCGCTTTTCTTTGAAATCCGCATTCTCGTGGACTGTTTCCTCATTTGAAACATCCTTTGCATTTTTAGGCCTGGTTTTGTCTGCGAAAACATGGAGAAACTTTACATTTGAAATACCCTCTGAGTCTGCTACATTACCAATCGGCATGACACACGTGGATTTCGATCCGCTTTGCTCGCTTTCAATCAGTCCTGACAGCTTCTCACGATTAAGGTTGTTTGCTGTTGCCTTTTTCGATGTCAATGCCGTGAGAAGAGCTTTCGAATCAAGAACAACCTGATGCAGGTGAAGTCCTTGGTCTGATGACGTCACAAAACACGCGCATGGCGTGCAGGGTAAAAAGTCGGTTCCGTCGGGGCCTGGTAAACAAACAAGGGAATGCTCAAACAAATGCGGAAACCAAGCCACGTGCTTGAAGTTTGACATGTCATTTGATGAGATCCTGGCCGTTTCGGTGACGCCTCCAAGTTGCGACAGCGGCCCAACTAAATCAGACCTCCAGAGCATCAGCTCGCTGGCGCATTCCTCAGCACAACTCTTCGTTGATCTTTGATGTTTATCCCTATTTCCACGATCCTGCGATGTACTAATAACTAGTGGCAATATTGGATGTGTAGCAAGCAAGGAAGTTACGAAACGTGGGCCGCAATTACGACGCAAATGCGTTACGCTGGCGATACCAATAAAGTTCGTTACGTCTGAAAACGTTAGCTGCCAAAGATTAAGTGTTCCATCAGAATGTGCAGAAACCAAAAAGCTAAACATGTGAGTTAAAGCAAGATCAGCCGCTAGAGTTTTCTGAGAGCCTGTCCCAGATGTAGGAATCTTCCCGAGCTGCAAACTTTGGTTGATTTTTGCACCTGAACTGATAAGTTTCGATAAATTTTTGTTGTAAAATGTGCCGGTCCAGTTAAGACTGCTGGCATCAGCTTCAGTAAATGCGGCAGGGATTCGGCTGGCGAAACTAACTTGCGGTTGTCGATAAAAGGCGCTCGTAAAGTCGTCGAGGTAGTCAATTAACCAGATGAGCAATGAGCCATCGACAGGGTGAATGCAGAACAGGGTATCGCCAGTGGTGCACCATTCACGGAGTAACTGGTTCACCTGTCACAAAACATTATATATGTTACAATATGACCAGCTATATGAAACTTAACTCTATTGAACTACGATATACAGGGACGCAGAATATATCACGGGTTGGGGGAGGGGGTGTTAAAAGCATTTTGTGGGAAGGGGCTTAGATTTTTGGAGGGGAGGGGGGCTAAACATGCAAAAGGCGAAAAGCAAGACTGGTATTGTGTTGAGTACAGTCTCTGAAAGATATTGGGGTAGGCTGAGGCCCCCAGCCCTCCCGCTTCACTGTCCCTTATGATATATATATAAACAAAAAATAAAGTAAACTTCAATAAATTAAACATCCAAAAAAAGACTTTTTTCTGGCAATAACTTTCGGAATTGACATCTCATAGATTAAATTTAAATTTAAGCATGCGTATAAAAAAAGAGGAATGGCATATTACGATGACTTCCCAGGTATCTTATCTAAGGACAAAAGACGGTGTATGTGATCTGAGGACAAAGACAAATTGATTACTGCAATGAATTGTCTGTTACCTGTGCGCCAATGGTAATTGGTATGCCTTTCTTCTTTGTTTGATTCTGATCTTCAAGGGATTTCTCGTTTGATGAATTGGATATGGAGCTTGTAGACTGACTGTACGAGATTGTGGAAGCTGTTGAGGGAGACCTGGAATCTTGGTTCATTCGGGGCGTCGTCTCAAATCCACTATCGTTATCATCTTCTGCAGATTCAAAACGAGGCATTTCAATAAATTTAAAATCAGCTAAATAAGATAACATTTTTTTCAGGATTTCCAGACTAAATGCACTTTAGAACTTTGTTAGACAAATAAAAAATACTAAACTTCTTTATATCTATAAATCGAAAATATTTATTCTGAAAGTATGCTCTAGCGATTTGTTGACTCCAATCTTAGCGAAAACCAACTGCCCTTATGTGCTTATCAAAATGAAGTATTTCTAGCTGAAAAAGTTTTCCAGCCTTCTTTGGTGGCATGTATATGCGTACAAAGGAAAAAACTGTGTTGTTACGCCCAACGTTTGGCTTGCTTGTGTTAACTGCGGGTTTTGATTTGGAAGAGTTATCGGGTTTGGGAAGGTTACCTAATGTTCACCAGATAGGCCTTGGAGTAGACTCAAACAAATGTACAATCCTTCTAAAACATGCATGACATCGAATTTCTTGGCAATATTTAAAATGACTGATTGCAATCTGCAATACAATATGCGATAGATAACAAAAGCTAAATATTTTAAATTGATAGTTGCGTTTCAATAATAACTTATAAATTAAAATATAAATTTCTTGCTTAGACATAACCAATGGCACGAAATATTGGTCTCAGTTTGGCAAAGAAATCAAGAATTATGAACTATTTTTTCTCAAAATGATACATCCCTATAAAATTACCCCCAAAGACACTCCCAATACTGCACCATATAACATGTAGTTTCTACCTTTCTTGAGGGTGGAGGGGGGGGGGGGGGTGGCACAAAGCACAAAAATTATAAAAACCCTGCGTTTCCAATAAACAATTTCCCTCTGTTCTATTGGTTCGTCCAAAGATTCCATCTTTTCTTCAACACTATACGAAGGACAACATCTGTTTTATGAATGAATGGATAAAGACTATGTTAAATTATAAGGCCATGTTACCATCCGATCTAGTCATGTCGTCCTTATCCTCAATGATCGTGTCTTCGTTCGCCTCCATTTCTCCATCGTACTCCATGTCATTTAACACAGCGTAATCTTCATCATTTAGCGAGTCTTCGTCTTCATTTTGCTTATCAGTCAAGTATCCATTCGTCAGTAATTCATACGATGTCGTGAATTGTATCTCTTTGTTGTTCAGCCACTGGAGCTGGAAGCTTTTGCCGAATACAGAACCAGTAGGGATCGTTGACAACAACGCGATGTCAGCAGTTGGGTTTATAACCGAGGCCAAATGAAAATGGTACATTGAGATGATGTGATGTCTGCGAAAAAAATTTGGTTTACTTGCATGTGTAGGCTGGGCAACTGAAAGGAGGGGGCTGAGTGAACACATTGGCCCAAGGTCACAAGGTCTAGGAGGCCACATAAAGTTATGAGCCCCATTTTAAGATTGGGATTAATCAATTGTAACAAGAATAGTAAAAAGTATCAAAAAATTATACGAAGATTACAGCAAAAAAAATTCTTAAATATATTTTAAGCTAGCCGCAGAAATTTTCTGCCCTCTTTGCTCGCAGGTGCCTCCTCTTTCAGTATTGCCCCAGTGCCTCCAAAACCTCCCGGCAGTCCTGGGTGTAGGGTATAATTTACAAAGTGAGTCGATTTTTAGAGATACGGTCGAGGAATGTTACCAGAGTTGTAGATAAAATTACCAGATTTGAAATCAGAAGAGAACTGAGCTATGAACGTTAATCAAATTCCATCTGCAAAAGACGGCATTTTGATTCACCAGTGGTATACTAGAGTAAGGAGGGCTGCTGTGAAATTAGCGTGTTGTTCCATTAACCAGTCTAAAAATTGATACCATAGGGGGTTTTAGAGAATTGCATGCAGGTTCATTGGAAACCTCCTTGACAATGATTTGGTCAGTGGCACCTACACAAAGTTTGAGGCTGACATTGTATCACAAGAAAAAACTTAACGTTCAACCATCTGCTTTCCTTTATCTCACTTCCCATATTATTTGTGCACACAAATATACCACTGAAGCGACCAATGCCCTTAACATTACGAAAAACATACGTACTTACCTAAAGACAGTGGCGCTCAATTTCGCATCGCCACTGCTATCGACCATGTCCGCCAAAGACGCCGAGCTATCGCGTGGCGATAATTCTTTTGGCGGTTCTAAATCCCCGACCAAGTCCGGCTGGGAACGTGGCTTGTTTTGGTCTGTTGTTGATGTCGCTGTGATGGCGTGAGTTGGTCGTTGTTTGACCGTCTCTGCCCAGATCCGACATACGTTGTCAGCACATGACGTCAAGAGAACATTCAAAACACAGGTTCTAGAGAAACATAAAAACATCATATCAAGATAAAATGAATCTGAGAGATACGAACATCTTTAAGAAGAACTGGACGCTACTTTACAGGGTTTTATGGCCTAATGTACAGTATATATGATAAGGACGGATTCCATTAGATTTTACAGAACCTAAACCGTTCCCTAACATCATGTTATTACAGAAAATTAGATAAACGGGGGCTATTACTTATCTAGAATTCGGCACTTTCTTTTTAAGGACTGTAGCAATGAGAGGAATTTTATTTAATTTGATATAGGAGACTAAAACGCAAGAAATTATCGCACTGCGTCCCTTATAAAAGGGGCCTAGGCGATGGTGTCTCTGAATATATTTAAACTCTGACGATATTAGAAAGAGTAAGTCTCCAAATAAAATTACAGTGGCATTCGCTTGCTCTTCTGCCTCCATGAGAATCCAGTGACGGCCTTTGGGTGCAGTATGTAGATAAAGTTATATGTTTCACTGTGACTATGAGCACGCTTTTGTTGTTGTTGCTGCTTCTGTTTATCAACCTGCTTGCCACTCTTCTTTCCATCTCTATGATGATGGCTGACTAAAAAGATGAAATTTCGAGTCAAACATCTCAATAAGAGGATACTAAGTTGTCATACACGCCAAGGAGCTAACTGATGAGAATGAGCCAGCAATCGCTTGACTAGGGGTATGGGCTTCAGTTGGGTGATTAACTCAGATGCTTTATTAACGAAATATTCTGCCAACCAGAAATGTTGATTTGAAGTGGCAGGGGTAACTACTTGGGATAAAACAAAAAGGAAAGCGCACAAGATGGGTATTGATCAACGATTTTATTAATCAAAGATTTACATTGTAATAAAATTGGCCATAATCAATCGGCGATATGGACAAAAACAAAATATTGCAAAAATACACTTGCTTTATCACGATGGATAAAAACTGGACAAAAAGTGCAGTATTACAAAAAGCAGTTTAGAAGAACAAGAGTCTGAGTTTCGAGCGAAGGAACATATATGGACAAAAACAAAATATTACAAAAATACACTTGCTTTATCACGATGGATAAAAACTGGACAAAAAGTGCAGTATTACAAAAAGCAGTTTAGAAGAACAAGAGTCTGAGTTTCGAGCGAAGGAACATATATGGACAAAAACAAAATATTACAAAAATACACTTGCTTTATCACGATGGATAAAAATTGGACAAAACGTGCAGCATTACAAAAAGCAGTTTAGAAGAAGGGGAGGCTGAGTTACGAGCGAAGGAGCATATATGGACAAAAACAAAATATTACAAAAATGCATTTGCTTTATCACGATAGATAAAAACTGGACAAAAAGTGAAGTATTACAAAAAGCAGTTTAGAAGAAGGGGAGTCAGAGTTACGAGCGAAGGAACATTTATTGACAATCACAGATTTCAATAAACCATTGTCTTTATAGGTAAGGAAATTCAATGGATAAAACTTTATCATGGAAAGCGGAATGAAGAAAGAACGACAAAGGTCGTTTGTATACATAATATTAAGACCAACTGAATCAAAACGAAATATGATAAAGATAAATAAAAACACAATATTTACTAATTAATATGAAGTTGAGATTTTTGTTTGTTCTGTGAGTGGAAAGTTAAGACTATTTTGTTGTTTTACAGATAAGAGCGATTTTAAATACACATCAGAGTTTTAACAAGCACGGCAACGACAAAGAAGTCATCCAGAGCCAGAAATGAAAATATATGGTTTCAAAATCAGAAGAAACTCATCGTTCATGTGGGGCATGTTCCATGAAAAGAGTAGTAAATGTGATTTACGATCAAAGAACCTGCTAATGTGGCCTCGAACTAAAACTATTAGATATGAAAATGATAGTAAAGTCTTTCGTGGCAACATCTGCTGGAACTAAACGTATAAATTGTTGGAGTGAAAAGGACTGCAACGGTCAAGTATGTAAAGAAACATTGTATTCCATAAATAATAACAACAATGTTCACACAGGGTAATCACTTAAACACACGAGTGCTGCTATCAAAGAGGGCCCTCTATCTATAGCTGGTATAAACTACAATAAAATGTTACAATCAAAGAAAAATATAATAAATATGTAAGACTGTTTAGAATCATAAATCAATTTTAACTGTCCATATAAACTTGTTTTAGTTTACGTTTAAAAAGTGGAAAGAGGTCCAACTGGCGTAGGCTGCTCGGATGTTCATTGGGACCTTGAAACTAAAAAGCCTTTTTCCTGTTTCTGTTCTAACTCTCGGGATTTGTGCTGCACATTTGCTGTTTCGAGTGTTCTGATTACGATTATTAAAGATTTAATTCGTGTGTTCAAAACTTCTAAAGACTCTCTTTAGGCATCTAAAGACCAGGTGACAAGCCTTGTATTCCTTGCTGCTGTTGCTCGACATAAGTTTGCAATCTTTCCATGTATAATCTTCTTTTTATTCTTTTCTAACAATTCCTTACTATTTTATTTATTTTCAAGCATTGATTGTAAATAGTTGGTCTGAACTAGCTTTATTTACACAAACTATGTAAAAATCAACTTCGAAGAATTTCATAATAATAATAATACTAAGAATAAAAGAGCTTATGGTCTGACACTAAAACAAAACAAGAATTTATGGAAATTTTCCCTAGCTATAAAATACGAGTTTTTCTCTTACAAAAGAAATTTATTCATTTTGCTTCTAAAACTTTTCGAGTTAAATTATCTGTATTCAAATATAAAATGGCAGAAGATATTGTATTCAAATAAAATTGTTTTCAAGTACAACATGTCTTTGGACAACTTAAGCTTCAAAGAATTACGCCAGATCAAAAAAGCGGCAACTCAAACGGGCATGTGTTAAAAAATAATATTTTTCTTTTGGTCAAGGTAAGCGTTGAAATAACCATAAAATAAAAATTTGATTAAAATGATCATGAGATAACACATCTTGAATCTCCACGTTTCTGTCCAAAAGTATTTAGCTATCTTAAAGTGATTAAGAGTATAGAGAAAATTCTTGGGATGATTTGTGGAAGAGCTTTAGGCAACGTTTTGGTGGGCGAAAATTTTAGGGATAGAAGATTGGGGGTAAGACATAAAACGAGTGTAGATATGGTCGACCCAGGAGCATGTCACCCTAAAAAGAAGCCAAAACTATTATATACATTTTAGACAAACAATAAAAAGCCTTTCCCGAATAAGGGTTTTGAAATCTTGATTTCCTGTTGGTTACAACAAGCAAAAACAAGTACTTGTAACTGTTAAGTTAAAAAACCAAACCTGTCTTTCTCAATACGATATTGACAACAAATAAACTATGCTTAATATATAAATTCTAATGAACAAAAAAAATGAGCAACATAAGATGGGACTGAAATTACCTTTGGAGGCTTGGAACCAAATTTTGACCATTCGATCACCCTGAAGATTGAGAAGGATTAATAAATAAAGGTCTTATGAATGTGTTTTGTGCCGAAATATTGGGTCCCATTGCTCAAAAGGATTGAAATAGTTCAAATTCATTAGGACGGCAAATACTAGGCAAAGAATGGATCCAAAATCAGAAAAAAGTTTAGTAAACGAGCGACTTAAGAAAAACACCGCATTACAGAAGAACCAACATATAGGCCCTTGTAATATTTTGCTTTGTAAGATGAAATAAAAAGAAAGTTCCATTACTAAAGCACATATTGGTATATTCAGATCGCAGTAATCTTTAATTTTGAAAAAACTAAGATTAAGAAATTTTTGTATCAAAAAGAGGCTGTTCAATGAAGGCCTCGGTCCAGTATTGTTGCCAAGTATTAGAATAATTTTCAGGCACAACCTCCACTAAAAGAAATTTGAGCAACATGATGGCACCTTTTGCTATAAAAGTAGTAATCAAAGAAAATATATATTTATCTAATTTATACTGACTATTCCGGCAGAAGCAAAATAATGGCCATCAGGTGAGAATTCTAGATGTCGGACTGGTGTTGCCATCCTGTGAAAGGAAAAATATTGATAGCAAGGAATGCGCCGTATAAAAACTTTTGGGGAAGGTATCGGGATACAGATTAAATAGTAAAAAATGTTGTATATTATATACAAGATACATTATGAAGCTTGATTATAAAGAACGTTATATAACGATTAATTTCCTCCTTTCCAAGATTTTATTCTCCTTTTCAAGCAGGGGAGGGTATCTGATTGTTTCATGTCATTGGGAAGTGCCTGCCACAATCTACTCCCTAGAAACGATATCGCCTCTAAGCCATAGCACGTAGTGCGCGCTTGTGGCAGTAGTAGATTGTGGCAGCTTGTCTACAATTGCATTCCGCTCCTTTCCAAGATTTCATTCCTCTTCTGCTTAACATATACCTCAATGATCTCTTCATGTTTGTGAATGATGCTCAAATATGCAACTATGCAGATTATACAACTATCTATGCTTGTGACAACAGTATTGATAGTATCATTGAAACATTAAAGAATGATGCCCTTAAAATTCAGTTTGGGTTTCCGAACAACTGTATGAAGTTGAATGAGGACAAATGCCATCTAATGGTCTTTGGGAATAAAAGTAATGATATTTCTTTAAATATCGGAAGTGTCAGGATAGAAGAGAGCACGGAAGAAAAGCTGCTTGGAGTGATTCTGGACAAAACATTATGGTTTAAACAGCAACTAAAGTCCATTTGCAAAAAGGCTGGGCAAAAGCTACATGCTCTCTCGAGAATCTCTCACTTTCTTGATACTGAACAACTAAAGAGAATAGTGAAGGCATTTATCTTGTCCCAGTTCAACTACTGTCCTCTTGAACTAGAAAAAATATCTCTAACTGGCTACACACAACCGAAAAAAAAATTCAACTGAGAGAAAATCAGGGAGTGATAAAAGTCCAAGTCAACAGTTACTAAATGAAACTTGTAATATTCAAGCTTTACTGTTACAAGACTTCGCCATATAATTTCTCTAAATTCAAGGAAAAGTTCATAGCAAAAACTAGAGAAAAAAAATAAGAAAAGAACCCCATTCAAATTCTAAATATAATTTTAAAATTCTCCGAATCCAACGAGATGTAGAGAAAAATAAAGATAAAAAAGTACCCTAGCTAAAATTCTTTGTAAATGATCAAGTGTTGGATGCTACGGAGTATCTAGCGAATGGCTATTCCTTAGTGACACCTTCGATGATATTGAAAAAACTGACCTTCTGTTCCAAACATTTTCCCACATGCTGCCATTGCCATCATCAAACAAGACAGAGAAACATCGCCACATGCTGATATGACTGCTACCAACGAGAAGGCGTTTCCCTGGGGATTCAAAGATTAATAATCACAAAGGAGGCACTTCAATTTTTTTTATACCTTTATTTTCTTAATTCTTGTACCAGAATGCATTGCACGCGCACCGATAAGGAGAAAAGGTCTATTACTTTGTAGGGATGTATCGGATATCCGGTAGGCCGGATAATCCGGCGCCGGATCGCTGATTTTTTGAAAATCCGGTTCCGGCCGGATTTGTTTCCGAAATTTTCCAGAACTTTAATCATAACTAAGAAAATTTGGAAAACCAAGTCAGACTCCCTTCATACAGTGATTAAAAATGGATTTTCCAGAACTAAACAATATCGACGATAAAACAAGCGCCTTGAAAACAGATTTGAAATGAAAGTGCCCGTCATCACGAAACAGGAAGACTGGATGATATAATTCACAAATTCGGTCCAGGGTTGCCAGATCGGCTTTTTAGGCCAAATTTTTCATTTTTGGTTTTTAGATTTAGATTGCCTGGAAAAATTGTTTTTTTGCTTACTACTTAAATTTGACCTTGTTGGCCTTTTCAGCAGACGTCCAAAATTAATAAGTAATTACTACATTCATAGAATAAATAATAATTAACTACAAAGTGTTAAGCAAATTTCAAATTTTATCACCTAACCTAAATATTATCTTGATATTAGCAAAGGGTTTTGGAAAAAAGTAAGATTCTTATCAAAGTTAAGAAATTATCAAACAGGCACAAGAAAAGAAATATAACCAGTGCCTGCTTGATGGATTCTTGAGAGAGTTTTTGATTTGGCCTTTTTATGAGCATTTTGGCTTAAATTGCTCACCAGTCTAGCCTTCGTTTGTAAATTCAATCTGGCAACCCTGAATAGGTTTTCGCAAAGTGGCTCAAAACTTTTTATTACTGAAAATTCTATAAATGGTCAGATTATCCGGTAGAATCCGGCCGGATATTCCACGAAGAAATCCGGTAAATCCGGTTCCGGCCGGATTCTGAAAATCCTGATCCGGTACACCCCTATTACTTTGCAACAGAGCGACATTACAATGACCATGCCATTGGGAGCACAATAGCACGCCTAGTCAATGGCCATTACATTACATAAAACTGTGAGAGCAACTTGAGCAATAAGATATGTAAGATATATACGCGGTTATCACTACAAGCTGAAAGCCTTTGGTAGCGCAAAAATTGAAAATAGCACGCAAAAGCGGAAAAATGACATACTGAAGTACTTTCCATCCGACACTCGTCAGAGTATAAGGTAAGCAGAAAATTGACACCAATCGAACGCACTCTCTCTCTCTCTCTCTCTCTCTCTCTCTCTCTCTTGATACGACAACTCTCTCTCTCTCTGTCTCCTCTCTCTCTCTCTCTTCTCCTCTCTCTTCATCTCTCTCGTACTCTTTCTTCTTTCTCTTTTCTCTCCTCGTCTCTTCGTCTCCTCTTCTCTCTCTCTCTACTTTCTCTCTTTCTTTCTTTCTTTCTTTCTTTCTTTCTTTCTTTCTTTCTTTCTTTCTTTCTTTCTTTCTTTCTTTCTTTCTTTCTTTCTTTCTTTCTTTCTTTCTTTCTTTCTTTCTTTCTAAATTCAAATCGAGGAGATCGAGGTTGATGCCCTCATAAAAGAACACATTTATTGCACTCATATAAATAGTTGGGATAAAAGCAAGATTTGAATTGTTTTCTTACTCTAATCTTTTCTGCTACTTGCTACTGCGTGGCTTCGAAGTTTGCAGTTAGTTTTGCGCCGTTGCGGAACAGGGCCTCTTGATAAACAGGAGCTAAGCTATTCATTTTTTTACGAAAAATAACCAGGCGCTTATCCCTTTTCTTTCGCGTAATTTCTTGTCAAAAAGACACTACTCCAACTTAAGCAATCAGCAATCCTTCTCTTAATCATAAGATGTGCCATATTGACAGGCTAAATACTTCCCCGTCAGTGGCATAAAAAACCCTAAGGCTTATTCCCACAATTTAAACACTCCGTTTATTTTCCAGGGATCATGTCCTATCAATTTTCCAATTTATATTTCTTCAGTTTTTCCCCTAGGATCCTTTTCTATTTTCCTACTGTCATATTTCTTCTTCAGGGGCCCTCAACCTTACAGATTCGATTTCGAAAGATCGCCAGACTGTTCAATTCACCAATTCAATTTTTACGGCCTTGTTTTGAAAATTACTCTCAAACGTCATAATACGACTTTTTTAGCTCAGGTTAGGATTTACCAAGATGAATTCAGTGGAGTTAAAATTGTTTTTGTTGTGGTAGATTTTATGACAATATACAGTGGAAACGTGTTTTGTATATATCTTTTTTGCATATTTGGGAAATACCATTTTCATTTTGTATCACTTTATATACAAACTTATACCACTTTTGGTTGATTTCGGCAATTTTGAATCTCATTGGAATTTCATAGCCGAAGGGGATTTTTAATATAAATTTATCAAGTGTTTTCCTGGCCTAAGGGTTTTCCACCGCAATGAAATTTAGGCGGGTCAGAACTTCGGAAGATCTGGGTATCTAAAATGTACAATATCAACATGCGAAATATGGAGAAAAAAACAGACGTGTGTTGAACAAAATCATGAAAGCAACACATAAAACAACTAAATTTGTGAAGAACTAATCCATTAATTATTGATTAATGTTCCTTTAATCGATATAAATTTTTCATTGCAGTTGCTAGGTGACAATATTTCACGGGCATTTGGCTCAAAAATCAAGGTCACACAGGCTGACCCTAATCATTCCAAGCCTTCGCAAAAAGTCGCTAACTCGGTTACCTTCTGTTTACCATAAAGAAGATTATCTTTGCGTTTTTCAAATTTATAGATAGATCATAGCTTTCTGGTTTTCGTTTAAACGTTTAAGCATACAAAATCAGTCGTTTTAAACTTTAATCCAGCTTGGAAAAGGACTTTGCTATGTCCTGATAAACCACTTAAATTTCTTGGGAGGTCTATTTGTAAAATCTGAAATGCGAAAACAGAGCAGTGACGGAAAAGCTGGCGTGTAGATAAAAACAAAAAGAAAATGTCTAAAAATACTTTTCAGATCAGCAAGTGCCTTGTTTAACAGAAATATTAGGCCCAAGGACATTTTAATAGAGTAAGCAACTCAAATACTAGCCAGGTTTTAGAGTGCTAAAAATCGTAGCACATTGACAAACAATGAAAAACTTCAAAGAATTGTTTGGTTTATAAACAGGAAATTAATTTTTTGTGGTATAAAATTTAAAAAGTCTTTGAAAAAAGCAAACATTTTAGAACATACTTCACCTTCTGACACCCTTCACCTTCAGAGTATAAAACGTCAGAACATAGATCAAAACTCTACGCTAGAAAATATATACCCAGTTGTGGATCGAAATAGGCCAATCAGATACGTGAGCACATGAGAAAATCCCTAAGTGCTTACAAAATACAAAATACAATTGATTGTTAAAAATATCTTGACTATTTCAAACCAAGGGTTATTAATAAAAAATTTTCAAGCAACTAAAAGTTCATAATAGAACTAAAAGCATTTTGCAGACTTTCCTAAACAACAAAAATATTGATTTGCTAAAACTCACCATCTTTGTCAAGACAAATCGTATAAACTTCGCTTGTTGCTGAAATGGTGTGAACTTTGGTCCAATGGTAGGGGAGCCGCTGGAATTTAAACAAGTCAATCATAACTCACTTCAGAGAAAAATCAAATTATTTTTCTAAAACGCCTTTATGATCTGAAATGCTTGAAGTATCACAGTTTTTTGTCATGTTAGTTTTAAAAACTTTTGCATTGAGTTTTTCTAATAGCTCTGGTACAGTGAAGCATCTACTTGATGGTGACAAAAGATTTTCATAAACCAAAATAAAAAATTTTGGAATCAATGCTAAAATTTATTCATACACCAGAATGTATTTTGTTGCAAGACAAAATACCTCTAAAGAATGCCTTACACAAATTTTGGCAAATCCCCTTTAGTAATACCGGATTGGTATTTGTAATGGCCAACAGGAAGTCACACCTATCAAATCATGTGTCCGATGGCTTCATGTTGCAACTTTGATCTTGTCAAAATTTACCTTATTAAAATTTTTTAAAAAGAATAATCTATTCATTGACAAGTTGCATTTGAAGGTTACAGATATCTGCTAAAGAATTATGTTTATTGTCCAGACAGAGGTCATCAACTTGCTACAACTTTTACCAATGGATAGAAATTATGGGGCCACATCATACCCCGGTTTTGTTAGAAAATGTACATTCACTTTGCAGTTTTTGTGAATAGATGTATTTATGAGAATGCAGCCAATGAGCTTTGTCAAATTTTGAACATATCTAACTGATTCTGCATATTGGGAGGTATTTTTTGCCATTCTTTCAGATGATGTGGTCAAATTTAAGAAACTCTAAAAACGATTTTTGATTTACTTGTGTTAGCAATTGATATACATATCCTGGAGTTCTATAAACATAAATTTGTTTAGGGCCTCAGACAAAATTTTGGCGTGCAGATGAAAGGCATTTTTCTGAAAGATTTTTAAGTTGGAAGTTGTTAGCTTGTAAATGAGACACAGATGAACTCAAGCAAACAATTGTAAATACAAAATGGTCTTATGGTTCCTATTAATCAAACCACAACACAGCAAAAAATGAATAAATAACACCAATTCATTGCCCAATGGACACTTTCAAGCAGTTGAGCATCCAGGATGATGTAGAGGCAAAAATTACAAAAAAACAAAATGAAGTCTTGCAGTTGTCTGCAAAACAACATCTAGATCCACCCTCTTTAAAACACTTGACAATGTTAGCTGTCAAATTACCTTTCCAAACATAAAACTTAAGGATATTTTAGGGCAATGCCATTAAAGCCAATTATTAAATGCTTAAATTGTGACTAAATCATGATTTTAGCAGCTCTGGGAGAGGGAAGAAGTCCTCAAAGAATTTAAGACTTACTTTACTGAGGTCATTTCCTTTGTTGCTGAGGGCTTCTGGCTCAAAAATGATGACTTTGCTTCCAAACGATGCAGCAATCTAAAATTTGAATATGTTTTCAAATACCATCAAATTCAAGATGAATACAATATGAATTCAAGAAAATCGTTCAGCTCTTAAAACATATTTATAAATTTGGATATAGAGATTAAATTAACTCGTAACAATACTTTTTCAAGGGTTGAAGTCAGTCACAAAGCATGCTGCATAGGGCACAGAAGAAGAAAAATCAGAAATTTTGGTGTGCACACTTGGTGGGTACCTTTGCTATGAAACTGAAACTTATTTTGTCCTACAATAATAAGCTCTAGATCTTTTGCTATATTACAATGAACTCTGTCAAACATATAACATTGAGTTAGTTGTGGTACAAAGGTTGATGCTTGGCTAATATCACATCCTCTGATTCTTCCAAATAACAGGAAATTTCTTTATTTTTCACTAAAAAATTAGCAAGTAAAAGAACAAAACTAGAAACTTGTCAAAGTAGAATAGTACCCAGACTTGTGCAGACAATATTTCACCTTTGCTCTTACTTGCAGATAATATGATAATAGCCAAATATATATAGCAAGACAGCAGAGTGGTTCTGGTAATGACTTTCCTAGTTCAAGAAATACCAAATTCAAGGAATCCTTCTTAATTGAAGAATGCAGAAGTGGAACAAACCTTTCCATTGCCATCACTGCATGTCACACATCTGACAATGCAATCACTGCTCTGTGTATAGTCAGACAAAACCTGGACTCTTTGGAAATCCCCATCAAGTACAGCAACATCATAGCCAGAGCCATAGGCCTATGAAGGGTTAAATAACATTAGTCTCACTAACAATAAAGTATCTTGACTTTCAAAACAGGGTAAGTGGGGTAAGGGGTATATCAATCAAAGGACAGTCTACAGATAAAGTGATGGAAGAAAGCAATACTTCTGTTATTTTAACTATATTCACACTACAATGCAAACCAGTCTGATAATTCTGCTAGACAATAGCACCCTCCCCCTCCCCACCACAAGATCTGACTCTGTTAACATGCAACCAAAGTGGGATAATGATAAACTAATGCTGCATCCGCTGAGGGTTGTCAAAGACTAAAAGAGGCAATAATAAAGAGCAGCTGAAATAATTTCATGTTCTGGCATGTAAAGAAGAGAGGAAGGTAAGATCAAGTTCGTTGACTCTAGTTTTGAATAATGTCAGGTTTTAAGAGTCTGGGAAGCAGGAAGAGGGTGGAGTGTTTTGAACTGAACAACAGGCAGATTAACAAATCTAACAAATGATTCATTGTTGGTTGCCTGACCCTAATAAATGTGGAATTCAGAACAAGCTTAAAATCTCTTGTTCTGCACAGCAATTTCTATACTGTCAATGTGGGATTGAGTACTATTTGAAACAGACCAGTTTACATAAATCTTCAGAATGGTGTAACTTTAAGTTGCCTGATGCTGGCATAAGGCATGGAGCTGTGAGTGTAGGCAGCTGAGGGCTGAAGGGCTGCAAACATAAGAGACATAGGGGCTGGGGGCCAGGCATGCTCCTGTCGTTGCAGAGACGTGCATTAAATCACGTGCCTGGTTTATAAGAACCCTTTAAATCACGCTCCTTGTGTTTTGGTTTTGAATAATCTTTGTACAAAGAGCCTTGCGGATTCGAAAGCGATTGATATCTAAATAAACGGTTGCTGCTTTTAATCTCTCTTTCGCCAAGTTGAATTGTTATTGCCAAGTTAAAGCAAACACCTCTTGGATATATTTCTGGTCAATATCCAATAAACTGTCATTGTGATTCCTGATTGTTATAATTGGATTTCAACACAGTCACGCAACTTTACTCATTAATTCTTTCATACATCATACATGATATTGGATCAAAAACCAAAGAAAGAAATGGGAAGACAATGGTGGTTTCGATTTGGTGTAAACTTTGCTCAAAACACAAAAACGTTATTTTATCAAATCCTCTTTGTATTGTAAAGTAAGTGCCAAAAAAGCAATTGAATCATACGTCAATGAAACCAATTTTGATTCTTCAACATCTTCGGACTCTGATTCTTTGTCGGAATTTGAGCTGGACGTTGACGAACTACAACAATTATGTGTTTTTCTTTGCTTTTAGTGCTCTATTAAGTAGTTTGTTTAGAGATTTCTAGATACAAAGTATTTACATGCCAAAATATGCCGTTTTGGCTACTTTAACGTAATATTTTTTTGTAAAACGCCCCCCATTAGCAAGGTGAGGCGCGCGTTTCAGCACGCGCCTACTAAAATACTCAAGGAGAGGCCTGCTGGCGGCTGCAAAACCCTTCCCTCAATCAGGCAAAATTTATCGAATTCAGGCCAATTAGGGTAATTTTATCTCAATAAAGCAACAATATACAGGCAGGACCAAAACTAAGCTCCCTAAATATTTACCCCCCACTATGTCTGTGGCTCTTAGTAAAATATCATCCTATTCTATGAGTGTTTTTTGGCTATAAGATTTGGAAAAAGAGGTCAAATCTGCTGTCAAACCTTGAAATTATTGTCCTGTGAATACAAAAAACATTTGAACCTAATAATGTTTTGCAATTTGTAGTATGAATATGAACTGTTTAGGAAACTACTTTTAAGAAAATTCCCATTTTTCTAAATTTTCTGGAAAATTTTCAGCCAAAAACTTACAGTGTGATTCCAGAATGGACATATATAACTAAATGAAAGGACAAACTAATTTCTCAGTTATTGAAATTTAAATGCTATCTAAAGATCTAATTTTTGACCATGAAGATTCTAGCTCAGTAAAAGGGAATATGGGTTGTATGCCACTTCAAAAGTAAAATATTTGAATAACTGTGATACAGGCCTTTTTGCAAACATTTTGATCAAAAGATGTTAACTAGTTTTGGCATTTCAGAGGGTATGAAGTTCCTTGTAAACATAGCAATTAAAAATTACAACTATGGAAGATATAATTGCAGTAGCTGATCTTTTTTAATCAATTTCAAATTCATTCACTCACTCATTTCATTCACTCTGATGAAGCCCTGTATGCCGGGGTGAAATATTAGTATTCGTTTAATTTAATTTATTTTGGAAAATTTATCTCACAACATTGGATTCTCGTCGCTGTTTTGCTTTGTTTCTGAATTTTATCCTCGTATTTATATTATACTCATTGCAAGATTCACAGAATCCGGCGCACAGCCTATCCTGCGGTTCTTCCTTCTCACACATGATCTTTTTAACTTGTTTCATTTAACCATACTTGCTGTAATTTTTCTTTCTCCCTTTGATAATAATTTACTTCCACTGAAAAGTTGCAACTGTCAGATCAAAGGTGCTGTTTCAATTATTTAATAGTCAGTTTTGTATCATGTAGTGATTGTCAAGCATAAAATATCTGAAACTTTTAAGAACACTTCCTTTATTTGGCGAATTCCATTCACAACTTCATAAAAACGAATCAAATTAAGACTGTTTCAGACAAGACAATACACATTCCGAGAAACAGAAGAAATCAATAATAATTTGGTTAACCTCTTTGTAAATCCGCAAGTATTGTTATTAGTGAGTTTACTTTGTTGATTTAAATTGTCTACACTAACAAAGTCAATTAATGTTCTTTCTAAACAAGACTTCCTATATTCCAGGACGAGTGGACACGAGTGAATATTTCAGGACGAGTGAATTACGTAGGAAAAGCATAACTTGATGTTTTGCAAAACTGCAAAAACATACCGTAAAAGGCCTTCCTTCAACGGTTCCTGTGGCGACAGCAACGTTGTTTTCAAAGACATTTGCAGCTCCTGTGAGCACTTGATGAAGTCTCATCACTTGGGACTTGTCAACCCCGGCCTATTGCAGGCGTCTAGGCCGACTCCTTCTACACCGAACAGTTCTGTAACTCAAATCACGTAAACACCATCTTTGAGTGCACGTATAGTGCTTTTCATCTGCGCTTGAGGAACCCAGCAACTAGGTTTTTGCAATTAAATTTCATCGAAAGAAGAATTTTGAACTTTAAACCACTGAGCTTTCCTTCTTGTGACCAGCCTCGCAAAGAGCAAGTACTTCATGTAAGCATGTGTGGCAGCTGTCTGGGATGCATTTTGATCGAAATAATTTTTTTAAAAATCCAGTATTTTTCTTTGGGTTTTAAATAATTCATTTTTGGAAGATGAACAAAAGTAAACCAGAAATTTATACTCTTTTCCAGTTTTGTTTATTGATTGCTGAACTTTCTGACACCGGTTCAAAATTAACATTACCTTTTCATGAAAAAGTTTTCAATAGCTTTTCATACTCCAAATGCTTTGGTAGAAGTTTCTTTATTACTTTATCATGGGCTCCGACAAAGGTCGAAAGGGTGGGGGCCCAAGGAAAAATTTAACACCCATTACAAAAGATTTTGAAAAAACTTGTTTTGCAAAAAAGTGGGGGGCGAGGTCCCCCTATGCCCCCCTCGTCGGAGGCCCTGTTTATCACTGTAAGGAATGATTATTTTAAGCTTTTTAGATGTTTCTCAGGTTTGTATGTGGTAACTATCGTACCCTGTAATGTGTTAAGTCTCATGGAAACACAGACAAACTTCTTTTTGCTTTGCACAAATCCTGTGATAAAATTCCCAATTTTGATAAACAAGTTCCTCGATTTTCGATTCTTTATCTTAAACTCTTCTTGCATTTATTCTTAATGAATTATCCCTTTCTTATAAAGCTATAAACTTAGTAAAATGGTATGCCAATAAATTCCGAATAGAACTATAAACAAAGATGTGAACACTGTGTAGAACATAGACACTTTTAAACTCAATGATCACATGTTTGCAGTAAATATGGACACCCTCTATCCTAAATCTTGAGGAAACAGCCAGAAGCTGAAGAAACAAAGGTTTAGAACTGCCATCATGAAGAAGTTCGTCAACCTTTCTCTCTGGAAACCCACATACCTCTAATAGTTGCGTCACAAAGTACAATAGCTTATAGTTGTATCGCCACATGTTTGAAATACTGATTTGCATTCAGAATCCAGGTTTCCATGGAAACTTACCAGGAGACTTCTTCGACTCTCTATGAAATGGTTTTCATATTTCGAATAGAATAAAATCAATTTCATTTTAATCAATTTACTATTAGATTATTTTAAACTATCTTTAATGACTAAAGCAATGTTTTATGCATTTTACATGGCTAAATATTCGATAAAATAAACTGAATGTAGCCTAAATATCTGATTAAATGACTTCAAAAAATGCAACCGCTATGAAAAACTGAAACAGGATTCACGGAGCAGGCAAAATATGGAATGCTTTGAATTGTTGACATATGCAGTTTGGTTTACTTCAAGACAAGAAGCAGCAAGAAAAAGTAGAAAAATACAAAAAGTATAGAACGAAAATGGCATACTTGAATACTTTTCGTCCAACACTTCTCAAAGTATGAGCGTTGGATAATGTTAATGACCAAAAGTAAGCAGAAATTTATATCAAGATGAGATTCGAAAGTAGTGTTAGGGAGAGAATTGTTTGCTTCGTTGACTCCGAGCCCCACCTGAATTTGTTGCATACCGCTACCGCAAGCCTAAAGCTCCCTCCGCCCCCGCTTACGCGGTCCCTAGCAACCGCAAGCCATTACCCAATGTTATTACTCCGAGGAGTGGCGGAAAACAAAATAATGTAGAATGATATGTTTCCGCTTTTCCGGATCTTAGAATTTTAATATAGCAAACAGTTCGAAAGCTAGTAAGACAGTCGTTTTAAGGCTTGGTTTTGCTATGGGTCTCTTTTCATTGTTCCACCCTCTTGGTCACCATCCGTGCAAGGTCGTTTGAAATGTCTGCTCTCTACAAAAAACAAAATCTGATTCTGTCTTAACTGTGAATGGAAACTCTTCAGGAGAATATAGAAGTTTCGATTCAAATATAAAATTGCCAAGTAGAATTCTTGCTGAACTTATGTTCCTTAAAAATGGGCTGTGCCTCCTCCAACTATTTTTAAATTTTATCAATGGCATGCCCCTCAAGTCCCTTTTCTACGGAAAACATGTATCTGAAAAGATTCCATACAGCATTCGTTTAAATTTATGTACACAACCTAACTTACTTGCCTGTTGATCGCATTAAGCGTGAAACTCGGGAATAGCAACTTCGTACCGACATGTTCTAAAGACCAAACAATGTACAGCTTTGTCTATACGGTTGTGTTTAGGAAGACTATCCATTTGTAGTATGCACAATTTCCTTTCCTCCACAATGTCTACCATTCTGCTCGGCAACAAACAAGTAAAGTAACAAGTACTCAATATTGCATGGATTGGTTCTTTAGATGTGGTGGTATCTTAAAAAAGAGAATGCGTTTTTGGGGGTTTGTGATCAAGTAAAATTATTAATATACGCTTAAGTTCTTTTTCTATAACTTAAAACTCAATTGGTCAAGCAAAGCAAGATGAAATAAATAATTTATAGAGATTAAAAAACGGAAGGTGTGGAAGTAAAATGTTGCACCAAGGATCGCTAAGTGTACGGGAGCAAAGCCATGGGGGTTTTGGGACTAGGGACAAAGAATCTGAATTAAAAGGATCCCCAATGCTTGGGCAAGTTTTGGAAACCAAAAATAACTTAAATGCAGTCATTATGAAAGAGATATTTCAGTTGGATGAACTTGCATATAATTTACGAAATCAATAGTTTATGCAAAAAAAGTCGAACACTGTTTCTTATAGGCTAGATACAATATCCTATAGATGTAATGAATTGTGGAATTCTATACTATTAGACGTTCATTCGACAGTAAATTGTAAAGTATTCAAAGCTAAAATTAAACAAACGGATCTTACTTGCTCGTGTAGACTATACACACCATATATTTATAATATTGGATACTTGTAAACATCACGATTTTTTAGTTCAATTTGTTATTGTTACAAGTTGGTGTTAATTAGCTGTTTATTAGTTATTATCGTGTAAACCAACAATAAATAAACTGAATAAAACAAAAGACCAGCACCTTTAATTCTTAACCAGCCTTACGCCTACTGAATGCGTGCTGAAATTTTCTGACATCTCAGCACATTACTATGTATACAAAAAGAGAAGGAGTCAATGATTTATTTCAGACAGCATCAGCAGTGGCAACGCCTCCAGGGCAGCCGGTTTGCTCGATGCAAGCCTTTCGAATATTCAAATGAATAATTCATCGAGATAATACTGTTATGTCTTATTGTAATGTGCTTTCATTAACTCCTAGATGTGCTAATAATTTTCTGTGGTAAGATCAAACCGTTTTTTACCTCTAATGGTTTACATTTTACATCACAAGTTATTAATAACAATTACAAAGGTTAATTATTCATCTGTAAAATCTTCAAACATTACTTTATTGGGTCTTTATCTCGACCAGCGAATTCTTTAAAGATAAAAAGCAATCTTGGATAATTGTCTCCTCGAAAGTTTTTAGGTACTTGTGATCGATCGAAGGATCTATTACGTCATAAAATGTCAGCTGATTGAATAGCCGATGGGAATTGTGGTAACAGGTCGTGCTGAGATTTCTAATTTGCATCGTGGCACCATGATGATAAAATTCCAAATTTGTGCACTGGAAAACAAAAATGGATCGATTCAGTAGGGCTTTTCCTGAGCGGAAAGTTGGTAATGCAAGGGAAATTTTATAGGAAGAAGAATTTGTTCACATGACTAATTGCATTTGTAAAGGGAAGATAATGGTGTTGTGTGCTGTACAGGAGATCATCCAGCAAGTTGGTGTTGGAATATAACAGATTCATAACGGGCTGTAATTAGTAGAAGCAGTATCAAGCAAAAAGCACCTTGTGAGAACGCTTGATGTGCGAGGAGTGCAAAGTGAAGACAATTCTTTTTGATTGATTACTGAAGAGCATTGAAGCATCAATTCGAAGCCAAGCATCGCGAAAGGTGAGTGATTTGTATCTTTTAACCTGTTTTAAAGTGGTTTAATTCTACGAAGCATGGAACTCGATTGGATGTCAGAAGTTGTGTATGGAGCGAGGCTGTTTGACAGAAGCTGGACAGCCGGATCCAGAGACATATTGAAGATCTCATCAAGCAAGCAAGCAAGCCCCTTTCCAAGTGTCTTCGTGCAAGCACCTCGTTAGTGTTTTTCGCCTTTTATACTGCATAGATAAAAGGGTCTGCAAGACCGAGGAGGCTGTTATTTTTGGGGATGAGTTTTGTTTCTAATACTAGACGGAACATGTTGTTTTATTCTATCCTCCAATCTATCCACAGCTGGGTATATATATTTCCTAGCGTAGAGTTTTCGATCTATGTTCTGACGTTTTAAACTCTGAAGAGTGTCAGACGAAAAGCTTTAGTCTACTCAAATGTTTGCTTTTTTCAAAGCCATTTTCAATTTTTGTACCACCGAAAGATTGTTTTTAAATTAACTTTCCGTTTCATGATTGCCGTCCAATTTTAAAGAAGGAAGAAGTTGTAATAAAATTTCCTGAACAGAAGCGGGCCAACGTGCCGACTTTGTCGCAAATTTAAAAGAGTTTCTGTCTAAATGAAAAGCAGAACTCACCGTTGAATCATTGCATCGTATGAGTTCATTTCTTATACATTAATCTTGCTAGATTATACATCAATAGTAGATATTTTGTATAGAGCACTTTGGTGTATAGAACAGGATAGTTTTAAGTTGCAGCTCCGAGTTTTACCCTTAATGCAAAAACCAGACAGCATCTTTGTTAGAACACAGGGTCCCATTCATTGCAGTACATCACGTGACAACTGCATCGTTGTGCTATGATTGCATCAGCATCTGTAAATATGTTTCTTTGTATTACGTAATTATTATTTCAAGGTTCTGCTAAGAGTATATAAAGGGTTGTTTCAAAAGTCAGGTCTAGTCTTAGGTCTAGTCGAAACTTTTTCCGTACTGCTAGAAGCTCTGTCGCTAGTTTTGTCGTGCCTGTTAAAGCCGTGCCGTTAAATGTCGAGCTTGTTGTTTTGAGTCATTAGTCGAATCATCGCCGTAAAAAGAAGAATTTTGATTTAATCCGCCGTTGCCGTGTTTTTGAACATTTCTGCCTTCAACGAACTCACGTTGGTAAAACACCCTTTTAAGTGGTTTTACATCTATGCACCAGAGCGTGAGCACCAAGCTCTATATGACAAACCGTTTAAACAGTAATTTTCAAATTTCCAGATATTGCTTCAAGATGGCCTAAAGTTGGTTGTTGGTTTTTAAGCATTCCATTCCGGCAAATATAGCCTGCCTGCAGACTATAGGAGGAGGGAAAATAGAACGAGGAGGAAAAAGTAGGTTTTTTTTCTCCTTCGTAGAGTCTGCACGCAGGCTAGTTCAAAACAGGTCAAGATGGAAACATTTAGCCCATAAACTTTCGAAATTTTTTCTCGCTGCACTTCATAGAAAGCGATTTATACGGGCCTATCAAATCTGAAAATGGTTTACCTCGAATATCTAAGACTAACTAAAAAGATAGTCAATAGCTAAAAATTATGATAATGCAATGATCTAGCCAAAGTTGATACTGTAAGTCCGCTGGGATTCTAGGATCACTGGCACTACTCTCCTCCGCAGAGGCCAATGTATAGGGAGGTAGAGAGCGAGAAAAGGTTAAACTGCGCAGAACAGGAGGGGAATAGCCTGTGCTCCAGACCCATAACCTTCAGGTTAAGGGTCTGGAGCACAGGCTAGAGGGGAAGGGTGGAGGAGAAGGGGAAAGGAAATATTGTCTCCCGCTATTTTCGTTCTTCCTTATTTTCGTTCTGAAATATTGTCTCCCTCACAGCTCCTCTACTTTTCCCTTTCTGCCGTAGTTCCCTTTATCCTTTTTTCCCTTCCGATCTCCCTCCACTATAGCCTCTGTGGGGGAGAGTGCATTGGCACCGTGCCACCCTTCTAATGCATTTTCAGAAGCTGCTACTTAAGATGTGATGTGATGTGTGCATTGTGATAGAGTGCGAGTCGGCATATATATATACAACATATATACATTGTTATTATTTTTCGGCAAATCGAGCCTCGGCGTTCGAAAAAAGCGTGTTCTCATTAAAATAGAGTGGCGGGTTGCTTATCTGAGGAAAGTGGTACTTCCACCAATTCAAGAATAATCCTTGAAATTACACATACCTTAAAATCAATATCATCGACAGCTTAAAAACATTTTATACTGTGTTTTGTTTTGGTGGACGATTTTTGAAAACATCGTCTTTTAAGCGAACAGACAGCAGATTGTCACTGGAATATAAACCACACATTTGAAAGTTTGCTTTTCTCGTTCCTAAGAAGCTAGATGCTACCAAAAAGAAAAATAACCGCAAAGAAATATTGATAGGTTTGATTTAATGTATTAAGTTGAAGGAGATGTGAATTTGACTTCATTTACCCCGAGGTATCATGGTGGAAATTTTTTAGCATTATTATCTAAAAGGATTTACATATTGTTTCTCGCATTTTGAGGGCTTTTATTGAGCGCAATGGGTATCAGAGCTTCACAGAGTCAAAGGATCATGAACCGGGCAAAGGAATTGCGTACAAAGTATGTACCATATTTGTTTCGAATGGACAACGGGGACTAGGCCTAAAGTTTACAGGCGGTCCATAAGGAAAACAAGTTCATTTGATTGGTAATACACGTTTTTTAATAAGAAACTTTGACCATAACTAAGTGCTAAAAGTTTTTTAGATTGGCATCCAAATTTTGGCATTTTGTAATAAAATTCTCTTAGTTGTTTTCTTAATTTCCGGAACTAAAATTGCCCTAGTGTTTTGAAGTTGAGCTTTTTTGGAAGAAAATAATCGCAGATTGTCACGATGAAAACCCATGCAGATTAAAATCCAAAGTATATTATCTTTTCCGAAACCTCTAGACACTTCTCCTAATAATGGAAATTTTACAGCTTCTGAATGTTTTCTTGAACCTAGTACTAAAGTTTCTTAAACTCTTGCCCATTCTTTTACTAGGTTCTTATAAACCAGTTTCTTATATATATGAAAAAGCGTGTTACTGAAAGAAGAGAGGCACAAGGGCTTCAAGCCACCCTCAGGAACAGCTTTCTGAGGCCCAGACCGTTTAAAATCCAGTTTATCAAAAAGCTGGCCCTAGCTGCTGCGTCAATGTTTTCTGACAAAATTATTCTTCCATCAAACAAAAACACGTCCTCCACGATTTTTGCTATAATTAGCGACTCTGTTTTGTTTTTAAATAATGAAACTTCACATGCTTCGAAAAATGTTTATCCTTAACTGAAAAACAAATATCGGAGTTTGGAGCACCTGCCTGGGGGCGTATGTGTTTAATCTAGGGAAGTAATTAATGAGGAGCGTATACAGAAAGGGTATATATAGAGAGGATATGACAGGGTAAGCCCGTTTGATAGTGGAGATGAGATGAGGGGGGGGGGCAATGCCCTACTCACGAACGCACATTTTTTAATTATTCAACAAATCTTTGTGGATTTTTGCTTAAAGGGTCTTCTTTAAATCCATTATCTTGTTGTTTTGATGATGATTCGACCAGAAAAATTTTCAAAGGGCCAGAATTAAGCCAAGATGCCTATAGCAGATCTAACTGAAAATATTAGTTATAATTGACTGAAAATCAATTTTCCAAACGCCTGCCTCCTTGTCCTATAGTCGTTTGGCGTCCCCCTTTATGAAATTTCTGCATTCATATTTATGATTTTGAATCAAAGCCACGTAAACTGCTTCTTGTCGATTATTTAGAGAGCTGTTTCTAGGTCTAAATCCTGAGATATGGTAAATAACTATCGAAACTAGACAACTTGCTAACGTGTTATGCATTTAGATGTCGAAACTTTCAAGTTTGCTTGCTATAATCTTGTTTTACGAAAGGTCTTCACCATTATGCTTGATCACGTGGATGGTTATAACCTTAAAACCCTGTTTCTCTTATCCAGAGGTGCAGTGATGTGAAAAACGAGGAACCTCCCCAAAAAAAATGATGAAATAGTACGACGAAGTAAAACTGGAATAAATTTTGGTATAAACAGGTAGAGAGCCTCCGAGCCCAGTTGGCCACATATCCCTGGGTTTATCCACTGAGAGCCGCTTAATTTGCTCTTTGACGTAGTTAAAATGTTAGGTGACATACATACTTCTGTTCATTCAACCATTGTTTTTAAAGTACGAAGGGACATCTGAAAAAATTATCCAATCGTGTTCGGTCACATTGTCCTGGATTCTATAATATTTTTGCATTGTGGTTGATGTAGAAGTTCAATGCCGTTTGCCATCGTACGATCGTGTGTTTTAAGAATATTATGACATTTTTAATCTAAACAAACAGCTCCAGGGACGCAGGAAATTCTGCAGATTGCGCCGAACAAAAAATGACCAGGTCTGTAAGCACTTGCTACAGATTGGAGAGAAACTCTGAGAAAAACATAAGGAAAAATATTTGCAAGGTCATGTCACATTGATAAATCGTGGAACATCAATTGTTCAGTTCAATCTGGAAAATTAATAGTCGAATCCACAATTAAACGGTTCGTTTGTGAAAGATCCAACGGAGAAAGCTCGTTTGCCTCACGTCGTAAAAATTGCAAAGAAGTGCAAAGGCTCCTGAAGGGAAAAAAAAGAATTTATTGAAAAGAGTGAGAAAGCCTTTGTGTTGTAGCTTCCTATCAATTGCTAAACTGTATTGAATTGTGCTAATGTTATGCTAAGCAGAGCTTTTCAAATCGCGGGTACAGAGTTTGCTCAACATTCGAAAACATCGTCTTCAGTTGAAAGTTAATCGGTGGCTGAACGCAAGGAAACAGTGATGGTAAGAGCAAAACCTAATTTGAAAAGTTCGCAGCAAAATCTATGCTCTGATGGAATTTAAGGTGATTTTTAATCCTTAACATAATTTTACAGCAACGTTGAATCCTGGATTGAAAGTGTTGATAATTGGAAAGGTAAGTCAACTGTTAGGTGATAAGTATGTTAATCGTTGAGGAAAAGGCCTCCCTGAGTTTCTAGAAATCTTGTTTTTGTTGGGATGAAAATACCTTTTTTCGATTCAAGTAAACAGTGCTCCGACGCAGTTACGAATCTTGAGTAGCTGTGAAGCAATATTTTGCGTCACGCAAATTTCGAAAGGCTTTGAGGTAGTACCCTATTCCTACAGTATTTACAGGAGTGAGTTTAGAAATCGTCCTTCTACTTTGAATTTCTTGTGGTGATGTGACGTTTTGATTTCTACGGCAACACAGAAAACTTTGGAAGCTTCGAAACACTGGATATAGAAACGATTGTAATGTAAGGTTACTACCACATTTGTGAGATTTTATTGATTAATATGATGATGAAGAATTTATTGACCACTTAATTAGGCCAACGAGTTTGGTAAAGAACAATAATGTCACTGATTTCTGGTTTATAGAATCACAACTATACACTAGTAAGATGTTTTCTATATGCGAAGTTCAAGAGCGAAATTCTAAAATTTTCTTAATGTTTTATATTACACGTGCATCTCCAACATGAATATTCCAAAATTCCGTTGTGCCTTGCAAAAATTCAGAATCGCAAAGAAATGCGCTTTGGAGTTCGCCAGGCTAAATTGTGTTAAAGTTAGCTATAGCAAACCAAGAGAAAATATATTAAAGTGAAAGTATTTTTTATCAAATCGTTCCAGTAAACAGTAAACCCTTGAACTTATGCATTTGGGCAATATCATTCCTGAGGAGAAGTTTTTCTCAAAACCCAAAATTATGTGAAAACGGTACATTAATATCTTCCACTGAAAAACTAATATTTGGTACCTTTGGCTGAAAATGCTCTTGTTCTCAGATACAATATAGCTCGTTTTTATTTGTGATGCATTTCTTTCTAGCTGTTTTCAAGCATAATTGGCTTAAAATATTTTTTTTCTAGAAAAGTTTTCTTCGGCTAAAATCCTTATCCTCATTACATTCCTCGTTATATTTACACTCTTTTTTTAAAAGAACCAGTAAATTCAAGTTCAGGCTGACTGTTCTTAATTAATCTGAGGCTGGATTGTTCTTAATTTGTTCTTAAATTAAGAGGGAGTAAGCTATGCTATTGCTAGATTTTTCGCTTTAAGGAGGTGTTCAGGCCTCATTTGCCAACAAAGTGAGTGAGACAGCCTTAATTTGCTGACAAATTTGAATATTCACCGAAAAAGCACCCACACATCGCTAAAAATCCTCGATTTTGAGAAGAAACGCTGTTCAAAATTGCATTTTGCAGAAGCTCAGCCTCAGCTTGTTCCTAATTTGTTCTTAACTTTTGACCAGTTTTGAGGCTCATGTTCTTATAAAATTGTTCTTATAAAAAAAAGAGTGTATTGTGTGTTCAAATTTCTTTGTGCGCAATGCCGTATAAGCAGACTTGTTTACGCGAAGCTGCATAGAACAGGATGTTTCCAATTTACAAAGTCCGAGTTTTCACCTTTCATGCGATCATTGGGGATTGTTGCTTTCTACTTTTATAGTCTTGTAAAGTAATGCACTGGTGTTCTTCACTGCTAGAACATTTTTGGATACCATTCTACCGACTCACCGCTGTCGATCCGTAATATTTTTGAACGTTATGGTTTTGCTAAAATGACAAAGTCTAGCGCTTAAATCTTCCGAGTTGATACAGCGGCCTCCTTTTGGTTTTGAGGCTAGGACTTGCATCAGCCGGCCTTCCAAGAACCAACGAGGAATTTTTTATGAATGAAGTGATATTAGCCTGAACCCTGGCTTCATAGGCTTCAGAAATGTCCTTTGAATTGGACTGTAGCCAATGCATCGTAATTGCTCGAGTAATAATTACATCACCTGCCAAAATTTACGCCAGAAATTACTCAGTCTTCTGCGGAATGCGGAAATACTATGTAATTGTTAGGCGTTGCCTCTACACTCTTTTTTTATAAGAACAATTTTATAAGAACACGAGCCTCAACACTGGTCAAAAGTTAAGAACAAATTAAGAACAAGCTGAGGCTGAGCTTCTGCAACTTTGAACAACGTTTTTTCTCAAAATCGAGGATTTTTAGTGAAGTGTGGGTGCTTTTTCGGTGAATATTCAAATTTGTCAGCAAATTAAGGCTGTCTCACTCACTCTGTTGGCAAATGAGGCCTGAACACCTCCTTAGAGCGAAAAAGCTAGCAATAGCACTGTTTACACCCAAATTAAGAACAGTCAGCCTGAACTTAAATTTACTGGTTCTTATAAAAAAAGAGTGTACGTGCGTTTGGAACCACCAAATTACACGATGCTTGCACCGCGGTACATACAGCACTGCGTCGAATGAGGGCAGGCCCACCCGTGTGCCCACCCGTGTTTAGAAAGGTCTAGGCGCATAACTAGGTTATTTTGTCCGGAAATAAAGCTTTATTCTCATGTGAATATATATTCTTAATCGGCTTTGTGAGAACATGCAAAACTGTCCCATGACATTCAAATGCGGATCTCCTGAGATCGCACAAAACAAGCCAACCTCGATGCTATTGTTTGTTTCTACAACTCCTCAAATCTACTTGCTGCTAACAGAAAAATAATTAAGATTAACGAATTGATCGGTTTTTAATCTTCAGATTAAACTTAACCATTTCAGTACTTTCTGGCTGTCTCTCAAAAGCGTTTCTATATACTGAAAAAAACATCCTTGAGAACGCTTGGCTGTACTCGTTTCTGGGAAGCATTTGTTGAGTGAATGCAAAATCAATGGTTTCAAAATCGAGCCTCTCTGTACCCCAAAACAATAACCTGCAAAGGGCTGGAAGCATTGAAAGAACACAGACTGAAGGGATGTGACCTCAAGTGGGACCAGACCAGGGCCATGGACGTAGCAAATGGTACACATTTAGTTAGGGGAGGTCTTAGAATGGTTCTTGCCCGAATATTGTTGCCTCATTGAGATAAGACTGCCCGAATGGAGCCTGAATGCTAAAACTTCTTCTGATTAGGGGAATGCAGCCCCACCTCCTATATTTCCTGCGCCTATGGACACGGCTCGATAAGAAGGGAATGTCGATCAGCTTTAAACAAGATGACTATCGTCAGATATCGTCCGTCATGATGTTCTTTCGGACCGACATTCAGATTTCTATGGTGATTCCTGGTTGCCCCACACTCCTATAATTTGTGTTTCTGGTTGCATGTATGAGTCTCCTTTTCTGGAACAAAAAATATTGACTGACAATTGTTTTCACAGTGCAACTCTTTATAAAAGACTTTTTACTTTCAATGACATAATCATGTTGCTATTTACTCTAACTTTAAACTAATGTCACGTGTAAATGACGTAATTTGCTCTTTCACTTCCTATTCGACAGTGTCATTATTCGACAATAATGAACAAACAAAAGGGATTAGCGTAAACATGAGCTGATTTTATAGACCATATATGATCATTTGCCGACCAAATGATTCAAATCGTTGCTAAGAATTTCGCAAAGATGTTCTTGATGTGGGAAAAAGCTTTTTTGGTAAGTTTGTTCTGTGTAAATTTGCTTTAATTTTCACACGCTTTCCGTGTAATTCATCCTGGTCACAAGTCTTGTCATAAATTTAATCCAATAGGTCTTCTTCGATAGATTTTGTTCAACTTCTGGGCCAATTTATACAAATCTTGTCCAAATGTGGCCTAAAGTGCCCGAAATGATAGGGGAAAGTGACTTTGGGGCCTGAGAATGTGAAACCTTGTTAAATACAGGGATGACGTCACAAAAATCGCATTTAGAATTCTTGAATTCAAATGAAATACCTCTAATTATGCGAAATTAGCTAAGTTATTAGAAAATGGCTACGATAGTCCACACGAGAACATGATCTTTCCCCATCAAATTACTGTATTTTGCCTCTCTTCGTCACATGTTGAACCAAGCAAAAATAATTATTATCCTTTAGCAAACTTCAAACCTTTCGTTGGTTATACTTTATCCCATTTTAAACGTATTTACCTTATTTTCATTTAGAAGTTAAAATCAAAAATTATAATATAGAATTTTTTTGACCTCACACTTTTGAACCCAACGAATTGCTTACAGATTTAAAAAAATGTTTGAAATTATACTATGTTGCTCTAAAATAAATAAAGGAAAGGAAAAGTTATGACACGTTAACGTCGTGAAATAAACTGGAATGCTAATTAAAAGATGATTTCAATATAGGCTTGATAAATTAGTGCTCTCCATCTCCTTGGTGCAACAACTAGAGGTTACTCAGAAATAATAGGCAGGATCTGTAGTACAGGGTTTCAGTGGGGATGCTTTTTCAGGTATATGCCAGCCCCCAAATCTTTCTTTGCTTCCCAGATAATGTTGGGAATTCATTGACTGCTAACATTTTTTGTCTTGGTGAGGCGTATATGTAGACACGATCAATAATCTTTGGGCATAAACTTCCCTAAGTGGTATTACATGCCTCCAAAACACTTCTAGACGCGTTGGATCTCATCTTATATTTTTTTATCGGCATTAAACTGACAGTTAGAAGAAATAATATTTATTGTTCGTTGATTAGTGCACGGCGAGCTCTTTCCCTATTCCTCCACCTTCCAGAGACGCCATAGTACCAACGATTTAGCATCCATTGAGAATTTTAGCCAGAGGTCTTTCAAATTTTGCTTCTGAGGCGGCAAAAAACTGAGGTGAATTGTTAACGGAAATTCTCTTCTTTGTTAAGGGAAATTTTCTTCAGCTTTTTTCATGAAAAATAGTCATCATTACACACATTTTCGTTGTAAGAACTAAACATATAGGAAAATTTTTGTTTGAAATTGATACAAAAGCAATTCATTGAGTGAATGCAAAATTAATGGTTTCAAAAAGTCGAACAGTTAAATTAAAATGCAATTAAATACAATTAAAGAATTAATGGATTAGAATATACAGGCTCGAATTTTATCGACAGTTGGACGTTCTTTATGTTTTGTTGAGCAAACAAGACAAGAATGACTTTTACACAAAACGTTTGCGGTACACTCAAGATTCTTTTGAATTTACACTATATATATATCTTATAAGAATAATTAAACATAATTTTAGGCCGAGGATCAGAAATTTTTAAGATTATTGAGGCTCAACAAAAATAATAATATTCATGTGAAAAAATTTATAGTAACAATGGTAAAATCTATGCAGCACTCTCCGGGTTCAGATGTTTTTGGAAATTAGACGCTTCCCGTGTAAATTGTAACACCACTGTTATCAGAACGACTCGACCTCTTGCCTCCTACTTCACTCGCGCCCACCGTCAACAGTTGGGGTGCCTCCCACTCGCGCCCTGCCATTCTGGATAACGGGGTACCAGATAAATTTATTGATACTGTCAAAAATGTACTCAATATTTTATATTTAAAGATTTTAAATGTTTATACTTTGTCTTTGATATTTGTCTTTAATTTTTTATCTTGAGGAAATGACTCTTTGACATTACGTTAGAAAGTAGCGAAGCAAATTATCTTTCGTTAATCGTTTTAAAGTCTTTAGATCTTTAATTCTCATCTCCAAAAACTATTGTTCCGCTTAAACATTACCGAAATTTTTCTGTTACAGATTATGTAAAGAATTTGCCGGGAAGTCCTAAGGCGTCGAGGATCATCCATAAAATAAAAGCCTGGCTTTGAAAGCTGCGCTGGAACTCGTCACGCAAGAGCACCGTTGCCCAGACCTGATAACGTGCAATTCTTCGCCAAGTCGCTTATCCATATTATACAGGCCGATGTGTTGAATCTGAATCCAAAACATTGCGGATAACATGCGGATTGTCGATAACAGTTAGATTAAGCCCACGAGGACGGAGACAAGGGCATTTCTTTGGCTTTTCTCTGCTTTGCTAAAGATTACGATGGTCTGAAGGGCTCATTTAAGTCAGTAAATTCTTTGAGGGTGTCATTCCATCAAGACTTAAATGTAAAAATGCGCAGTAAGGAGAATTTCTTTCTCCTATTGCTCCTGACGGCAAATGTTATCAAGCGGCTCTGCGGCACTAACCGCAAATGCGCGACAAGCTCTCATCGAGTCCGAAGGGACGACTTGGCAGTTCTAGGACACCATATCAACGAGGAAACTTTCGATGCAACCAATGGACGTGCGGCGTATTTCGCGGGACATGAAATCATTGAATTCCGCAAGCCGTTATTGTACAACACTTTCACAGTAGAAGCATGGATCAAACCTGAAGGAGGACAAGCTGCTGTTGCACCGATTCTTAACTTTGTTGATCGTTGCCAAGGCGAAGAAGAATCTATAATTTGGATTTTAGGCCTTAAACAAATGCAGAAAGGACATGATACCCGATTGTATTTTTCACTTAAAGCAGACAGGCTTACAAAACTTCACTCAGTCGTTGCTCACGAGAGTTATAGGCCTAATATTTGGGTACATGTAGCCGCCGTGTTCAACGGAACTTCGCTCAAGCTTTTCCTGAACCAGGCTCTTGTTGCTTCAAGTCATAAGGAGTTCAGTCCTGTCTCAGGGTTCTTTCCAAGTAAATGCGGGGCTCTTGAAGTAGGCGGGGACTCGCAGAAAGGACTGTTTTTTCGCGGAGCTGTTGACGACCTACGAGTGTGGAAAACAGCCAAAAGCCAAAGAGAAATTTTCCAAAATATGAGAACAGAAATTTTAGGAAATGATGAGAACATTGTTTTATACGAGAAGTTTGAAGGTTTGCAGAATCATGGAAACTTTGATTTGGCTTTCCACGCTGTAACAACCTCCTATCCAGAGTTTGAGCCATCTACATTGCCTAAAGATCTGCACCAAATCGAGGTTAAGATACCATTTTGCGGTATCACTGTTTGCGACAATCCCGATGTTGTGCGTGGTTACAAAGAGAACTCTCACCTGCGCAGTAAAAAGACTCTTCGATACAGGCTTATAAACATGGCAAATGACGATGGAAGCAACCCCCTGCTTTCCAACCAAGAAATAAAACGGAAACACCAGAAACTGAACGAGATCTTTTCGCGATATAACATAACGTGGGAGATAAGCATCTATGTTGTTAAGAATTCGAGCCTTCGAACGAATTCGTTTCTGTTCGACTGCAAACCAAGCAAGAGACGCATGTGTGGCAAGGGGGTGCCCATCAACGACTTCAAACGCCTCGTAAACCTTGACAATCGAAAATATTTGAACGTTTTCGTAGGGAAATCTGGCGATCGAATGCACGGCAAAGCAACTTTCCCGTGGGATATTTCGGTGTATGGCGTAGATGGCGGCACGGTTTTGGATGTTGACCGGTTTGGGAAAACGAAAGGTGTTAATGATATGGTACACGAATTTGGTCATAATTTGGGCCTATGGCATGTTCATAAAGGAATGACCGATTGTGACGACCCGTGCTTTGAGACGCATGCGTCAATGGAACTAGGTGACCTATGCGCGGACACGAACCCTACTCCATTGAACGAGCGTTGTAGAGACCCAAAACACGAGTTTTGTGGAATTAAACGCTTTAGAAACACGCCGTTTAGGAATTTCATGGGATACGGGGATTGCCAAGATGAGTTTACAAATGACCAAGTAGCTAGAATGCACTGCTATATCGATTTAATTCATCACGGTTGGGTTTTGCAAGATAACCCATCACCAACGCCGTTGCGGCCAAAGGTTCTCTCTTACAGCAATGGGCTGCTCCAGATGGAATGGGTTAGGCCGCTAAATCTAGGAAAAGCCTTTGCAGAGAGAAACTGCAATAAATGCAGTCCTCAAAAGAAGAAATTTCATCAGTTTGCAGTGAATGCTTACTCGCCTTCTTCATCCTCAACTTGGCAACCTGAACAGGCTGTAGGCCCACCGAACTCAGAGAGGTGCCGAATTGTTGGAACGATATGGATGCAAGATGTAGGAGATTCTTCGAAGGAGTATGTTATAGACCTGAGCTTTGAAAAAGAGGTTATTCCAACAGGAATCGTCGTTTGGGTCACCTATAATGGCTATAATGCACCGTTTGACATCGAGCTCCTTCATGTCGACAAAAGTGTCACTTTCGTAGGTAAGTTGACCGTTCTATAAAGCTGTCAATCAAACATGGCTATGTCAATCAAACATGGTTACCATGGAAATGATTAGGTAGCATAGTACAAGACATTCGTGCAAAAAATTTGAATTCTTCTTTGAATATTCGTTGTCATTCCAAAACTACAAATCAGCATTATTTTGCAAACCCAGAATTGAGTTCATAAAAACAGTTTCTCTATCTGTTAGTTTTAGCTTGTGAGCACATTCCAGAGGCAAAGTTTCTAGGATTAAGAGTCGAAAATTTCATATGAAATTACATAGTTTTGTATCGTTTTTAGTTTGCATTCAGAACGATGTAGGGAGATACATTTAAAAACGGAGACATTTGATAATGCATACATTACTGCTTTGTGCAAATGAATGTAGAAATGAAACGAAAACAGATATCTTGACAGTGCATTTTTGAAAAGTGTGTTGACAGTGACTTCAGGCTGCAGTTTCATGACATAGCACTTATGTAAATGAGATGCTCTTAACTCCATAAATATTCTTACCATATACAATGTGCAATGGTCTATCACACCTAAGTGGTCCAAACAATTGAAAAAAGTTAATCATCACCCGAAAGTAATGTGCCGTGCTTTAAGTCTTGTGATTGGTAGAGTAATCATGTAATACTTCATGTAAATGTTGTGAATATAAGCAAAAGAGTTTCATTTTAAATTTATATATAGGTAGTGTGCCACGTGAATTTTTCAATGAAAAATTGTGCCCTAGATCAATACGGTTGAAAAACACTACGTTTAGGGTACGTAGTAATGCACAGAAAAATTAAGTTCATTGAAAAGATTTATAGACTGTTTTGATCATATTTTTGCTTCGATAAGGCTCTGCAATGGCCCAGTGTGATATCCCCTACACAAGAAGAATTTTCACTAAAAAGACGACCAAGACAGTGAGACTACGAGTCCATGATTTGACAGGAATCGACGCTGTGGAGCTCATTTCTGAGGAGAATCATAACCACTGCGAAAATTGCCCCGATGTCAAGTATGTCGTCAACAGAAAGCCTCCGTTTCAAACTGGCAGTTCTGTCGAGGTCGCTATACCGAGGTTTATAGACCGGTAAGAGGCTATATTTTAAGTGGCGTTGAATTAAACTAAAACAAATTGTACTTCAACGTTTTTATCTATCAAGTTGGTTTGCAAAATATTGGTCAAAAAGAAAAAAACAAAAAGTTTATCTTTAATCTGAAGAATAACTCTAGTGAGATGTATTCACAAAGCTATACAAACCTCAAAAGAAATAAATAAATAGATGCATTTAAAAATTTTGGTAAACATTTTCCCTCACTTTTGCATAAAAACCGCCGACAGAAAATAGCAACTCGGCGCATTGTATTAAGAAATGTAAATTGAGTTTCCATCCATATTGAGTTTAGATGTTTTCTTTGGCATGTATCTCGAATAAAGAGATTTATGCATCAAGATTTGCAGTCGTTCAATATTTCCACCAATCTACTTTACCAAATAGGGAGGCAAAAATTTTATTAGAAATCCATGACGTCCCAATATTTTGTGGGAAACAAAGGAGCATTCTTGAGGCTAACTAGCCTACAACATGGCTTAAGCCTGAAGTGAGTCAGGCCGTTGTTTCGCGAGATTTACTTTTGTTAATTGGTAATCTTTGGCTCGTCATTGCAAATTCTTCATTTGTTCTTGTGTGGCTGGGCTTAAACTCCAGCAGACAAATACATGTATTGTTAAAATTTTAGCTTGCCTTACATTTTATTGTGCAGACAACCAGACAGATATATCTGCATATAGAGCAGCTACCGAGCAAAAACAACATCTATCCGGATTAGTTTTTCTTCAGATCCAAACTTGACCTTGCGCTTAACCTGTGTTGATTTTAAAGCCACTCTAACACCACCTGTTTTATCTTTTCTTAGCCAAATTAAAGACGAAGCCATCTCATACGAGTATCGCATTCAAACGGTTGTTGGGAGCCATGTCAGTCTACCCTCGCTTCCGCTTAAGTTTCAACCCAAAGCGGGGTTCTGTGGTGACGGTATCATCCAAAAGCTGAGCGGGGAACAGTGCGATGATGGTAATTTGCGCAGCGGTGACGGCTGCAGCATCGAATGCAAACACGAGGATGTGTTCAAGTGCAAAGGCCAGCCCAGTTTATGCTACAAATACGAAGGTGACGGTGTTTGTGAAGACTTCGAGCGACAGATAAGTGCCGTTGACTGCGGGTTTTATGTTCCACAAGGCTTTGAGCAGCAATGGGCAACATCTGCAATGACAAACCCGAGATATGACTGCAAACCAACGAATGGGGCAATGACGGGTCATCCACCACCAGATCTGGTAAGTCCACTCCGAGACGTCGTGCTTGTATGGGTAAATGAGAGTAGATACGAACCTCAGATACAAATTTAACGGAGCTTTATTCAGCAGGGCCTTGCCAGGTCTCCATTACAGACTTAACGTATCCCAAGATCCCATTGGATGTAAAATCCTCGTCTCATTCTGCTTTATATTAATTATTACTTTATTTCTTACCAGAAATGTCATCATACACAACCAGTTGACAAGACGGCCTATGTTTGCGCGGAAGCTGAAAATCAAGGTGATTTCTGGATAAGGTTTGGATTTGCTGAACCAGTCGTGGCTACGTCGGTTGTTTTGTACCTTCAATCCGATGGCAAATGGACGGGCAAGAAGAAGAGTTATATCAAAGTTGAATTGATCGATACTGAAAACAAACTTCGAAGCATTGGTGTGGAAAATTTCACGGTAACATGCAAACAGCATCCAATGGTTCTACCTGTTCTTCATGATATGACAAGGCCTTTCTTCAGAACGAAGGCCGTGCATATCAGCTTTCCCGTGTACCGAAGGGTTATCATTTCTGGTGTTGCTTTGCGAACGTCAAAGATACTGAACCCAGTTGCTGCCAGCTCTTGCGACGTAGCTAAGAAGGAGCTCTACAATCCCAGAATTCATAGCTGTCATCCATACAAATGTCACGTGCCTACATGTAAGCCACTGATCATCAAGAAGGCAGAGGTTAAATGTGAAGGTAAACTATTGCATTTGAAATAAAAGATTTTAAGATATGTCACAGAACTGTTCCATTCGATGCTCTCAGCCATAACAAAGTGTAATTTCATTTGTGAACGAAATGCTTATTTTTAAATGGTTGAAAGCAACAAGGTGACAATTTTTAGAACTCTTCATGTTATTTATTCGCATTTGATATCCAAGAATAATGACTATTTCTTCTTATGAGAACATCGTTGTATATAACCCTAGCAAAGCAGATAGGAAAAATGTACTTGCCATGCGCAAAGTAACCACAGGGCACCGAGAGAAACTGACGCAAGGACTTTGTTTATTGCGAAATCTGCCATAATGAAATGTTGCCGCCATTATGAAATCGTATATACGCAACAATGATATCATGAAAACTTATATTATATTCCCTAACAAAGCAATGATGTGCATTTTTCATAAGAGTTTCTTTATACTTAAGGGGTCAACGATGGGGACACATGTAAAGTCACGTGTTTTAATGGTTACTATCCAAGAAAAGCTGTTGCTGTGAAGTGCATTCTGGGAAAATGGAATGTCAATGCCATCAAATGTCTTCCAGTTGACTGTGGCCTAATTAAAATCAAAAGAGCTATTCTTGGTAGGTCTGTAATTCTATTTATAAGAAACTGATTCATAAATTTTAGTACAAGGCTCAAGAAAAGTTAAGAAATTGTAAAACATCCACTTTTTAAAAAAGAGTCCAAAGGTTTTGGAAAAGAAAGAATAATTTGGATTTCGATCCATTTTGTGGGTTTTTTTCTGACGATCTGTGTTTTTTATTCTTCCAAAAATGCTCAACTTCAAAACAATAAGGCAATTTTAGATCTCGGAATAAGAAAAATGCCAAATTCTGATGGCAGTTTAAGAAACTTTTAGTACTTAGTGCTGTTTCAAGTTTCTTAATAAAAAAGTGCACCCTTATTTGGGACACTTTTAAAAGACCCTAAAAGACCTTTAAAACTACCAGTGTCGTAGCTTGACCTTCAAGATTATAAGAGTGGAGGGTCACCAAGAGTAAAATTTACGAACGCGAAGACAAAGATAAAGAAAAATTTAGATACCATTTCACGTACAGAAAGACGATTTTACCGACCAACTAAGGATTTTATGGACCACCTGAGGATTCATCGACAAATTCATGAAAAATCGGGGAGGGCGGGGGTGTCATACCTGTCTTTGCTAGTTAAACTCCTGTTAACCACACTCCCTAATTTAGCTATAAATAATCTTGAGCCAAAATTTGGGGTTTGTTTGCCAGGCAAAGTACAACAGTGTACCATTACAAATATACTAAGTATTTAGATTCCATAAATATACTAAATTGCGTGCGGTACAATATGATGCTATAATAATAGACTTGACTTGATAACGGGATATGCTCGAAACGTCGTTATTTATTTTGAAAAATAAAAAAAAACTTTTCCTGGTACAATTTACTTACATGGATCGTTATTGTACTAAGTATTTACTCGACTTAATTTTTCATCATGTTTTCTTGAATTCTTTTGCAGAATGCAAGCAGGATACAACTTTCAAAAGCATGTGCACATTTCACTGTGTGAATCGAGCGCACATGGTGGGGGACGATAACAAAATAATATGCATGGAGGACGGCCTGTGGTCAGCGAGAAAAGCCTCTTGTGAATATTACTGTCCAGCTCCACCTTTGGTCGAGAACAGTCACTCATTAGACTATAAATGCGATGCTAGGCATGCGAATGTCCGGCAACAGAATGAGATGGGAACGGTCTGCAGGTATGATGTTCAGGAAAAACTTTTTCATAAAGACATTTTTATCATATTTAAGCAATGTAAAGGTTGGCCATTACTTTGCAAAGCAGAGTGTATTGTGTTGGTCTTGTTTATTTTATGATTTTATTCTCTCGATCTTTTAGTAGTATTGTATTTTGTATTTTCCTACCTAGCCTCTGAAGGTAATTTTTAGGACACTGAGAAGCTTATGCTTATCGAGCGGTGTCCTGCTCCTTCCTCTCGACGTGACCACACCTCGTGATTCCTACGCCCGGAAATACAAAAAGCTTTCCTCTCTCTGATAAAACAGGCCATTACTAATTGTTTCTTTACAGTATAAAAAAGTGGCCAGTAATGGCCAATTAGTATAGTTGTTAATTGTTCAAAAAAGGCTTCTTTTAAAATTTTTTGTGTTGATAAATTTTTCATGAATATGTCTCCTTCTTAATCTAACAAAGTTTGTACATTTTATCAATGGCTTTGTTGATAAAATACATTTCTGCTCAGTACATTCTCATGGCAAAAATATCCAACCATATTTGATCCAATCTACGCTTTTAATTCTATCAACGTTATCCTTAACCGTTAAAATTTTCATTACCGTTATTTTTGATACTGTCTCCCATTCTAGGTACCAGTGCATGCCGGGATATGTTCTAGATTCCCTGAATTCTAAAGCAGTTGGAGTGTTATCGCGGTTGACTTGCAATGAAAATGGTATTTGGACACAGGACTCAAAATGTGTCCCTGTGAAGTGCAAAGAATTATCTGAATTTGCAAAGCTTGTCTACAACTGCACCAAAGCCAACGAGTTTGGCAGCATTTGCAGAACAGTTTGTTCACAGACAAATGTATGTTATTTCAAAGTAAAAAAAATAATAATATTCCACTCAATTGTTACATGAAATACTTGAACGATAAATAGCTTTTGCTTGTTTGACACTAAAGATAGTTCCCATTTACGTAGATAGGAAAAATTCTTTTCTGTTTGCACTTATGGGGCAAAAGATCTATTTTTTCATTTTATATATATATACATCTTATATCTATTTTAGATATGTTTTAAACATCTAGATATTGTCATAAACTCTCTTTTCTGAAGGATTTGCTTCAATTTTGATACACTCTATCCTTAGTACAAATGTCAAGATACTGGTCTTATTTTATGGACAGAAAATGACTGAATGAAATTGATCTATACAACAAAACTTTTAAGCCAATAAGTACGGTTTCCGTATTGCTTGAGAAAACACTGGCCTCTAGTTTCGTTTGATTTCGTCTTTAGGAAACCCATGAAGTTGTATGCCAGGTAAACGGGCATTGGTCAACAAACTTCAATTACTGCCAATACGAGGGTCACTGCGATGCTATCAGCTCAACCAATGATATTGCGTATAAATCATGTGCACACCACGTGGGAGGTTCTTGCCAACCATTGTGCATAAGTCAAGGCTACGATGCAGCTTTCAAGGTGGTGAGACGATCCTGCTTACACTTCATTCATTTCTTCGAAATATTACGTATTAATTCTTTTTGAAGAGAATTCCGCTTAAAGGCAATCTGTCACGACGTTGATTTATTATAAGAACAAAGGGATTTTTTATTGTTTCCAGTCCCCCTCTAATTTATCACATAGTAAAAAATATGGCGGAGCACTGGAATCGTGTTTAGGCCATTGTTCCAGCTATTGTTCTCGTTAACCAATCCACAACGAGACAGATTGCCTTTAAGCAAATACAGTCATTAGAAATTTTATAAGTCCTCATACCTACGCATGTGTCTATGAAAATTAGATAAATTTAAGACATAAAATTTTTCTCGTCATAACTTGGTTATGCATTTTTTATTTGTTACTAGGACATGGACTAGAACTTTATCACTTTGTCGATAATACTTTATTACTTTATTACTTGCATTTTTATCATTATTACTTTGTCGATAATACTAGGTATACTGCAAAAGCTTTATAACACAGAAAGCAATGAAAATAGAGTTTACACAAATCAACTGAATATTTTCAAGCTATCTTAGTTTGTTTCATCCCTTTGGACTCTTCATCTATGTGAAGGGTAAGCGCCAATAATTGGTCAAAGACAAGGAATCAGTCAAGGATGGCTCAGTTGTTAGAGGCGCTGACTACAGACCCAAGGGTCCGTGGTTCGAGTCTCTGGCATGACCAAACTTTCACCCAGAGTGGGGAGAGTCGCCAGCCCTCTGTAATTCCAGGCATAGGAATCACGAGGTGTGGTCACATCGAGAGGAAGGACCAGGACACAGCTCAATAAGCATAGCTTCTCAGTGTCTTAAAAACTACCTTCGGATGCTAGGTAGCAACAAACACAAATACAAATATAAATACAGTCAAGCCACTATTCTCCCTCTCGCATTACCTTCGATCCGCATCTTGATACCCAAATTTTCTCTCTACCTTGTGTCATTATCAGATGCCAGTACTCTGTGGAGTGTCGGTAGAAAAGTGCTTTTGCACGCTTTCCACCAGTTTTGACTTCGGCGCATACTCTACCAAAAATGAAGAGTCAAAATATTTGGCAAAAATAGGACTTCAACTCGCAATGCAAGTTTTCATGCAATACCCTCTAATCATTATTTTAGTTAGTTTTCACCTGCGCATTTTAGACACTAGCTGGTACTTCATTGAATCGCCTTGATGAATATTTGACTTAGATTCAGTTTCAGTGAAAATGTTATTGGAAAAACGCCATAATATTGCAATAACGTCATTCTACTTCAGATCAACAGTTTCGACTTCTTTGAACAGGCATTGCTTAAGTCTATTTTCAATTTTATGATTAAAAAGCCTTGCTTCTAGTTGCACATTTACAACGCTAGTTTCTTATCTTGAATTTTCAAAATATTGGTGAGGCATCATTTGCCGTGTTATAGAGATAAGGCTAGTTATGGCTTAACAACACTTTGTTTTTACCTTGCTGTAACAAATTCTAGTGCAGAAGCAACTTGTTACAAAAGATGACAATTTGCATATCTTCGCTAAAATTGTTGGGAGCTCTAAACGTCTCTTCTCCATCGTGACTCTTACTAACACTGAGTTTTAAAGATCTATACTTCAACAATAGCTCAACAGCTGTATCCTTAATTTGTATGGCGTTTCTACTTTTTGTTCAAAGGGTATGGAGGAAAAACATGACATAAAGCTGTATTGCCTGCCGAATAGAACTTGGTATCCCAGCCCTGGTCAGATTTACTGCGTAAAGTCGTGTATGAAGAGTTACAGAGGCGATAGCATTTGTGACTGCAGCAACAACAACAAACATTGTAACTATGACGACGGCGACTGTTGTGAGCAGACTGTCAAGAAAAAGAAAGTTGAGTTTATTGGTAGCTACCGCTGTATTTGCAGAGACCCAAAGGTTCTTAAGCTAATACAAAAGCCTGTTACTTATTCACCTTTGAGTAAGGATGGGCACATTGATTCCCAAGAGGGGAGTGGGTCGGGGCCACTCAAGACGACGTTTGATAACAGTGATGACGACGATGGTGATGATGATTATGATGATGTTGGTGCTGACAATGGTGGAATCGGGGTCCTGCATGGCTGAATCTTATATATGCTGGGTAGCTGTATGCTCAACAGCAATGGATCAAATCATGATCCTTTAGCAACAGCGCAATCACTTTGAATATACAATTGTATGATTAAAAGAAGGGAAGGATGCATTTTTATTTATTGTATTATTCAAATTGGCTATTTTAACTGGATTTTATCAATATTATGCTGGAAATTGTAAGAAAAAATTTGTGTACCTATGCGATGGTATGATGGAAAGTTGGCATATCAAATTTTGCAGAACTAAGGTATATTTTATTCAGGAAATGGCAAATTTATCATTAACTTTTCACAAATGTTATTATTTATTGTGTATTCCGGCTAAAACTAGTTAGCTTGTTCTAATTTATTTTATAAAGCATTTTAAGTAAACTTGTGACTACGTAACGAAAATTCATAAAACGCGAGGATCGAATTGTAAAGCGTTTGAATAAAAAAATGAAACTTTTAACTACATTAAAAATTATAAACACTTCTTTTTATTGTTGCTTACTATGTATTTTTGGCACGAATGTTTGACTGAGAAGTTTTATGCATTTAAGCCCTTTTTGATACGATGCGATGCTCTTAAAGAATAGAATACAAAAACGTTAAAAGGTTTTGCATCTTCAAGTTTGATTGCATATTTCCTTAGCTCATGTTGCCAAAAGCTTTTTGAAGACTTTTATGAGATAAATACGTAAATTCTAACAAGATTCGTTTACAGAAAATCCATTTCTTTTCTGCTTTTTATTGAAGTTTAAATTTTACTGAACCATGACAATACTATCCAAAAATTTCCATTAATGAAGATCCATTTTATTTGAATCAAATCAAATAACTTGAAAGAAATGACCCATATAAAAGTAACTTTTCGTCATTCCAACCTACTCTATCAAAATTTAGCTTATCTCAAACGGAAGATGTCTTATCAACGTGAAGTCAAGCCATTTAATTCTTTTTAATTGTAGCTAGATTTAATTTCCAAATTTTCAGAAATTGTCGTCATTCCAACCTACTCTATCAAAATTAAGCTCACTTCAAACTGAAGATGTCTTATCAACGTGAAGTCAAGCCATTTAATTCTTTTTAATTGTAGCTAGATTTAATTTCTAGATTTTCAGAAATTTCAAAATGGTCTTTTTCTAGAGAAAAATAATTTCTCGAAAAAATCCATCAGCTGTTAAATTTTTCTTGGTAGCAGACCTAAAGAAGTCTGTAAGTTCTTTAGTGAAGATCTATCTCGTAATTTGTCTTTTTTCTAAAATATTCTTTGCAGCTTTTATTTTCTATTGTTCAAAAAATATTATCGTAAAAATTGTTGGTAAAAAATTGTATTTAAAAAGGTATAAAATATACTTTTGCAGTATTTTAATCATCCTATAAAGGTACAAATATATATATATGTTAACTGTTATTTATAAGACATTATTAGTTTGAATTCAGTTTTATTATTGAAAATATATTACTTTTCTTTTTTCTGTAAAATTTGTTCCCGTTGAATCACAATTAAGAGAAAAGCTGCCGAAACAGCTGGTGCCTGTTGTAATACTTTTGCAAAAAGTTCTTCGGATACCAGGGACAAGTGCTTGGAACGAGATCCCAGTGCAAATAAGAGGCTCTGTTTTAATGAGATTCTTTAAAGCAAGAGTAAGGGAGTTCTGGAGGCAGTGCAACGCAAGCACTTTGGGAGAGCATTTGTATTTCTTCCAATTAAAATTTTAGCTATTTTCTTTTTAAACTGATAGAGATTTGGGTGTGGACATGAATAAACAAACAAACTCAATTTATTATTCAAAGGTTATATGCTCCATTCTGTTGGGCAAAAGTCAAACTCCTTTTTACAAATCATCCTACCTACAAGTCTTTTTCAAGACTAGGAATCGACCAAAATGCTTAAGAAAACACTTTCAAACAATCTTTTGGTGGTACAAAAATTGAAAATGGCTTTGAAAAAAGCAAACATTTTGATACATATATATCTTTTCGTCTGACAATCTTCAGAGTATAAAGCGTCAGAACTCTACGCTAGGAAATATATATACCCAGTTGTGGATCGAAATAAGCCAATCAGAAATGCAAGCACATGACTGTTGAGGTTGGCCAATCAGTGCCGCTTGCCTATTGTGAATGTTACCAATGGAGTCCTAAGGTGAAAACGAACTCCTTTCTGAGTGCTAAATCAGTGCTGCTTGCCTATAGAAGATGTTTCAAGAACAGTTCAAGAATATATGATGCTTAAGGAGTTTTTAAAGATGCTTCAGGTATGTGCATTCAAATTTCCGCTTGTTTTCAGACTTTTTGTTGCAGCATCACACAGATAAAGAAAATGAAAATTGTATCTCCTCTTCTGCTTCTGGTGCCTTGAGATGGTATCTCTCTCGTTAACAATTGTCTAATTATCGTATTAAGCGTGAAATTTGGAGTAGCAACTTAAAACCGTTTTGTTCTATACACCAAATAGCGTGTACAGCTCTGCCTATACGGACGGCATCGAGGAATTTACGACAGAACGGTAAACAGTAATTTTCATCATCTCTTTTCTTTTAAATGTTGTGACACGAAAAAAACGCAAACGTGGCTTTATTCTGTATTCACAGTATGTTAAATTCCCCCAATATGTTTCGTGACATCTCCAAATCTCTTTTCTTGTTTCCTTTACTTGAACAATAAAGACATAATATTTGAAAATAAATCCTTTCTATAACATTTTAGTTTTATTTAAATGTCATATAATACAAATTTATATAATTTAAATTCTATTTACTTAATCAAAAATTTTATATCTAATTAAATAAATCTATCTAGTAATGCTAATACATAAATAATATATGTTGTAAGTATCATTATTTTCCCATTAAAAACACAAAACATTGTATGCTCCTTGGGATCACATTATACTTAAGAATAAAAAATCTACCAAAGTACTACTTGTTTAGATAACAATATTTGGCAAATTAACAATTTTAATATTATGCTCAAAATTTATTGCAGTTATTACTTCAGAACACAGCAGCTATTAAGATGATTTTTTAAGCTAATATTTTGGCCCTGAATTGCTGTTAAACTTTATTATTTACATGTTCAAGAACAGTTTCTGAATATGGTGACAGGGATGGGAGAGCTCTTTTTGCTTGTCATTTCTCTTTAAATTCGCTGTTTGTTATGTTATAAAACATAGTAATTTAAAAATCTAATTTATCACTGTTTATCAGTGACTGTTATTTTATAAAACCTAGCAATTTTAAAATCTAATTGATCACTATTTATTAGTGGCTAAATAGAATGTTTTTCATTTCTTATTGAAAATGGTCCAGATACAAATATGTTTACTCCAAACTAGCCAGTTATCAACACCTCATAATATTTTCTTTTTATCTCGAGAGAGTAAAGCAAATATATTTGATTCAATCTGTTCTAAATATCCCTTCCTTTTTGAAGACTATTTCTCTATTGTAATTTATTTATTATCTTTACATAACAATCATTGAAAAAATATCAATTCCCTTAAGTACAATAATTGAATTCTTCTATGATTCAATTTCTTGTCTCTATATGGAGCAAACTGTAAATGTTGCTTCAAAAGTTATCTCATGGGTTTTGGGAAGCAATCCCAGGCGAGCACCTGATGTGTCGAAAAGCACCTGTTTTGTCGAAAAGTCTCTGGTTTGCTTAAAATTGTGTGTCGGATCTCTCTTGTTGTACTTTTCAGACTTTTTATTAGCATAATTTACAGTAGAATGTTCAGTAACTCGTTGCACTTTCTTGCTTTAGCTGCCTAAGTCGGTTGGTTTTACCAGGAGCTTAAGCACGTCTTTTGATATGTTCACAGTATCTCTTTATGTCAAACATTCGTACTTCAGCAGCATGACATTAGATACCCCAATCGTGAGTGACAACAGTTATCTGTTTAGCTGCTATCGTGGTGGTGTCCCGTTCAGGGTCTTTGTTGTGTTTCCCCCTTGCCCTGGGGGACTTCCGTGACCATTCTCCCCATCAGAACCGGCGCTGCTTGGGGTACGTGACATAGTACTACCACTCGTATTCAATGTTGGATTTCCAACGAGTCCAAGCCCATTTATACCAGGCGTCGACGTTCCAAAATTGTATGTCATCCCGCTCATGGATGTGAAATTAGGAGAAAACTGTAATGGTACAGTGTTCATTATATTGGGCATTCCATTCAAGCTGTTTGTCATACCTGACCCGAAGCCGTTTACATTGCCTGAGCCCAGATTTTGTGTTGTCCCGAGTCCATTGATTTGATTGACAGATGACAGGCCCACGCTGCCATTCAACTGCATGCCTTGAAAGCCATTGATCTGGCTTTGCATTGTACATGGTACTGTTCCCATGTTATTGTTTACAGATAGGCCACAACCTCCATTGCCTAAGTTATTCATCACGCCTGTATTTCCACTGCTGCAATAGTTTGTGTTAAATGTATTCCCTGACATAAGCATCCCACTTAACAGGTTCTCAACACTGTAATTTCCAATCATCCTGGAGAAGAAAATCCCTTCAATTGCCCCCGGTCTGATAAGACGAAGTGCCGGCAGACGTAATAGAAGCTTGCCAAAACGACTTGATTGAGACGGGTGCTGCTGCCGTAAATATTCTTCAAGTGCTGCTTGTGCTTTCTCTTGCAGGTTTTCTATAAGCTGCGGGTTGCTGATCCCAGGGGTATCTGGATGGCACAAAAAAACAACACATTCTTTCAGTCAAGAAGATCTCCTATCTAGGCCATATTTTCCTACTTAGATTGACATTTCTGTATACATATCTATAATGCTTGAAAAATTTCCCACAATATATAGTTGTTTGCCAATTAATGTTTAACTTTAAAAATAATTTGACTTGCAATTTAAAAACTCTGCTTAAATACTGCCAGTTCTGTTGCTAGAAAGTAGGCCTTCACAGAATGTATCAATAGCCAAATTAATCATGCCAAGAATTAACAAAGCATTTTAGGTAATTGTATCTTAAAGTTTTATTAGGTAGCATTTAGCTACAAAAGCATACTGAAACGGTGCTCATTTTCTTTGTATTAATGGCACGACATTGCTTTGATTAGTTTAAAGGATTTAAAAGATTTACTCAAAAGATTTGAAAAATAATACCGATTAACATCAATATTTTTAGGATATATCAACTTTAAATGTGATGTCTTTGAAATATTTACTTATTTTGCATCAATTGGATATTTAATTTGTTTAATATTGAATTTTAAGTTACAGTTATAATAATCTTCCTAAAACTTTTGGGATGTAAAAATTTATTCACATTTGTTGTGTCGTAAGACTTCTAGTATTTTCAAAATTTGAATTACGAACGGAACATATTTGCCTTTGAATGAAGCGTGCATTCCACGCCCTATCGAAGCTCGGTGCGAAAATAATTCTATGTAATGAAAGTAATTGAAGAAAATAAAAGTTTGCTGTAATAACCGAACATCCTTTGCAATTACACCAATATTCTAACTAGATTGAAAACACAAAATGTTTCGTGTGCTTTCAGTTGGTCAACAAAGCCATGACACAATTAAACCATGAAACAATCCCCGATTGATGATCACGTCATCTACATATACCGGAAGATCATATCTCGGTCTTTGACTTCTTGATCATACCGATTAGCCGGTACAAATATTTACTAACCGGCCGGGTCACCAAGGCTCATTAGCTGCAAAACCTTGCCTGCAGGGACCTGGCTGCCTGTGCAAGCAAACGCTCTCACAGGCAAATACCATTCAATAATGCCATTCCTAGGAATCTCTATTAGCCTTGTAAGCTTCACTTAGTTTCTCGTTTGAAACAAAGTATTGAGGAGTCGCTAGGAGAGTTTAACCCCGTCCCTTGTCCATCTTTGTTAGTTGTTGCTATGTTAGTAAGGTTTTCCGTTAGGGGACACATTGTACTTATACGATTAAGACGTAAATTCCAATTCAGAGTCACCTCTACCCGGCTATGCTACTTGGCACCTCATTAAACAATTTTGGCAACACGTAACGGCAGATGTGTGACGAAGGTCGTTTGGACACAGATAGATTAACTTTTAATCTTTCGAATACGATAAGGGATGGGAGTTTTGATCCGGCAAAGGCTTGACACGCTTAGGGGTGTGTGATTCTACTTATTAACCAGTCTGTTTTTTCAAAGCCTTGTCGAAAGTTTCTTGCATGTTACAACCCAAAAACAGTATCTAATGAGAGGTAAATCGAATGCTCTAATGAGCAACAACTTAATGTGCATAAACCTTCCTTAGTTGTATTAATACTTCCCGTGTATCGTTGTCCACCCTAAGACGATACGCTATCTCTTAACAAGAGTGGCTGTTCTACGTTCATCTATAGCATCAAAGCGAAATTCTCACCTGGATTGAAAAGAACCAACGCTTTTAAGCAGGAGAATTCTGCCGCATCCGTCTGCAGCGCCTTGAATTTTTCTATCAAATCCTCGAACATCTTCATGTGGTCTTGATTGTTATTTCCGCTGCTGTCATCTGGCGACCGCTTCCCGTTCATCTGACCATTCTCTCCGTTGCCATAAGCCGCAAGCGACCTTGGATTAAACTGAAACGTGCTACAATGCTGCGCTGTACTCAATATGAACAGCTCACTCCAGCAGTTTCGAAGTAACGCAACCTGATCTGTCGTTGCCAACGCAGAAAAGAACGGGACATTGCGGGCCCAATCGACGGCGTTGAAGAGCAACCGCGCGGCCATTTCGTATACGTGCTCTGTGCCGGAGACTCCATAGTTGGTAGAAGATGATTGCTGGAACCTTGCTAGAGTGTCAGCTCGCAGCAGGAGGTTTGTGTATGCTGACATGAAGTTTTGTGGGTTAGGCATTCCATTAAGAGGGCCATTGAAAGTATTTGATAAATTGCCAAACTGATCGACCATAGAACCTTCCAAGGGAGATTTTGGTATGCGTCCTTTTTGCACAGCTAGGAAGACGATGTAGAATTTAATTTAAAAGGGTACATATGTCTGAATATACCAATCTTTGAAGTATCGATTAGCATACGATGCTAAAATTAATGAATTCATTATATATATGCGCAAAATTTTCTCTTTCAAAAATCTCATTTTAAGAGCAAAAGTTCTAATATAAAAGGTACTTGTCATTTCAAATTGTAAGAATTTTTCAAAAATTTATTATCAACTTTTTCAAGTATAGACATTAGATTTTCAAAAACCGAAAAGATGTCTCAACAAAAAGCTTTGCAGTTATCAGATTTTTTTCAAGTAACTGTAGCATATATCTCTTGATTGATTTAATGCTTTGTTTTATAAAATTAATTTTTAGGCATAATATTGCGGTTTTAAAGTTTGGAAGTCAAAATTGAATATTATGATTTCAAAGACAGTTGCTTAAAATAAACAAGAAGATATCAAGTATTTTGCTGTGAAAAGCAAACAAAAAATATTCTATTAACATATAAGCAAAATTAAATGCAACATATCGGCTGGATAATTACTTCTGAAAATTAACCAGCTACTGAAAAAATGAAAAAATATAAAAAATAATTTAAAAAGGATTTTCAATAAACAGTTAAATACTTGTTACGGAAACACACTAAAATAAATGATACAAATTTGTCTTTTAGCATCAAATTAGAAAAACAGACTTGCTTTGGGATTAACGCCTGTTCTTATGTTTTTTATTGATGGCTTTCTGTAAAAAGGAATTCGCATTCTAGAAAAAATTCACCCAGAAGGCTCTTTCTGTCTCTCTGGTTTTATCATAAACTGGATAATGATATCAAGGCCGCAAGAATGTTAAGGCGTTTTGTTAATAAGTATTGATCCACTTTGAAAAGCCTGAGTCGGTTATATTCTCCAAAACAATAAGAAAGGTCACAATCAATGAGGCTTGTGGAACAGTTGGTGCTGACTACTGTACCATTAAAACATACCATTGTAACTTTCATCGTCGCTGTTTTCATCTCTTAATAATCCTGGCATATTCACGAAGAAGTTGAAAAAGTCCTCTTCCATTAGACGGCCATGGATACGATGGCTTTGAGCGGTTGAAAATGAATTTCTAGTTTAAAGACGGAGAGATGAGCATTGATGCGCATCAGATACTTTACGTAAGGGTTCAAGAGGTACTCCCTTGTAAGGCCTTACGACCCGGACCGTTGTTCGCAGAGAATCGCATATTGTCGAGCGGACGTTGATCCTTATTCAAAACAATTGATCCCTGCTTCTTATAACCAGTCAGCTGTTCATCCTTAACCCTTAACAGGTCTCATCAAGCACTCGGGTCAAATGCGGCTTCTCTGCCGAATATCTTAAATATTTGTAATCGCAGTCACCTAGCAACGAACCGACAACAATAACATCGCAGACAATGTTTAAAAGTCGCAGCGACTAGAATACAAGCCCGGAAATAAAGTGGCAATCGACCTTTATGGACTAATACGCGGTACTATCTGTTAAGATATGATAACATCAATGTTTTACAAGGAAGAGAGTACCCATTTGCAGGACGGAAGACTTCCTCTATAGAAACACTGGTTTCTGCGTGGCTGCCTGGTTAGGCATATTGTCTGGGTTGGTTTGCCAGGTTTCAAATGCATTCTAGATTCTGGACAATAGCAAGAACTGTTGTGCCACTTAAGGTAGATGGGCAATGCAAAAGCAATTCAGATTGCAGTGCTACCACACTAGATCAATTTTGTCAGAAAAACCAATTTGAAAATGGTTCATTCTTTGATGCAATACATTTTTTACGTCAGATTCTGATTATGGACTTTAGTCTACATGGTAGATTTTATAATGCTAGTACACTTTATGTTGCTTTTATGACAACACAAGGGTAAAATTGTAAGGGAATGGACTTTGTTAGTCAAACTTTATATTTCCGACTTTGCATCTTTTTAAAATCTACAATACCACTGCAGATATACCAGAGCATGTATCCGAACCAAAAGTATGGTTGTAAATCCAACACAGAGCAAAAATGTTTGCAGCCGCTGTGCAAAGGGCATCTGCGCCTGCAAGCTGCGGCCGAAAGGCGACGCGCAAAATATTTTGCCGCTAACCGGCTGTACGACACTCTGATCACAAGCCTCCGTCTTCAGGTTGGTCACTTTCAATACACACTTTTTCATATAGGAATGTATTTTATAAGAATATTAACGCTCAAAATCGCTGAAATCTAAGACTAATTTGAGAATAATGCAAAGCTCAAGCTTAATCAAGAATTAAATTTTTTGTTAATTTGAGTTTTTTGGAAGGCAAAACAAATGATTTCAACGCTATATGTTTTGGAAATGATGTATCCGGTCTTAGAGTCATTAACACCATAGTACGACTCAGTTGCACATTATGTCACTTGAAAATAATTTAAGAATACTCTTAGGCTCGAAATTGTAAAAGATTAAGAATATTGAGGCTCAGGAAAAAACCTAGGTATTCTTATAAAAAAGTATTTATGGGGCTACCCTGGTCTTTATCCAGCTATCTAGAAAACTACCAGCTGAAAATATCAATTTTCCAAAAACGCTCGTAATTGGAAGGTTTAGATAACGTTAAACCTTGTTTTCTGTGGATTGACCACATAATCAGTTTCTAGAAGATGTTTTTTGGGAATTTTTTCACTAAGTGTTGCTCCTATGGTACAGAAGAAGTTATTCATAAATTCTGCAATGTCAGCACACCTAAAGATGCATGTCTCTTCGATAATTATTGAAGAAATGTCGGTCACTTTAGTTTTCTTGTTTAAAACGCTGTTGATGGTCTTCCTTGTGCTTAAAAGGTCTCCTTTGCAGAAAGCAACTTTTTGAGTGAAGTACTCTCGTTTTAGTTCTTCATTTAGTTTGTTAACTTGATTACGTATATGCCTAAAGAGCAGCATCAGTAGTTGGCAGTTTGAGCGAGCTGTTGGCTTTTTTAGTTTATCCTTTCTTTTCAGCCTCAAAAAATAGTTCATCCAAGGATAGAATTTGTCAAGAACACCCCTGTGACGTGTCGGTGCATTTTTTTCAAAAACAAGTGAGAAAACTTTAGTCCTGTTAATAATTGCAACATTAATATCGCCTGTATTCCGCACCTACCCAGTCAACCATTAAGAGATCATTTACAAACTGAGTTTGAGCAAAATTTTTCATTTGCCTGGTAGAAATATTTTGGCGTTGCTCTTTGCAAGCACCGTGAAATTTCCTATTAATAAGACCAAATAATGTTCACTGAGGTAAGATTTGTGTATCCACGAAGATGCTATGTTACTTTTATTTATCGTAACAATTTCATTTATTAGAGTGGCAATGATAAGTGTCTCACGAGAAGGACCTTCTATGAATTGATGAAGCAAAATAGATCTATAGCAGACGTACAGACTGAGCTTGAAGGTCACTAGAACTGGTATTGCCCTCTTTGGAATATTTAGGGAGCAAATAAAGGTTTGTATTACCTAGAAGAATAGTTTCCTTGTTTGCCCTGCCGAGGAATCGAAGACATTCTTCTAACTGGTCAAGGGTATAAATACCTACATCAAGAGGCCTGTACCAAGCCATATCAAAGAAAGGAGCAGCACGATCTGGCTTGATCTAAACGCATTAAAGCTCTAGAAATGAGTTAGGATGTTCTTCTCGCACAGTAGGCTTGACTAGAAAGTATCTTTTAGATAATTTGCAAGACCACCACCATTTCAGTCAGAATCGCACCTTTTGACAGTGTAGCCCGTGGGTGTTTACTAGACTATCGTTAATACTCTTGTCAAGCTAGGCTTCATTTAAGGCCAAGATGTGAATCCCCAATTCCTTTACAAGCTTTGGTATTGCATCAAAATGCGAGAGCAAGCAATTGTCATTCAAATTTTATTTCTAAGTGTAATGACCCATCTTATAGTTGGTTCAGACTGAGAAGCTGCAGGGAGAGCATCCAGCAACATAGAAGAAGCCTTAAAGATCCCTTTAATGTCGTTTTAGACAATTGCTTGCATAGGTTCAACTGTAGATGCAAAAAAGAGAAGTTCACTAGCGGACGGGGTTTCAATGGGCGAAATGCTGCCTAGGCTAAAGCCGCTCTTATACGGTCAGATTTTGTCGAATTCGACAATCCTTTTGTCAATTTTGTTCGTTTTCGCCTCTTATTTCTTCGTTTTTTTAATACCAGTGCTATAACTCTGGCAGCTGAAGCAACCTACTCCATTTCATAAACAGAATTGAGGCATTTGACTCTTATCTTATTCGACAAAGTCTGATCGTGTAAAAGGGGCATTCGATTCGACAAATCTGAAGCAAAACTAGATTCGACATAATCGAATTCGACAAAATCTGACCGTGTAAGAGCGGCTTAGGCCTAGAATCGAATATTTGTTTACCGACTCATCTAAAGGCATATCATGAATATTCGTTGCTAGGTTCCGTGATGGAAAATGGAGTAAAGTTGTCAAGTAGAAATCGAGTTTTGGGAACAAATAGGGGTTTCTCTTCAATTATTTTGATCCAAAAATTTGCAGTTTGCAATGCTTGTAATAGTATTTAAAATATTTGCGGAGTCATACAATTACATATATCGTCCAAACATTTGATGATATCTAGTCAATCCCCATTTAAAAAAAATCAATCGCATTTGCAATGTCAAAATGTTAGTGCATTGATATTGAGATGTAAGCCCCGCTAAATTTAATGATTACCTTGTATATTATCATGTTCAACAAAATTTCATACCACTTCTCAATAAGCCAGCTGTCACCAGTTAATTCACGTGTATTCTTTTCCTTTCGTGGTCCTCTGAGTCTGTCCTCCTAATTATAATCAAAATCCTAGCATCATCAATGTCCTTTCAAACTTCAAAAGCCAGGCCAATCACCTTGTTAGCTAATTCCTCTGGAATGGCTTAGCGTTTGTCCACTCTATAAGGATTTTCCTCAATTATTGGCCTAACATATGACTCAATTTGCTTTTGTGCAGCTTGATGCTTGTCTTCACATGTGATGCTCCACGAATTATGTCTTGCCTCACTATTTTTCGACTTATTGAGTCACCTGGAACTGTAGGCCTCTCACTTTTGGCTGATTCCTTGCCATTAGAAATAGTTCGTTGGATTCCAATCGACCTTCAAAAAACGAATCGGCGCTCTTCGTGTTTGTTGCTCTCTTAGGAATATTCTCATTTTCATATTCTTTATTTACCAGTGATTAAAGACGCATTTTTTGTCCCATGTGAAATACCTCTTAGCTTCCTCGCTTAACAATAGCAGTATATCCATATTCTCCAAGGAGCACCATACTTTTATTAGATGCGCCATTCTTTTTCTCGAGAGATTCAACTTCTACTGTGTTCTCTTGCAAAATGACATATTTATATGATGTTTGAATACTGTGTGGATATTTAAAATAAATTAAGTGCGTGTGCATTGTTCTAGATTCGACCCTAGGGATTCTCCAGCCTTCTTTCTCTCTACAATGCCTGCCAAAAGTCTTGGAACACTTGCTGTGGTTTGTATACAAGCTGCAACTCCCCTTCCCCCAATAGAACGTTGTTCCTCGGAAATATGAATAATATGAATGCATCCCTCCTACATGAACAAATGACACATTTTAGCGGACCTTTTTATGGTGTACCTCTATGTAGCTGATTTTTCTATGGCGGCTCATTCTATGGGGAACCTTTCTATGGCGGGCGCTAACCGATTTCCTCACCCAGTAGAACCAACAGTTGTTCGATGTAGCGACCGAACATTTTGGGTTATTGTATAGTGTATCGTAATTAAAAAGACTAGTATTCGCCGTTCACACGAGGTTGGTAGAATCTCGTCTTCAATTTCCCCGGAACTAATAGCGTTCAAATTTCCCGGACCAAAACATCAATTGTGATTGGTTGGTTTTAATTTCCGCTGCTTGTGACCAGTAGGGTACATCAGAGAGAAATTTTAGAGTTTTCTATTTACCGTAAATTCTCGAATTGCCCCCCCCCCCCTCAAAAAAGCCCCTCCTCGAATAAGCCCCCACCCTAGAACTACAAATTGTCAAAAAGCCCCCTCTCGAATAAGCCCCCACTGCTACCGTATATTCTCGAATTGGACCCCTCAATTTGATAATTTCGCCATCTGAGGTTGCCTATGGCGTTTTATCGAATTACCACAACAAATTCGTACTTTTTGTAGTAATTAATTAAATGCTCATAAAGAAATTTCTACTAAAATAAACAAGGTCTTTTAATACTGTCTTCTTATTGTCTACAATAATTTCAAAAGTCCCCCCTCGTATAAGCCCCCCTCGAGCAAGCCCCCGCCTAAAAATATCAAAGATAAATAGGCCCCACGGGGGGTAATTCGAGGATTTACGGTATGTATAGTTCAGCGTGGATGAATTAAATATTGTTGGTAAAATTTTTTTAATAAATTCAATTTTACTCAATCTTAAAGTAAGATATGATGTGATTTAGCATCAGAATACTGGAAATCTTATGTGTTTGAATCGTTGTTATTCAAAATGCTTTTAATCATCACGTCAGCTGCGAGTCGCTTTCAGAGCCCAAAGCTAGTATGGTTTGAGAACATAAAAAGCGTTGTTGAGGAGGAGAACCATCATTTGTGCGAAGATCTACTGGCTTTCAAATTTTTGCATCATATCCACATGTGCAGTTTAAATCGGTGAAATCACTCTTACATCGTATAATGTAATCTGTGGTAGGAACATTCGTGAAGAAACTGATGCAACTATGATATATAATATCATTTATTGACAACTGTGGAGTGACATGAGAAGTAAAATTTGCCCAAAAGCCTTCGCCCTAATGCACATATGCATATTATGTTCTTTCTCGTAGATTTAGATAGATTGATAGAATATGGTTTTTCAAAAGCTAATTATTGAAAACCTCGTCTTGCAAATAAAATTGTATAAGTATTTGTAAATGCCAACAACACTGGCAGGTCTTGGCACTTACAATTATGTATTTACATGAGATACAAAATTGTATTGATGATGGCATTTCTCTCTTCCTTTGATAACCGTAAGAAACTTCCAACTATAGGAGAATCGTTTCCAAAACAATGCGTTTTATGAAGGCGCTACTGTAAGCCTGGAAAATCCTACATAATCGAAATAAAAAATGAACGTAAATTCATGGCAGTTCAAGTATCGTTTCACGTCCTGATAAAAGGTCAGTGAAAAACTATGTTCACAAGTACACATTAGCTGTGAAAAACTGTTTTGTATTTAATGCGGAGGAGCATGCTGCGAGCCTTGCTACTTTTAATGCGGAGGAGCCACTTTGAAAACCTTTTGCAATCGATACAGAGGAACCACGTTCGGAAGAGCCATGTTGCAAAATCTATGCTTGAAACTGCTAACATTCTATTGAGTGATCATCCCCCGTTGTTACAGTCAAAGAGGAGTCCCAATGGCATGAAATAGTTACGCTATATGGTTACTCTGGACGGGGGATCAACTTGTTACCAGCAACTTGTCTTCTCAAAAGATGGTACCTCATCCCGATCTCCTAGGTCTCCAAAACGACGTGTTTACCGAGCAGCATTCAATCCTCGTGAGAAGCTGCCGGGTAATTAGCATGATCACAAACAGCAATGGTAATTCTTTGGCATTAGATAAGGCATAAGCATGGCTATTGATTGCATCAGGTAAGTAATGCAGTGTTTAGTGCAAGCATATATTGTTTATGCATTTGCCCATCACGGCTATGCGCTCAACAAACTGTGCAAGCCTTGGTGAATGGAGCAATGACTACTCATTAGAAAGCATCATGAAGTGTGATACCCCGGGCAAGATAAGATTTTGCAAAGTTGACCATCCTATTGACCTCGTCTTGCAAATAAAATTGTATAAGTATTCGTGTATGCAAACAATACTGGCAGGTCGTGGCACTTACAATTATGTATTCATATGAGATACAAAATTGTCTTGATGATGTCATTTTTCTCTTCCTTTGAAAACCGTAAGAAACTTCCAACCTTTTTTAGGCAGCATTATTGCCAAACAACTGAAATGCCAAAAAGCCAAAGAAAAACCGTTTGAAAGACAACTTACGATTTTCAACCCCCTAGAAATCTTTGTGTGGCCTTGTTTTTAAGAATTTGGCAATACAATGAGATCCCAAAATGTTCCCCAATTCAAAGAACTTAATAAAAATATCTAATTTGATTTATGTTGATGATCTCTTACACGTCTTTTTGCCGCTTGTCTGCAAAATTGATTAATTGATTTATAATGACAATATTCCAACTGGTCACCATGGTTTATCATTTGAGAAAAATTTACAAACGTAGGGGAGGAAAGCTGTATTTGTTGGGTCTTTTCCATTTCAGATGAGAATTAACCGAAAAAGTTCCTGATAAGGTATATTTAATTACAATGTGAAAGAAAGCTGACCTAATTAAACTTACACATTGACCTCGGATCGACACACAAACAAGCTCGTTTTATGCACTGACATAAAACCATTATTATACGCTGCTAAAGATGAGGTTGTCTCTGTTTTGTAGCGAATTCTGATGCCAATGCCTCAATGCATCTCTTCTATTACCTGCCTCAATGCCTAGGCAGAAAAAACTTCTTAATGCCATTGCGAGCAGTTGCGTCCTTTTTTAAATGAAAAACAGAAACACAATTCTAGATAATGATTTTATCATTAAACCAGACTGCACCCGCAGTTTCTAACTTGCAAATTTATGTGAAAAGTGTCTTGCAATGGAAGCCAGTTGATTACATAAAGCGTAAAACTCGCAGTTGCACTTTTGCACATTCCTGTTCTTTACACCTTTGCACATGCGTTAAAATTTACATAAAACGTTAGCAGACTTTTATATCATGCACTTCCAATATTGTCAAAAAGAGAGATGAAAAGAAGCTCAATGACACAATTAAAATTTTTTAGAAGAACCTGTTTTTTAGATTTTTCTTCTGCATTGCCTCTTAATATGTTGTTGGTTTTTTATTCAAGTCTTGGGAAAGGTTTTGCTAAATCTTGTAAAATTCTGGTTTTGTTAATATCCTGCTTACTGCGAAGATCCCCTCCATCTACATAATCAACAGTCTAAGAAAACTCTAAGTATTGAAGTTTCACTTACCCGCTTTACTTTCTGCAGTCTTTGCTGTTGGCGCAAACTTAGTTAAAAGAATCATTAACTAAAGAAACTTGTAACAATAAAAATCATAACAAAGTCGCTACTTCTTACCTTCCTTTCTCATTCCCACTTTGATGCATTTCTTCAATCTGCAATACTGACATTGATTTCTGTGATTGATATCCACGGGACAATTTTGAAATGCTCTGCAGGTATACGCGAGATTTCTGCGTATGCTTCGCTTAAAAAAGCTTTTGCACCCCTCACAAGTGAACACGCCATAGTGTTTTCCCGAGGATTTATCCCCACAAACGCCACAATCGATGTTTCCGACTTTTGGCTTGCTTTCGGGACTCAAGGACAATTGGCTTGAATTCGGCAAAGAAGAGACCCAAGTCGCCATTGGCTATGTTAAATTAAACCGCCAAATGTTCTGAGTCTCTAATGATATTTTATCTTGCTTTTTATGCGACTCCGTGGTTGCTTCTTGGTACTTCCAACTGAAAAATTTGTGCCTCCAAAGTGGAGCTTGGAGCAACAGCACAGTTTGATGTCGCTTTCTAAAATTAATGTCACTTTCTAGAATTAATATTGATTTAAAATTTCCAGTATTGCAAATAACATACAACGTAATTGGTATTTGCCAGCCCCAGTTAACAGCTTTTTTTTGCCTTTTCAATATGCCTCCACTAGTTCTTGATTAATGCTGTGTTATAATCCAAGTTGAATCTTGTTGAAACCAAGATATAAACAAGTGTATCCACTCTAAACTACGTCGTAATCCAGGAAGATGTTCCAAGCTCCTAGAGATTTAAAAACCAAAATGTTCCCTAAATCTCTTGAACTTAAAAATCCTTATTAATATTAACTTTTTTGTCCACTGCAAGAATCCTTGGTGATATCAGGTCCAAGAAATCACGAGATTTACCGAGTGCAGCCAGCTAATCCCAGGGCACGTTCCAACCTTGGTTGATGTGGCCAATGTGTAAGCAACTCGCTGGCCAACCTAATGAAACTGTTCACCCTCTTTCCTGATCTTCAAATCTGTCTATCTCCTTTCAAGGTATTTCTTTAAAACCACCAAAACTAGACAGCTTGCTATCCACCTACCAAAAGCCTTTGCCAATGCTTCAGACAACCAAACTTGCAGGAATTGCCTTGAATTCTTCCAGAAAAGGTTTGTGTAAATTATTGTCACAGCTTTGTTCGTTTGGCTTGCTCGCCTGCTCAGAACTAGGCATAATAGACAAAGGGTATGCTTCGAGGATTTTTCACTGATCACTTTTAAATTATGCATAAGAGGCAGGCAGTTATTGAAGCGTGTGAAGACGGCTTGTTTACAACAGAAAACAAATTATCCCTCTCGTAGAGGAATATTTCAAAAATTCGTCAAAATTAATCTAAAATGACTAAAACTTAAGGATTCTTCACATAGAAATTATATCAATACTGATTTTTTTGCATTTTTAAGAAACCAGATTTGATATTTAAAGCTAGATAAGGATAATTCTAATTAACAGGTCGATCAACAGCTCAAATTTTATTTGTAAGAGGGCAGGGATCACATTGATACTTTCTTAGTCTTTTGCCGCCAATGGTGGTTTATTATGAAACGATAGGACCTGGATTCATACATTAAAAATATTAATTTTAAGTTTTTCTTAGGCAGCAAAGGTAATTTAGTAGTTTTGCAGAAATTTAATTGGAGTTGAAGGCGCTTCTAATTAGCCAGGGTTATAGATATATTCAAGTTGTGTACACATGTTCGTTACGAGTCGGCACGTGATCAAACAAGGTAAATGGCGCGTGGATAGCGATGACTCAATGCTTAAGTTGTTCGACCTTAGTATGGCCCGTGCAACGTGCCCAATAGCTCACTTGGTAATATTCATTGGCTCCGTATGCACTTTGAGAAAGAATTCAATGGTGCTAATGACTTGTTTGTTCTTTGTAGCATAGACTGCCATGCAACTGTGCAAAGCTAATGGAAAATGAATGCTATATCAGTTTTTAGGTGTTATCGGGTTTAATTAAGATATTCCCCAGTCGAACCCAATTGCATTCAGGCAATGCAACAGTTTATGAATCGCAAATGATCTTTGAATCATGTTAATTTTGTAACGTTGGTTAAATTGCAGATTGTGGCAATTACTTTGCATGCTGTCCATGACCAACCGTGCAAATTATGATTAGTGTGTTTTATCTCCTGTACAGTTGTGAACATTAAAGCATTTATCTAATATAACCTTCAAAGGTATCGACTTGATTCGAAAAAAGTTTGTAGTACAATATTTCCTTAATATAGCAATATTCTCACAAACTACACTAAATGCGTTCTTAGGCAGATCGAAACATCGCTTGTCTGGATAATATCATACAAGACTTGAATTTCCCATTCCTACAATTTTGAGAATTGCTGTATCAAATGTTTTTCCAACATGCTTTGGGAAAACTAGGTTGTGATTTTTCGTAGCAGCTTGCTACCGAAACAAGATTTTCAAGTATTTTAACCACTGGAAATAAAATATTTCTTGCTTTAACGTACACAGCAGCTAAAAATTCCCGTAACATCTTCATAAAGAAAAAATCATATTTGGTGTTAATAAGCTTAAGGATAAGTCCACTGATTGCTGGCTTTCTCCTGCGCTACACTGTAATTTTGTCGGAAAAATTGAATATTTTTACAACAATTTTTGGTAAAGATTTCAAAGATTATCTGATGCTAAAAGCGTTTCTGGATCTTCAGAAAGGTATTCTTGCACTTCATTTTAATCCCGAGAAAGGAATACTGCAACAACACTCATTCCACTGTTAATTCATGCAAAACTTTGATGCTCTTATAAAAAGTATTGTAAAGCCACAAATATTATTGTAGCTTCAGCGATTCACATAATTTTTCATTTAAACGAACTATCAAGTATAATTGATAGCAATGAAGACATTTAATTTTTTTTAAATTAAAAAATAACTTTAAGGAACTATAAAAAGAGACTTCAAAACAACAACAAAACTTCCAGACTCGAAATCGTTATTTCAAGGTTAACAGCCAAGTGTGCTTTTAACTTCTCTCTGCATTTAGAGATTTGATGAAATGTTTATGATTACTCTCTGCAAAAGTTGGAACTTTCTGTCAATCTAATCTTTGTTTCGTAAGTCTTTAAGCATTGCTAAAATTTGATGAATCTGCAAAAATTGCTGCGAGATTTTTAATCGATGTCGCGCATATTTCATAGCACCTCGTAAAGATAATTGTGCAGCGGTGTGCACGTGCGCACTGGTCTCTGCTGGGCAGAGGTAACTCGACTAGCCAAGTCAATGAGCGCAGCAACGCTCAATTTGCAAGAGCTGAGCAGGGCTTGAATGAATGGCAGTTGCAGCCATCTAGCTGAATCTCACAAAACAGCTTGTAAGGGCAGGATATTAACAGCTTTAACTACATTCAAACGATGACGAGATTCGTTCCTCTGCATTCGGTTTTAGTTTAGGAAAGATCGTTACAGTGATCTTTTCAGCGAAGCGGCGTCCAATAAACTTGATAATGAACCATTTCAAACCTGACGATAAAATTAATGGTTCTTAGGCCAGATGGTACAGACCCTTTAAACCATGTAGAGCCCAAATAAATGACGAGGAATATTGCGTAACTTAATCAAGATTAGGGAATGAAGAAGTGTCCCGAGTAACGATCCTTGCAGCAAAAACATTTTTCTTGGCGCGCGACTGTAACTTGAGCTCAGTCTAGTGTTGCCCAGGCTGAGTTAAGTGGGGGCAATTTACAGTTTATCTTTGTCTTTGATCGCAGCATCTGTGCTTCATTCTTTCACTCTCATTTACTTCCAATTTGCAAAATGCCTTCTTCTTTGAAGCACATTGTAAAGTACCTTTAAGGCAGCACCGTGGCTGTGATAAATCAAGTCATGTCCGTTTGAAAATTTAAAAGACAGTTATAATTCGCTCTTTCATTGCAATCTTTGTATTTACAATTTCATAACTTTTAATCTTATCAATGAGATAATTAATTTGGTTCTTCATGCGGCGTGTTTTTAAGTAGAGGATCTCTTGTGTGTCAGCCCTTAACCTTACGACTGTATATGCTTAAACCTTTGCGAACGAAATGTGGATTAAAATTCTCCCCTGCTCACCTATCGCGGCTTATTTATGAAAGGCTTCATTCTAAAACTAGTTTTTGCTTTGCTCGTGTTCCAGACGGAGTCTTGAAGATGATCCGCTCGAGGTTGCTTGATGAACAACATACATACAGGACTATTAAAAGGTCACGCAGCTGTGCACCTTGCGTAGACAGAACACTATCAATGCCTGGAAACGAGACAACGTACATGCTTCCACCCGCTGAATCATTTGATTTCATTAAGCGTTTTGTAACGAGGCTTCAGTCAGAACAAAACAGAAGATCAGCGACCTTTGCTGGTAGACTTTGTACACCATGTGAGACCTGGCAACTGCTTTACGAGGAGACGGCCTAAATCAACGACAGAAAGAAGATTTGCACGCGTTCTTTCAGCATATAAGCTATTCGCGTTACTTCAGCGTTTGTGAAGACAGCAGAGTATGAATATTGCCGAAAGAAAATATGCTAACTGCCAGGCGCCTTCAGGTAGATTGTCTTTTTGCTATTCTAAACTTCACACTTCTGCCGATCAGACCAAATTGATCTTTGTTAATCTAAAGACGTTCAGACCATAGGCCATTTTCAACGTCGATAGTTCTTCAACCAACATAGCTAAACCTTATTTTTCGAGCAGATTACGTATGACAGGGTCAACTTTCAAAGAACAGTACTTTTTGCTCAATGTCAGAGATAGTAGCTTGCAAGCCTAACTTCTACTAGAATTTCCACGTGTCCTATTTTCCATTGTAGTCGTTGCTTCTTATACCAACACTGGTGTCGCTTTGCTGTGTATATCTTCACATCTCAAGGCAAAACAGGCTGATCAATTTGGCACCCAGAGGCGATGGCGAAACCCATGTAAGCGCTCAAAGAGACAGAAATATCGCGCAATCAGGTATGCAACTAGTTTATGTCGGCAATGAGCATTTGACAAGTGATCTGAAGAAAACAGTGTTCATAGCTATGCTTACAGAATTTTTGTAAATTAAGAAGAAATGCTGTTTTATTCTATACCCTCAAAGCCAGTGGTGAAGTGCTATCAAAATAAGGAGGAGGGGGGTGCTCTTGCTCAAAATTTTGCGAAAAACAATAGCAAAAGTAGAAATTCGTCAATTTTCAGACTTGATTGGAATATAAAACTGCATTCTATCTACAAAAGATACATCCCATAATTTTGTACGACTTAAAAGCTTCATACAACTTTAGTCTACGTAAAAGTTTTGCATCATGGTTAATTGAAAACGAATTTAGAAGAGAAATTATCTAGTAAAATATTTAAAAAGATTAAGGTACCTTCGTGTCTTGGTTTCTGTGGCATATCTTTTTGAAGTTTTTTATCGTCTTATCGATTCTCACTGTCAGTTTTTTTAACCCTGATACTGCAAGAGCATTCATTATTTATGCAAATTGATCACGCGTTGTTCGGGCTCAGCCGATAGATATTTTATCGATAATTTTTATAAATTGCTTACTCTTTCTTGATATTCTGTTTTCTGCATTTTAGTAATCACTAAGACTAACCGATGGAACAGCTCGCCAAGTCAGCACGCTCGTGAATCAGTTCAGTCTTATAAGACCCAAAAAGGCACCAATGGCCTAAGAACAAAGACGCCTTTATTGACAAACAGCACAGTTCCGAATGAAGAGTACAGCAATACGGCAGTGCCAACAAAAGGATTGCCTGTCAATACGACGAAAAATGCAGTAGAAATATTATCAAGTAAAAATGTCTCGAAGGATTCTGATGGTTTCATGATGAGCAACACATCTTATTCGAGATACAAATTTACTGACTTTGAATACAATAATATCTCCACACAAGAACTCCTTCATGTTGATTTAAAGGCTTCTAGGTCGATGGATATTCTCAGGACTACAGACTGCGAAGCCAAGCTTTCTCACAACCAATCAAATGTTGTATCCAATAGCAACGATGAAAAATGCATACCATATTACAAGGCCTTAGATGTATGTACTGCTTCCGAGAGGTATTATCCAGCAAAAGGTCGTCATTGCAAGAGCCAATGCCAACCACAAAACAATGAACGTTTGTGCTATATCGTCAATTACACGAGAACAAGCACTTTTACTAAGATATCTCTGAAATGCTCTATGGCCCTTTGTGATGAAACAAGAGTTTTTGTTGCTACTGTGAACAGCGCATATGGAGTTGTGACAAAACAAAGTTCATATTCCGATGTTAGAAGTCTGGAAAATGGCGTTCGCAAGGCGATAATGAAGAGTCTTAAACATGGCTTCGATTACATATTTTTGAGTTGCGAAAGCACGAATGTTGGGAGGAATAGAACACAGCAAATATTGTTTCTGCCTCCTTTGCTTGAGAAACTTGAAAAGAGAGAAGATAAACCCAAGCAGAAGAAGAATTTACCGCGTACTGTCCAACCCAATATAAATATCGTTGTTTTAGATTCAATATCTCGTGCGCATTTCCCGCGTGTGCTCCCGAGAACAACGCGACTTCTTAAAGAAATAGCAGCCCGCCAAAACGGCCCCACTATCGCCGATTTCAAATATTTTCAAAGTCTGGCGCCTTTCACTTTTGTAAATATCAAATCTTTCATGGCTGGAAAGCAGAAATTTAGCAACTTGAAGAAAAGAGACGTAGGGTTTAGAGAAATGTTCGAAAAGTTGCATAAAAGTGGATACCAGACAATGGTACAAGAGGATACGTGTTGGTACGATAAATGGGGCTCGATACTGACGAGTAACAACAAGCGTGAGCGTACTCTGCGAAGTTTGCGTGAAATTGGAGAAGGCTGGAAGGCATTTAAGCGAGTAATAAAACGAAGCAATATCGATGGGGTCGGTTTAACACATTCATCTTGCTATGTTTTACGAAAATACAAGCAAACAAATATGTTCAACAAAGGGCCTAGCTTCTGCCACGACGGAAAGCCGCTGAGCGCACATCTTCTACGTTATGCGAGTGAAGTTCATAAGCAGCAAGAGACCAACACGGGAATTAAGCCGCAATTCACGTACACGCATATAAACATCGCACACGAAAGCTCGGGTAAGCGTGCATGTGCCATAGACGAACATCTCGCTGAAACAATGACAGAGCTCCTTTCGTTGAGCAACACAGTCACCATATTGTGGTCTGATCACGGAGCGAAAACAACACCATACTCTATTCATACATTGCCAGGCAAGTTCGAGACACATGACTCATTTTTGTTAATTTCTCTTCCAAGGAAAATCAAGAAACTCCTTGGAGGTCGTTTGCATGATAAATTTTTGGAAAACCAACATTCAGTAGTATCTGCTGTCGATTTGCATCACACAGTGTTGTTTTTATCAAAGTTAAGCAAAGCCAAATGGCCTGAAAAAAGTACCGAGCTTGGTTTGTTTACAAATAAAACGTGGAAAAGAGGCTGCGACGATATTCCAATGCGAGACTATTCTCTCTGCAAGTGTATCGATAATTATTTATTCCCAGATTTGAGTTCATGGGCCACATATTATGATGTGTTATGGATGGCGGAATTCGCGATTGGAAAACTTAACAACAAGCTCTCCAGTCAAATTAGAAAGGCAAAAAAACGGAATTGTCTGTGGCTGCAAGCCTTGGGTTTCCGCGATGCCATCATTGACAAAAGTACTTCTCCACATTCAAGAAGACATATCTTTGACATTCTTATAAATCATAGAAAAATCCAAGTGTTTAATGTCCAGGTAAAAAATTCGACTTCTGGATTGTATTTATTTCACTGGCAACGAACGAGTATTTACCAGGATTTCGATTCCTGCAGAGATAGCAATGCCTCGCTCGAGCTTTGTATATGCAGAAAAAAGGGTCCAAAATTTGATCTGCAGCAAACGCTCACAACAAATATGTTTGGTAGTGAAAACAACCTTGATTTCCCACTAACAGGTAATACGTGTTTGATGGTATTAGAAAGGAACCATCAAAGGGAAGTTGCTAGCTTTTCAATTGCAAATCTGTGTGATCAACCGTACAATCTCCATGTCTCGAAACCTAAGTATGATGGATGGGAACCTTCTGCAAAGCTGCCACTGAATCTGACTGTTTCTTCCAAAAGCATTACCTTTATTCTCAGCGCGAGAAAAAGAAAGAAAGATTCTCCATCGTGTCGTCTAAAAGTGCGTCTGGCTTAACCCTCGTCGCCATTAGTCGGCTGGAAATGAATTGGCTCTTCTCATATCAAAGGCTAATGCTCCAGCAACCCTTAGTCCTTAGAAAAATGGCTTTTAGCTTTGGCAAGCTACTTGCTCAACAAAGAAAGAAGAAGGTGAATAGGTGTTGCACCACAGATACTGGTGTGAGACATGGTTCTTTATTCTTGGCAAATTTGTGACTGTTGTAGGAATTTTTGTTCGTTTGCAAATTTAAAAGGGCGAGAAATCAAAAAGGTGCTTTAAGCAAACTAAAGAAATATCTCTTGTATATATGTTTTTTATGTGTAAATATATCTTTGAATTAACGAGAAATATGAATTTTGTAACCTTGAAATCAGAAAATTTCCTCACGACCTTTGATCCTTTAATCTTTCCACCAGAAAGCTACTAAAACGTGAAAGCAGCAGAATATGTTTCAAAGTTTATGCTTTCATTTTACATGATTTACTCCTTTCACGGTCATTTTTATTTTAGAAAGTGAAAAGAGAGATGAAAAAATAGGCTAACACCATCGTCATATGAAAATCACAAAGCTACATGAAAAAGTGTAAAAATCTAAGTGTTAAATGCAACAATCCATAAAGATACAATCAAAAGTGTTGCTACTTAAGCTTGTAAACAAAAAGTGCGTGCTCTTTTCCGGTACACTGACAATTTGAGTTACATTTCTCAAAGTCAGGAGTGACGCAGTTCGTCGAATTACCATACTTCGCGTAAGTCTTTGCGGCATGCGGTCCGCTCCAGCATTCGCCGTAATGCTCAATACCGAAATGGGTGTACCCTTTATCCCTTGTGCGTTGTGCGCAATGATCAATCAATCTACAAAAAACGTTGCAAGATATAAATTAATTTCATTATAGAATTCATAAGTGATGACGTCACAAAAATATATTATTTAAGAATTGTTGAAATTTGATCCCTTTATAGAATTTCTTTAAAAATATCTATGCGACAAGAAATAAAGATAAAGTTTATACTTACACTCTTAGTGAATGTGTGTAATTTCCCCATTGAACTTCCAGTCCGTGATAAACATTGCTGAATTTGTCACGATGGGAATCAAGCAGCTCCGGAAGCGGTCTTGGATGTGTAGTGACCGGATCGTAATAGCACCCGACCTTTTCATAAAAGCAATCCTCAGGCAGTGGGTCTGCAATGTAAAATGAGGAAAATAAAATATATCGGTAGCTGCTGTATGTTGCAAAATGAGTGGGGGCAGCCGCGATTCAGGGACTTTTGGGCCCGGGGCCAAAAACATCTGCGGCGCCCTTGTTCTTAACAATTTTTTAAATTTTTCTATTCGGTGAGGGGCCTCTTCTGGCTACCATGAGCGCGGAGCCGTAGCCCACTTGCACCCCTTAACCGCCACTAAGGGAGGGTGTTTGGAGAAAAACTTTCCTTCATCTGCACAACGAAAGGCTTATACATTATTATGTCCGATAGCTTGAACATTATTGCAGTCTTCACATTATACAGCTATACAAATTACAGTTTATGCAACTGTTTCTCCCCTTAAACAACGCCCTTGTTTGCCAAAGCTAACGATTTTCAAAAATGGAAAGCCAGATTTCACGAAGTGCAGATTAATGCAATTTCCTCTTGCCCAGAAGACCAAATCTTCGCTCCCTTGAACCAAATGCTTGAAACAAAAGTTTGTTTATGAGACGCACAAGTACAAAAGTCACATGGGCCTAAAAAAGGCTGAACCGAAAGCAAATATATTTCTTATCCTACTTCCTGAAGATCTATTCATCAAGCAAACAAGATAGTTGTACAACAAAACCAAACAGCTTGCTCACCAATTCTGTAAACGTAATTGGCCTTCTCTTTCCCTGTGCAAAACTGTCCTTTTTTACAAGCAGTGTATTTTCCGTTGACGCAGTTTTTAGATGGACCATCTCGTGCGTAGTTTGATGTTAGGTTCTTCCCGCCCCAGCATTCGCCATAGTGCTGGAGACCAATGTAAGTATAATTCCTCTTTCGGGCTATCTTGACGCAATCGCATGCTAGCCTGGAAGATAAACATCAACGTGAGAAATTAAATACTTGGGTACATGGGCACAACAAGGCTTAACCATAGTCACAGATTTTATGACAACTATTACAGTTAAACAGGGCCCGCGCTACGAAGTTGAAAGTGGGGAGGGGGGTGGCAAGACTAAAAAGGTTGGGGGCCAAGGCTTCCTACCTCTTTTACTACAGCTTTTAAACTACTTCGCAAAAAAGGAGGGGGGCATGGCCACCCCGGCCCCCCGGTGGAGCGGGCCCTGTTTAATACAATTAATACAACTATTTATTGACTAATACAGTTAACTAATTAAGGCAAGCAGGATTGTTATAAAAAGACCAGGATCGTAGATACTCAGGGTTCCATGCCCCCTGCCCCCCTGCCCCTACCACCCTACACCCTACCTCCGTACGCCAGTGCCCCTGCCTTCTACTGTCCTGTAGTCACGGCCCTTTGTTTACCATTCCTCCGTGTAATTATTTTCATTAGGGCGCCATCACTGTCTACAGAGAAATTGTAAATTCAAATATTTACTCCTGTCTAGGTCCTCCATTACCAGACAACAGTTGCCCACCAGTGAACTATCTATCTTCGTTTTACTTAAACCCTTCTCTCTAACTTTTTTTGGCAAATTGTTACCAAAGCATTTTTAGGCCGACCATTTCTGAAAATACTACAATACGAACCATATATATATTTTTCAATTCTCCAACAATACTCCCTTTGTTGATAAAGAATTTTGCTCTTTGATCATGAGGAGTAACCAAAATATCATTTTTTCCATATTGCCTTAGTTTAGTCGATGATTCAGCCCTGAGAAAAATTACCCCTGGAATCCAAGTTAGAAAACGAACTCTTTCTGTCCTGTTCTCTCGGACCCTTATTCTGACATTTTATACTCTGAGGAGTGTCAGACGAAAAAGCTTTAAGTAGTATGCTGTGAAATGTTTGCTTTTCTCTAAGCCTTTCCAAAGTTCTGTTAATGATTTTGTCTTGCATACGATATTGAAAAAAAAACAACGAGGGGGCAATAAGACGCAATACGGCTATACCTCAAAGAACTATCAACGTTTTAATTGGCATGCTCAAAACATTTGCGCTGCTTGATCTTCCAGACTAGGTGGGTCAATCAAAAAAAAAATAGACAAAAATAACATAGATTTAGAAATTTATAGATGCTAATTCACCTGCGATTTTACTGACCAACTAAGAATTTCAAGGCACTTTGTCCCGATGGATGGGTATCTCTGCTCATTTAAATTTTTTATTGGTTGGACTACACAATAGCCCTATTGTTACGCATCCAATTGGCAACCTAGCATTCTCGATCATAAACGCGCTGCAAAGCCTATTGTTAAAGGCAATCTGTCTCGTTGTGGATTGGTTAACGAGAACAATAGCTGGAACAATAGCCTGAACAAGATTCCAGCGCTCCGTCATATTTTTTACATGCGATAAATTAAAGGGGAACTGGAAACAATAAAAAATCCCTTTGTTCTTATAATCAATCAACGTCGTGACAGACCTTTAACTCTGCACGGTTTACTGACGGGACAGTACCGTTAATGGACCAACTGAAGATTCACCGACCAATACAGCCTTGATAAATACGCCCCTGGCTCTAAAACGAAAAAGCCTTACTTTCTAATGGACGATTCCCCGTTTTTCCATTTTATAGATTCACCATGATGAGCTGCACTTGTTGTATCCCTGTGCGAATCGAGCAGGTCAGGCAATGGCCTTGGCAACCTTAGGTTGTCATGGAAACAGCCAATGGGGCTGATGTTCAGTTCACACATCCCTGCAACAAAAATTAATCAATTAATGACATAACCTCTTTTAGTAAAAGAAGGCGTAATAAGATCTGAATTTATCATTCAAGAATAAATTTTGCTTAATTGAAAATGGATTTTTCTATGCAAATATCAAATATTAGATCACGTGTCCACTATCAGGATCCTATCTTTTTGATTGACAGGTTCATTTGACCAATCAGATACAATGATAGAAACGCGCTCAGGAAGTCAAGCCAGATCACAACAACATTCATGCGGCCAAGGACGTGCCTTTCTTTACAATCACTATCTGTAACACAATGAATGGCTTTAGAGCGTTAACCAACACTAACCTTTCTCACATGAAGCATACGTGGCCTTTGGGGCGGCTTTCTGAGTTTCAAGCACACTATTTCGGTCTTCGTTCTCAGTCTCCTTCTCAATTGATTTGATGCCATTATCTTGTCGGATCAGATGTCGATCTTCTTCAGAAATTTCGTTTTCGCTTGCATCATCGTCATCCTCATCACCATCTGGCTGTTCGTTCCTTTCTCCCCCTTCATCCCTTCCTCCTTCTTCATCCCTTCCTCCTTCTTCATCCCTCGTTTCTTCGTCTCGGCTGTCTTCGCTTTCACGGCCATCCTCTTCTGGTTCTGCAATAAAAGAACATTTCGAGTGAGATTTCATCCCATGGCAAAAGGGTCATTAAGCGAGTCTCGCTATGATGTCCAACACGAAACGCAAATACGAGGCCAATGACGAGCAACTCTCCGAGATTTTAACATATAGAAAAAATGGTGACTTTGATGTTATGGAGCTTTTATCTTCAAAATTTGACTTTTATCTTTAAAATAAATGTCTCAACCACTGTTTTAAATGTACATGCATGTCACGCCTCACCTTCAAATTCCTGCATCTCTTCTCTCATTTCGTCCTTTCTATCGATTGGATCTTTGTCTTCGAAATCTTCTCGTCTGTCATTATCAGAACCATCATACGTGTCGTCTACATTCTTGTCCATCCTTTCCAGATCATCTAATTGTGCATCTATGAAAGTAGGACAAGCTTTAGGCAATCTGATGTTAGGCAATCTAAAAACTGTCATCGCAAAAATCACCGTCACATCACAATAACTTGTAAATCATTGTTTATTTTCTCTGCATTTGTAAACTTACATTTTTGACAAAACTCCTTGCATTTCGAGTAGGAATGGAAATTGTTGCCGTTGTTATTGCATCCTCCGTATGCGAAAGCAAAACATCTTTTCTTGTCCTTATTGTAGTAATACCTCTTTGAACTGTCGGGACATGGTCCACTATATTTGGGCAGCGAGCAAATGAATTCTGGCTCTAGATAAGTAAGAATAGAACGAATTGAATTCTAAATGAGTAGAATTGCAGACAAGAAAAACTGGTAAGAAATTGTAATGATAACGAATTATAAAAAGTCTCTTTATACCTGGCAGGACTAATATGATACAAATTCGAGGATAGGCCCTTTTTCATGCAGCCTCAATTTTCAGTTATTTGCGTATATCGAAAAAATGTGAAATGGCTGTAGCAGTTTTCATTCAATCCGCATACAGAATTCGATCTTAAGTGGATGTTTGCCATAAAAATCAGTAGATTTTTGACGCACTTATCAATAGCAAATCATGTTAAGAGCCATATATCAGTGATTTCCTGAACCCTTAAAAAGGATGACAAATATTATCTGTCGAATCAACTTATAATGGTGAGTTTGAGGATGCCACTTACTACAATGTCCTTTGTGTAGGACTTTGAAATTTTCTTTGGTGATGCACCGTGCTTTCAAAAAGTAGCAGAAATTGTGATATGTGTTGCCATTGCTGGCGCAAACTGGGGCTGACCAGGAACCACATCTCATGAAATGACACATTTTATCTAAAAAACAAAACAGAATTCAACAAATAATGTATGATTCAGCGAATATATGCGAAGAGTAATCAGTATCTGGCATAACTAGATAAGGTAGGTCAGATCTACAAAGAGCCAAAATATGCAGGGTATGACCCCCATCCCTCCTTTCGTCTTTAGCATGATTAACTACACTCTCACACCAAATTTCTCCCATGAAGAATCTACGAAGACATTTAAAAAGTAAACATTAATTTTTACGTCTTCAGATTTAAGTTCTGTTAACATTTATTGTTTGCTGTTTCTCAAAGTTTCTAAATTCTTGTGTCAGACGGGTCTTGACATTTTAAGTGTCGTTTTTATAACTCAAATATAATGTTCAAAGTATTTAGATAGGCCTCAAAGCTTTTTGGCAAGAGCAAACATGAGTTACCAAACAAAAAGAGCCTTTAGAGTTTATTGCTTAACAACGCAAAGCCACGTTTATCATCACAGGCCACAACTTTTATGTAATAAGCATTTCTTGTTCCTATTGAACCAGGAACACAAAATATTACGCAATTTCTTGGAACCGAGGGAATTGTAATACCATGGAACTACTCTAAGGTCCTTAATAGAAAGGGGGACGCTTATTTATTTTTCGATTTTTTTCTGACCCCACCGGAGCTTATTTGGACCCCCCCCGCTTATTGATTTTTATATTCAATCATTCATATCCCTTATTTCATTTGTCCTTTGTTCTTTCAGGTATGAAATTTCTGTAAAGTTTCTCTTAAATGAAGTGGTTGCATTGTACAAACGTTTTAACATTGAAAAGTAGTATAACATCCGAAAAAATTTACATAGGCCTGGCTGATGTACACAATGATAATTAGCCTGCTCATTTTAGTAATACAACAATACATTATTACATGGTGATAATTGTCATTTTGCTATCGATTGTATTCAGAAGAAAATCTCATTTGATCCCAAAAAAGAATCATCACGTGATTTTTCAGATTTTTCACACTTCCGACCCCCCCCCCACTTGCTAGTACCCCCTCCCCCGCTTATTAATGTTTTTGAAAAATTTTGTGACCCCCCCCCCCAACTATCAAGACCCCCCTTCTATTAAGGACCTTAGAGTACATGCCAAGGGAATTGTAATACTATGGAACTACACGCCAAGAGAATTGTAATACTATGGAACTACACGCCTTGCCCTAGTGGTTTAACCCCAAACCCTCACGGGGGCGGAAAACCAAGTTTTAATCATAAAATTGAAAACCCAAGAGAAGAAAATCGTGATGCATACGTCACAAGAGACGATAATGACTGGTAAACAATAAAATTTCTTGCAGGCATCATGGTTTTGCATCAAAATGTAGTTATCTATTACCTGAGCAGTGAAATTCACAGTCATGTTTCGTTCGAAAGAAATTTCCAACATAAGAGCATCCTCCATCCCGGGCCGTGCATGCCTTCTTCGAATAGTCATAGACCCATCCCGCGTTGGAGCCATGACACAAAGTCTTTGTAAAACAGTTATATTTAAGGCCTGTAAATGAAAAATACTCTTTTAAAAAAGGCTTAATTAATATACAAGAATAAATTAAGTTTCTTCAAAACCATTGCTGACCTTCAGGCAATGAGAGCAGCAACTGGTAATCGCTGTGTGGTCAATGAAAAAGTAGGCCCAGTTGCATGGAACAGAGTAGAGATAAAAAGGGTTCCGAAATTTGACGTTATGAAAATATAGTTTAGTAAGATATTAAACTTGGATATTTAACTGGTCATTCTGTATGCAACAGAAATCTTGCATCTTTTTGTCCATGAGATAATTTTTGAAAGAGTCGCTCCTGCAGTTTTCTGCTTTCCAAATACGACAAGGAACATATACAATGAAATCTGCAAGATGGCAAGAAAATAACAAAGAGTGCCTCTTTAATTTATTCTTTGGAGGGTGCTGAATTGAAAGTAAAATCCCAATTAGCAAATTCAAAGTTTCATTAGGTTCCTATAGAAAGCAACCAAAGAGGGCTGCGCTTAGAGCAGATACGGGATGGGGGTTAATCCGATAAATTTGTAACAGCCTAACGTATCAGCCCCTTTTTTAAAAAGAAACACAAAAATATCAACTCTACTTATTATCTTGTATTCAAAAATAAAAAATTGAAACTTAGAATGAAGTAGATTCCTATCCTTAGCGCTGCTATTTAATAGAACATAATAGTACACTGGGATCAAAATGGATTTCTTGACATTACCAAAAATCGCAGTTTTTCTAAATTTGAAGCCTGAGCAGAATCTGCAATTTTTGTGAGATAAAAAATCATCTGAGACAAATTCTTTGTTTTTAAGAAAATGTTTGTCTTCATCAAATATTTGGAGAAATGACCCCCTCCCCTTTATCTAAACACCAGTCTCATCACCCCCCCCCCCTGAGAGAAGGAACATAATGAGGGAAGTGTTTTGGCACCACGGCCTCGGAGTTGAAGGATATTTCAAGGGGTGAGGTATTTCTAAGAAGCAAGATTCATTCAAAATAGATGGTCACAAATCTCCTATTCAGCTAGATTTGTGGGTAAGCTTTGTGTTGGATTTCCATCATGGATTTTTACAAAACTGTCGGGCGTATTCCTGGACAAAACATTATCAAAGTCCATTTGCGACAATCTCAATTTTTGGAAAAGTTCTTAAAACAAGGCCTAAAGCTTTTCAATGAATATTTACCACGAACAAGTAGAACCTCGGTTCAAAGTTATTTCAGCTGGTCATCAACTTTCGCCAATCAGGTTGAATTTAAAGGATAGATGCTATTATTTAAATTATATAAGAACTGGTGCTTCTAACCAATATAAATCTGCTTTTGATCATTGGAGTAAGCTCTCTTTTTGGGTAAGGAGATGTCAGTGTCAGAAATTGCGGTTTTTACGAAGGATAGAATAGATTAGCAGGTTCGATAAACGAGGGATAGACTTTCTCTGAAGAGAAGGAATTATCGAAACTGCAAGGGCATTTCGAGTTTCGACATTTTGGTCGCACGATCCCGTTGATGGAACAAGGGGTTGGAATAAGCGGCGCAGAGCTCTCCAGACATTTCAAAGAAATAAATAGACGGTGGGGGGGCTTACTTTCTGCCCTCAGAGTATCGGCAAATTTCGCTTTTTCTTTCCTCTGTTTCTATTGTTTACTCTCCCCTAGTGGCGTAACGGAGGCATCTGGGGCCCTGCAGGAAAACATTTAAGACGGGGCCCCGTTCACGGCTGGAAGAAAGTCCCATCCAACGCTCGCAGACACAATAGTAAGATGGAAAATGAGAAGTTTTGTCGTGGTTTTTGAAAATGAGGTTCACTTGAGCGAAATCTTAAAAATAATGGATAACAATAACTTGGGTGCCGCTTGGGTCTGGTCCATCGAGCTAAGGTGCCCGCAATCTTAGTCACATGTGCAATCCTGTCATAATTTGATCAGTCGATGGCATTTTCTTCCTGTCTGCTTGCCCTGTGCACTTTGTATAGGCGTAAGAAATGCAGGGGCGTGGAGACTGCATCCCCCGTTATCAGGAAAACGTTATAGCATTCCAGCGTTCAGGCTCCGCGAGGACAGTTCTATAATTAAACGTGTACCACCCGCTACGCCCAAGACACTCTGGCGACCTCTTACCCGCTTCCATCAAAATACATTTACGGTTTTGAATGATATTGTGCAGATCGCATTTCCTAACTAACAGATCATCAGCAACGATGCTGTGTCAATGTTACTTGAGAAAGTTGATATCATGTGTCCTTTGGCCATAGTATCAGTTTTCCACGAAACAGTTCCCATCTGAACACAGTCTACTGCTTGAAAATCATACTCAAAAAAGTCAAGGGAAACCTTTCTTCTCAAAGCTATAATCTAAAACCACGTCACGTAATCTTAAACAAATTCTGTTGCACTAAATCTAGGGTCGAACACATTGGTTTACTGAACAGGCTCTCGGTCATAAAGTTGTATCCCGGAATGAATTTGCAAGAAAAATACTGCCAGGTCTCCACTACATTAATTAAGATAGAGCATTTGAATGCTCTTCGTATTAACACAGAATCTTTCAATAAACAGCAAGATTTAATAAAAGAACTCACTTTGCAAAGCGGTCATCCCTTGCAGAAAGACGAGACCAATGACAAATTGGGTGACTGCCATCTTCAGCATTCTTGGCTCACCTCCAGTCCAGACCAGGAACAAAATGCAGTCTCCCACTGTCGGGAATATTTATACACAACTTGTTCCTGTTACCTTGTTCCTTAATCGCTCTTTCGAAAGGGTTTGGCTTTGACCACAGGTTCTGACCTTTTGTTTCGTCACCTGGAGCGCTTGCAATCTGTCACCAAATGACAGAACACCACTACAGGAATGCAGCGTGATAGCCATGGCAACATTGAAACACCGAGAACTTTCTTCGACAAGTCTGCATCAAATTTCTTTACATACAATCATCAAGTTACAAGATTTTGATTATTTCAATAAGTTTTCCTTTATCTTAGAATATTATCAATATTTACTTCATTTATCCGGCCTGTCTTTCTTGTTGTATATTTAAAGTAAAAGAATGCTGTCTGCCAAACAACACATTACTTCAGTGATTTTTTGATTTGCCACTTGCCAATCTCTCCTGCGCCGTTAGAAAATTTGAGATTTTGATGACTGGTCGTGTCATAGCAAATTTGCCGACACGGCATTTTTCTATAAGGGTACTACACTCTTTTCTATAAGAACGATTCTATAAGAACACAAGTCTCAAAATTGGTCAAAAGTTAAGAAAAAATTACGAACAAGCTGAAGCTGAGCTACTGTAAAATGAAATTTTGAACAACGTTTTATCTCAAAAAACGAGGATCTTCAGCCATGTGTGGACGCTTTTTCGGTCCATATTCAAACTCGTTGGCAAATTAAGGTTGTCTCGGTCCCAGGTGAGTCATCTCACACTATCACGTGTAAGCAGCCGTGTTCAAGGGTCTAGAAAACTGACCCTCATCTCTGATATTTGATTCCAATTTGATTCCCCTTTTCTTTGAAACCAAAGAAAATTTATACCCTTGTTCCTGAAATCAAGTAGTTGAAACAAGGCCAAACAAAGAAAAATTAGAAACTATGTTAAGATTCCCATATCATACACCCCTTTTTTCTATTTTCTATGTCCTAAATATATGGCAAAATTGAACCCCTTTCTCAGATGTATTGAAGAAACGTGTGCTTACCCCTGACAATGAGAGTGGACACGCCGGGTCTCGGGCACTTTTTGGCAAATTAGGCGTGAGCACCTCCCTAGAGCTAAAAATCTAGCAATCGCATTGCTCACACCCTGTTGATTTAAGAATCAATTAAGAACAATCCAGCCTCAGATTTTCGAAAAAATTATGAACAGTCAGCCTGAACTTAAATTTACTGGTTCTTATAAAAAAAAATTGTAAAAATTGTGTCAAGTTTCAATATTCTTAAGAAATTTTTCTTTTCAAATCTGATATGATTTCAGGGGAACATCGACCACCTTCGAAAAGAAAGCACGCTTTTAGAAAAAACGATTTTCGCAGGGCAAAACGGATTTTTGCAGGGCAAATTTTTTCTACCAACGGATCTGTTTTGTTGTTTTTCTTATGTAACTGTAACAAGAAAGTAGGATATGCTTGTCATTTGTCTACTCCAAAAGTAAGGTGATACAGACTACCAGTGACACAAAGTAGAAATTGCCAGCGTGACCTTGGGTTGGATGGAAAAGATTTATAAGTTGATCCTGATTTCCTTTCAAGTGTTACACCCATTTCTATGGTTACACCCTTGGTTGACATTTGTGTCTTATTTTAAAACTAAAACTAAAAAGACAAGCACCGCTTGCCAGAAAACTAAGTAACTGTAAACGGGGCTATTTGATGGTATAGTTAAGCATATTTGGGTCTAAATTTGCTTTGACTGTAACCAAAAGCGTTTTTATATCTACTTCTTGTGGATGATATAAGGTGTATTGTAAAAAAGTACCTGAAGGTTTTCAAGCTTGTGTTTGCCAGATAAAGATTATGTCATCGATAAATCTTTTCCAAAATATCCGACTACACCCATTGCTCGAAATATGTTGTCATGAATATGTTGGCATAATTTGGGGCAAAGGGTTGCGGTTTCTTAAGAGGGGTTAATAAAATTTACCATTACACTCTTCTTTATAAGTGCCAGTAAATTGAAGTTCAGGCTGGTTGTTCTTAATTTTTCGAAAATCTTAGGCTGGATTGTTCTTACTTTGTTTTTAAATTTATAGGGCATGAGCAGCGCGATTGCTAGCTTTTCACTTTAGGGAGGTGTCCAGGCCTCATTTGCCAACAAAGTGCATGAGAATACCTTTAATTGCCACCATGTTTGAATATTCCCCGAAGAAGCATCCCAAGATGGCAAAAAACTCCTCGTTTTGAGGTGAAACATTGTTCAAAGCTACATTTAACAGTAGCTCAGTCTCAGCTTGTTTTTAAATTGTTCTCAACATTTGACCAATTTTGAAGCGCGTGTTCTTATGAAATTGCTATTATAAAAAGAGAATGTAAAGGTAATATAATTATGTTTGAGAATAAAAATCACCATCTGTTGTATTTTATATGCAACAGGGTAGTTTCCCCATGATGATTTTTGATGGCATTGAGAAAAGCTTTGATACCCTCATCTTGTTAAATGCTAGTGTGTATATCGAAAGTGTGTTGTAAAAAATGAGCGCATGCTCTTTGAATCCAGGATGGAGGGTTGCCTTGTATTTTCATGCTTGTGGCTTCTAGCAATTTTGTGGATGAAAAACTTTCTAACCTTCCAAAAACTACTGATTAATATTTGATTGTGATCTATCCTTTCAATCTTTTGTTCTACGTTACATTGTGCTAACAGTATCGATTTTCCTGCAAAAATGGAAACACTGCACACACACAAAATACTTAATTTTTACTCGCTTTTCAAGTATGAAATTTTGCTTGTGTTTACCAAAGGTAAGCTAATGTTTTAGTTTCGTTAATCAACTCTAAATTTTCCATATTTTAAAAATTGGAGCATTGCTTATATTCTTACTGTCGATAGTCTGTCTTTTCAATTACGTTAGATAACTTTTTCAGAATGGAATCGTTTGGTGTTTTCCTGTCAATAGACTAATGTTTCAATCTAGTTGAGTAACTCTAAATTTTCCTTATTTTTTAAGCATGGAATCATTGCTTGTGTTGAACATATAATATAATTTAGTTTCGTTGTATAACTCTAAACTTTCCTCATTTTTCAAGCATAAAATCCTTATTTTGGGCCTTGCTGTAAATATATTCATTTGTTTATTTATTTATTTACTTGTGTTGTAAAGATTGAATGACAATGGAGGACACAAATTTCAAAAGAGTTCATCGGAAAATGACAATCGAGGACACAAATTGCAAAAGGGTTAATCCGATCTTTCAATATTGGAATCATCTGAGGAAGAACCTCCAAATAGGAAAGGGAGAAAGACCGTGGAGCATGTTACAGATTGGGGGGGGGGGCTTAAACATTTGGGGGGCTAAACATACTTAATAGCAAGAATAAGGTAGTTTTGTAGTTGGTTTTAAGTATATTTTGCAATTTTTTTAATAGGGAGGGGGGTTAATGGGGGGGCTACTGAAGGGGATGAATCCAGAAAATAAAAAAAGCAACACGGGCAAGGGGGGAATTTTGCAGCGAATTGATGACAGGCGCGGATGCTTTAGGAATACTGGTGCACATAAGGAGATGTCTCACGTTTTGCCACGCAACCAAATCTAGGTCAACCGGCTGATAATCGAGATTTTTCCTTGCATATGAATTCGCACCGCCTACTCAAACATTTTGAATACCATAGTACCGAATGCGTGTGTTACCAATCCAACGGAGATCCACTGGATTAATATCATTCTTCGATTTCACAAAATTCTTTGTCTTTTTCTCCAGAAACACCTCCAGTTAAAACCAAACACTGTATTTCATCCTACGACTTTCGTAAACAATACTCCGCGCCATGGATCTAGAAGCGGAACTGGTAACCAAAACGTCATGTTGATGATAAAGACGATTATTCTTCTTTGAAGTATGTTTCCAATATTCAGAAAACACCGCAAATCTGCCCTATTCGCATTCTTCAAATTTTTCCTTGTATCTTTTGTAAAAACGTTCCTTAGAACTGGAATTGAAGTAAAATCATACATGGTTTAGCAATTTTGCATTGACCCTCCACAAAACTACTGCATCGTTGGGTAACCTTCCCCCGTCCGGCTCACTGCCGTGGAACCGTAATGTCTCCTGGACTCTGTATATTTCTATATTTTATTAAGAACTCGCTGATATTTTGCTTTTTTCAAATACAACATTCCTTTTATTATTGCCTGATACTACGTGGAGCCCTAAAAATATTTAAAGTGAACTTTTGAGTTATTGAAAAATTAATAGATTTAGAAAATGAGGAGCTTTGGGGATCCAAGAATATATTGTTGAGTGGGGATGTGGAAATCACTCTCGAATACATTTTTTTTATAAAAACCAGTAAATTTGAGTTCAGGCTGACTGTTCTTAATTTTTTCGAAAATCTGGACTGGATTGTTCTTAATTTGTTCTTAAATTAAGAGGGTGTAAGCAGTGCTATTGCTAGCTTTTTCGCTCTAAGGAGGTGTTCAGGCCTCATTTGCCAACAAAGTGAGTGAGACAGCACAATTAAATATTCACCGAAAAAGCACCCACACATCGTTAAAAATCCTCGATTTTGAGAAAAAACTTTGTTCAAAATTGCATTTTGCAGAAGCTCAGCCTCAGATCGTTCTTAATTTTTTCTTAACTTTTGATCAGTTTTGAGGCTCATGTTCTTATAAAATTGTTCTTATAAAAAAAGAGTGCAAGTCTTTATCAGGAAATATGATTGTTTTAACAAAATTGTACGATCGTCTATTTGTAGGAGCGTTAGGAGGAGCTTTCTTGATAATGGCGGAAGCTATAACTTCGCATTGGGTGAGACATGTCGACTTGGATGCATGAAACAGATTTTTATAGTTGACTTTCTACTCTATCATTGGGTTAGCTTTAGCCTCTTCGTATAAATCATCTGATACAAGGGTGGGTTAGCGCTTTTCGTTGTTAAATTTTAGCGTCGAGGGTTGATAAAAAGAACAAACGATGAGTTAATTCACAAAAATCTTGGAGGACTGTAGAGCAAAAATAATCTGAAAACATTAATAGTCTCCAAGCGTTGGTAGGGAGAATCATGTGCTTCATTTTACAGGCTTTTTTTAAAAGGAACCACTTTATAAGGAATCTACATGTAGAGGGCCGAAATATTCAAAGAACTTATACTACTAAAAACGAAATCCTTAAGGAACTTTTCAATTTGAAATATTTTTATAACTGGAAGCATCAAGAACTAAAAAGTCGGTTCCATTCATTTGCAGCCAATACTTGCAAAGATTGTTTGCTATTCGTGTGTCAAGTGCTTCATTGAGTAGTTTCTGCATATGCTGTCTCGCCCCTCTCTTCATTGAATGTTATGGTTTATTGTATTCAAAATACAGAGAGTAAGATTTTCACTATACATAGCCTCCTTTGTGTTTTTTCATAGATAGGCCTGACTTATCTATATCGAAACTATTTTACATTCATTTTTGATTCTCGTGACAAACACACATTCGACTTTCTTAAACGAAACTGCCCTTTATATACTAGGAAGAAATTTTCCAAGTACAAGCAGCTGGTATTTCAATCGATCAAAGTACAACCAAGATGAACCCAAAAAAGTAGAATTAACTAAAGGTTATTCTTACCACGCATTCAACCTGACTCCTCTAGGCGCAGAGTACCGAAGTGTGACGTCATAAAAAAATCTTTTTTTAGAATTTCTTAAATTTGACCACATTATCTGAAAGAGCAGCATAAAATACCTCACAATATGCAAAATCAGTTAGATATGCTCAATATTGGGCGAGATATGGCAAATGGAAGGTTTAAAGTTTGCTAACAGATTACTGTTAATTTGGCCTGGTTCATAAAGTTATGAACCAAGACCAAATTACATAGGTTTGATGGGGCAAGAGCCTGTGCTCATGTGACCATATCTCAGCCAGTTCCTAATGCTTTAAATTGAATTTGCAAATTAAGGGGTATTTCATCATGCTCTTTCAGGTTCTGGGGTCAAAATTAAAAATTTCTAAAAATAGATTTTTATGACGTCCTCACTTCGGTACTCTTTACTCCAGCCACATAAACAACGGACCAAACGAATTCAATATAGATAAAGTTAAAAATATCGCCAGAATTGTCATTGCATCTAGTGAATCAAAAGCGTGAATCAGAAGGGTACCAGTAGCCAATTTTTAAGACAAAGTACTTTTTATTTTTTAGAAACGTACACAGGAATGAATCTTTTCTGCAATAATTCAAGACCAGACAAGAAAAATTTCACAAGGATCATTTGTTTTTCTGTTCGTGACTTACTCCTAAACAGAAATTAAAAAAACACAACCTATGGCTATGCCAAAATGTTAAGAGACGTAATCACAAACACGGGATTGCGGATCTACCTAAACCAACACTGTTTTAACCCTGGCTACAAGTGCCTAGTGAGCGAGTCGAATCGAGCATTGGAACCGAGGTCCACTGTTCCATTACGGTACACAGTTTTCAAAGCAACTCGAAAGCACAGTCGCTGCAAGAAGCTGCTTTCCATCACACCCTTTATTACTCCATTGAAAATTGTCGACAGTTAAGCTGTAGTGTTCTGTTCCGTAAGCAATTTCTTGGGGGCAACGAGGGGCTTCCCCGACCGATAGGTTCCAACACCTTCACTTCTACAAATATTAACAGTTTCTGATAATTTGTCATTCTTTTAATCAAAAATTCTTTCCCGTCATGATTTTCCTTTGTGTCTTAATTTTCATAATTAGAACTTTTAATAATTGGAAACTTTCGACAATTTGTTTTCCTATGAAAATTCAAATCATCAGGCGTGCAGTGAATCAATCTTTAGCTGCAATTTTACTGTCTGAAATTAAATATCTAGCATGGAATAAATGAAAATTCAGGAGTGAAACATGCGGAGGAACAACTTTGTACCGTGTTTTTCTTGTTATGATCGGCATTCGATGAGATTAATAACAGACAAGGCGTCTGCTTCCTAAGACATGTTTATATTCACAAAAACAACACGTTAGTACAAGTTATACAACGAGAGTCCCCTTTATTTCGACGAAGCAAAAATACACGACATTAAGATACAATAAAGCAAAGTTTACGGCAGAGTTACCCGAGTTACTACAATGTAAAACTTCATGAACTTTGTTGGGCATAATAATTGTCATGATAATAATTGTGGGCTATGGCACTATGTGGGGCAACGTTCGACGTTTTGCGACGAGCATTTTGAGCTATGTAATATACGACTGAACGCCTAAACACTTGACTTCTAAACAAATTGAAAGAAACATAGATCTGCACACGACTTCGCGCATTGCACAAAACTTGTTTCCAATTGAATAATACTGCAAGATTATAAGGATATATAAAACAGCAAAATTTATTTGAGTTTTTCGAAAGGAGGAGTAACTTGATCATGCACAAAGGTCTACAGATCTTGTACACGGGTTATGATGTAACAGTTAGCAGAAAAAGCCTATCGTAAACTGAATCTCGCATCGACCAAGAAATTGCTAATTATTCTCAACTTCCACAACACAGCTTGTTGGCAGCTTAAGCTTACTGCTGACTTTGACGAAAAAAAACGTGCCAAGATTTCATTGGCGAAATAAGTCATCTTCCTCTTGGATATATACGAGCAGTTCAAAATCATTTCAGTCGCTTCAAGAACCTTGCTCTAGCAATATGACATTAATTCTACCTCTCCAAGTACAGATTTAAGCAACTTCTCCCTATTCTAAAAACGATGTTACAAAGCTTTTGGAACTCGTTATTATGTAGGGAAAGCTGAATGTTTTTCAATTCTGCGATAAACCATTTTCCTATGACTAAATAACCCTTCAAACAGCTTTTGGAGAATCTCGCACGCTTGAAATCTTTTACGAACAATAACGCAATCGCTATTTAAGACGATTTTCGATAAACAAGATAAAATATTGAGCTTTAATCCACGACTTTGGGAGAAAAATTGAAGAACGCGTGAGTTATTTCGGCTTTAGATCCAATTCTTCAAAAGGGATTTACTTTTCTCACATATTTTTAATGGGTTGAGGAATTATAGGGAACTAATATCATAAAATAATACTGTAAAGGCACACGAAAACAACAAATCGACAAAAGCCTCTGTTTGCTCATTTCCAGCAATAACGATGATTATGACATCATCACGGGCTTCGCTCCAACCATAACTAGACGATGACGTCACGGTGAAAACTTTTCACCATCAAGCGAAAACTTTCAATCATTAATTTGTTAGTACCAGGCCACAGAAAAGGAATTAGGCAGAAGGGGAACTCCTGCCAACGGGTGAAGCCTGGAAAAACTAGCGCATGCGTTAACTTCTACGAGGCTTAGCATGTATCTGTCGGGGAAATTTTAAAAAAAAATGATAGTAAACAACTTTATTTGAGACGAAATGCCCCATGATAGTTAACAAATTCAATTATGTATCATAATTCGTTTATATCTGATTAATTAATGATTATTTGTCATGGCTAAGTTCTTCTAATGAAATCGAGGTTAAAGGGGACTTAAGGAATTCTATTGTTGACTCAGGCTTAAAAAACAACAAAGGAACCGACGAGGGTTACCCTTCTGCCTGTTTCCTATTCTGTGACCAGGCCATGACTAGGCCAAGTATATGTGAAATTCACTGCCTTATTTTGCCACAGTAGCGTTTCCGAGGGAAGACAACAAGCACTCTACATTAAGTGCGCCCTACCCAATAAATTCGTTTTAACAGGCCTCGACATAGCATAAAAATTACCTAATTGGAAATTTTAACGTCTAAAATAAGAATCTACTTAGCCTTCAATTTTCAGTAACTTTTTTACCCATCCTGCAATGTTTACGGGCTCGTTTTCCCAATGCACGATAAACGGATGGGTCTGAAAAAGATAAGTATTACCAAATTTAGCAACGACTTAGAGGCAGCAAATTTTTCTTGATTTGAAAACTTTTGAAAAAACTAAGCAGGTTGATCAAAAGCACATTGAGATTTCTCTTGGCTGATATAAGATTAACTGAGATACATGGTTCTCGCGGCACTCGCGCTTCTGTGTTGAGACTCTCGCGTCTCTGATAAGGCTCTCGCGTGTTGAGACTCTCGCGTCTCTGATAGGGCTCTCGCGTGACGAGACTCTCGCGTGTTGAGACTCTCGCGTCTGTGATAAGGCTCTCGCGTCTTTGACGTTACTTTCGCCTCGCTGACATTACTCTCGCGGCTTTGACTAGACTCCCACAATCAAAGTAAAGTTATCTATCTGTTCACGAGAGCAATCTGCAGCTTATAATTATTTAAGTATTCGAAACAAAGAAGAACGTTCTCGCGGCGATGAGATTTGCGCTTTTCTGGTGGGACTCGCGCGTCTCTGATAAGGCTCTCGCGTCTTTGGTGTTACTTTCGCCTCGCTGACATTACTGACGCGGCTCTGGTGAACTCCCGCGTCTTTGACTAAACTCCCATAATTAACGTGAAGTAATCTATCTGTTCATGAGAAAAATCTACAATTTCGATGATTTAAGTATTCGAAAAAAAGAAGAATTTAAATTCAGGTCATGTGGAAGCGATTTTCATTGCAAACGATAGTAAATATAATATGAATTCTTTACAACTGCAAAAAGTCAAGACCATAGTATATGGAACAGGAAATACTAAATCTTGGGGAAGCTTCACCGAAAGAAACTAAAAAATCCAACTCACTATTTGAGTTTAAGAGAAAAATAAAATTCTAGCACGTTAACAGTTGCAATCGCAGATTGTGCAACAATTTTACAAAACATTTTGTAAAAAAATTTACAAAAAGTTTTTACAAAAAATAAAAATTCATTCATTGAAATAATCTGCTAAAACCTGAAATAATAGCAGCTGGAAGATAATTTAATTAATTTTATTTTGAAAGGAACTTTGCGAAGGAGTAGGAGATTTTTAAACTAGCAGATAAACAAAAGATTAATTATGAGAAAATATGAGAGACAGACATACATGGCATGGATAGCAGAAATGAGGAAAAAGTGAAACATACCTTCAGTGTCTTGAGATCAGGTCTTTCGTTTGGATTCTTGTATAAGCTAAAAATTAAAGATTTATTAAAAATCAAATTCTCGGTTTTATTATATCAAAATTTAGCGATAATTTAACGATAATAGTCTGGAAATTTAACGATAATATAGTAAGCGAATAAATTGAGTACCAGAATGAAATAAAAAAGTTTGATTTTAAAAACACGACGTTTCGAGCATGTACTTGTTATCAAGACGGACAACTTAACGGATAATAACGGATAAAATCTAGACAGACTTGCATCTAGACATAATAAAGACATGAGATTGATCATATTCTTGACATGCTCTTTAAAATATCATTGACAAAATTAACGAGCTAAAAAAATGAATTTGAGAAAGGTACTTAATTCAGAGTAGCACAAATAATTGTGAAAGCTTTTAAGTTTCTAAACATATTGTTACAAGTATGTGTTACCATAACTTCGTTCAATTTTGTTATGTCACATTGAGCTAATAAATAAAAGCAATCAACTTGATTTCTTACCATTTATTGGTGAAATCGCAAAAGTCCTCTGAAAAGTGTGCAGGTGGTAACTTTGGAGGAGGCTGCAGTTGAAAATGGATAAGATATCTAAAATCTTTTACAAATCGCTTTGGGAGATCAACTCAACTATGAATGGTTTTTGAGTAATTTGTGTTAGGTCTTGTCATATATAATATATAGTTTTTGTACAATAAAATAATTGTGGAAATATTGTTGTATTTAATGGGACAGAAGTCCACGGAGACAAACAAAAAAAATCAGTGGATGATGGAGCATAAAACATTTTTCTCGAAATATTTAGCATTGGAGATAAGACAATGTAGCATAAACAACTACAAAATGTTGAGGTGGGAGATCCTGCAGAATAAAAACCAGGGCGCTTTATTCAGACTTATGAGGGGAACAAATCGAACCTGAAAAGCATTAACGATTCAACATAAGTTTTCTTCAGTTTACAAATTTGGATCCATTAAGATAAAATATATATCTGTGGTGTAGCTGGGACTTGTTCTAAGGGATAAGAAATTCAGGATATTGTACTGGGCGTAAAATGCATTGCTTTTTAATGTAAGAAGGATATTGTAAGTATAGCTTATATAAATTGTTATCCTATATAGACAACGATTGAAAGAAAAGATATACAAAGGAACGAAGCACTCTAGAAGCCAATCGGTAGCCAATATTCTTCAAATTATGTGAGAACTAGTGAATTCGTTTACGTAATTTCTGGTTTATTGTATATAAGCTGGGGCACAGTTCAGGCCATAGTGCAATTTTCACAATATACTCAACTGGGAAGGTTCCCACAGTTGGCTTAAAGGTAGCCCTACATTCAGCGATATCAAAAACCCCAAAACGAATATGATATAATAATTGCAAATACCTCATTTACTATGTAATCCAGCAGCTCAAAAATCGCCAATGACTTTGTTTCCCCGCCGCCGCCGCCAGCACCAGGTGGCGGTGTTTTATCATCTATTGCAGGACCGTTCGGCGGCAATTTGAAAATATCCTCCAGGTCTTCAGGCCTCGAACTGGGGATTGGATATCTACCTATGGCTAATTCAACCAATGAGAGGCCCATGCTCCATACGTCCGACCGGACTGTGTACCGGCTGCCCTGTAGTCGCTCGGGCTAAAAGTCGGAAGAAAGTGTCGAGTAACTTCTCTAAAGGTACCAAAGTTTTACAAAGCCTAATGGGAGAACTCTTTTGGTGCAAAATTTATTAAAAACTTACAACCCGCAATTTTTAAAAATACATGCATGAATCTCGTTAAATTACACAAAAACTAAAATGAAAATAATTGGTTAAAAGGATAAAAAAAGTTCAGCTGAAAATGGAACTCAATATACGTAACTTTTCGTTTTCACTTTCACTTCAAAAGCTCTACCCCAAGAAGCTCTTACGCTAAAATTCACAACAGTAGTTTTTTGAGAGAAATTTTTGAAATAACTCTAAAGGTCACTTCTCCACCAAAATTTTTCCCCTCTTAATTCTAAATACCTTTAAAGTTCACTGAAACCTGACATCTAAAATCTAAATATTGTCTAGTTGTATAAACATTGAAAATAAAATAGATAGGTGAATAAAATATCTTTTGGGCGTTATGGTAAAATTCCAAATAGTCTGTAAAATATTATTTTCAGGATGTAGCCACGGGTTCCTTTGCCCAACAGCTAGGTTTTTCTTTGGTACCACGCCAGAGACGCCTTCAAATTTACCATATAATGGACTTCCATGCCGAAATCAAATTGATTCACAATAAACCGGACTCATGTTATGTCGGATTCCTTTCATAACAGACCGGTTCAAACAATAAACAAGCATTCCGATACAAGGCTGAATCCGGGGTTAAGTCTAAGTGGACGGGAGCTTACACGGTCAAGAAATTGCTAGTAATCAATTTGAAACTCGAATGTTAAAGACAACATACCGACATATAAGAGCGGGTGCCAACAAACGAGATGGCAACAGAATCAATTAGCTGGCCACTGACGCCAAAATCACAAAGCTTTATATCACCCTTGGTATTCACAAGAATGTTGGATGATTTAACATCTACAAGAAAGAAAATGACGTCATAAGGTGTAAAGTGATGAGATTTATCATTTGCCATAACGTTGTGGGTTGCCCAAAGTATACTGTTAAAGATTTATATTTGAATTTTTTCCTGGGGGGTCGAAAGTTGGGCTCATTAAGGAGGGGCTTGATGGAGAGAGGGGCTTAAAGGAGAGGAAACCTAATAAAGAGGGGGTTTAATAGAGAGGAAGCTAAATAAAAGGGGGCTTAAATGAAAGGGGGCTTAAGTGAAAGGGGGCTTACTGAAGAGGGGGTATAAAGGATACACTTAGATATCTTGGGCCATATGTTTGAAGACTAAACTCGATAAAAATGAATTGTACACATGCAGAGTAAACCGCGAATCCCTCTGAAAGCCCTGCGAATAGAAATCTGTAACATAAAGCTATGACGTACAAAACAAAATCCCCTTACCTCGATGAATAATGTCGTGTTTGTCCCGTAGATAACTCAAACCTTTAATTACCTGAAAATAACAGATAAAATCGATTTTGGCTCGTCTTTAAATGTACCATTATAACCTGTTAATAAAGTTTTATCAGTACACAATTTTCTACCCATTCAATTGTCAATACTTTGATTTTGAAGCCCAAATGTTTCAAAACAAATTTCCATCAAAGATTCCTTCGGAGATACTCTCCTAATAGAGCCTTTTCCCATAATTTCGTCTAATAAAATCTTATACTACCTAAAGGCAATTGCAAAATCAACCCTGAAATCTTTGTTGGCCCCTCTCTAATTTAGAAGCAACGGATATATTTAATGACTGCTTCTTCCTATTCTATTTTTTGGTCTTCAAACCATTGAACTGAAACAACTTCTAAGCTTCTTTGTAGAGCAGAGAAATAGAGGTCAATAGCAAGAATTATTCCTTTGTCAGTATTAAATGTTATTTGGCTAAGTAGGCATAGTTGTGTGGCCTATAATCCACAACCAATGTAGAGTTGTTTTACATAGCCCATGTTTATGGTTTACCGTTGTTAATGCGGGTAAACTCTATTGTTTACCATTGTATACCAGGGTAAACCAGACCATTTACCATAGTTTATAACCCGCGGTAAGAAATTAAATAACTTGCAAAATAACTCACAGCTACACCTATTTTCCCAAGAATCTCTTCTGACAGCCTGTTTGTTCTCTTCAGCATGAGATCCAGAGATCCCCCATCCTACAATAAAAAGCATCATTTCAACAGCTTGTGGGAATACTTACAGGAAAATTTTTGAAATCCACACATATTTTGCAGTGGTTAACTTGAGAAATCTTGACAAAAAACAAAACCTCATTTCCTTTTGGGAAATGTGTACAGCCCCTACAAACATTTTAGAAAAGTCAAATCTAATTTGTGCAACTCATTTTCCTTATCAGGTATTGCTAAGATAACCTGAAATCTTCAAGTAAAAACTGAGATATATGATTTCTTGAAAAAGTACCATTCTGACAAAGCAACAATTGTCAACAAGCACACAAAGGTTAAAACTCGGAGCAGTAACTTAGAATCACTCCATCATTTCAACAGCTTAAGTAAATGCTGACGGAATAATTTTTCAAATCCACATATATTTACAGGGGCTAACTTGGGAACCTTGCAGAAAAAGCAAACCATTATTTCCTTTAGGCAAACGTCTACACCCTCTACACACTTTTGAGTAGTCAACCAAACTCATTTTTCTTACCTAGTTTTGCTCAAATAGAATCTTTATGTCAATACAATGATGTAAGATTTCCTGAAGATGTATTTACAAATAAAATGTGACGAGGCAATAGCTGTCTGATGACTGTAATAAGCACGAAATTCAGAGTAGCAACTTAGTACCATACTGTTCTACACACCAAATAGCGTGTACAGCTCTGCCTATACAGGGCAGTGTTCAATCACTTTATGATAAATCAGTAAATAGAAATTCCATTTCCTGATAAGCCAGTAAATTGATAATTTGAAAAAAAAGATTTGGGAAAAACTGGCTTTAAACCATATAGCCAACTTAAATGAAATCTGAAGCTCACATAGTGCATAAACAGTGGCAGACACTTGAGGGGGCGAGGGGGGGTGACCACCCCCCAATACTTTAGAGGACAATGGTCTTTTGTTCTAAAACAATGGGAAATGTGACGTCATTTATATTAAAACAATAGGCTTGCCCCCCCAATATTTGACCAAGTGTCCACCCCTGTGCATAAATTGAAACTATCAACTCACCATGTACTCCATGCATAATGATATTTCCCCATCACTGTAGAAATATCCATAAAACCCAACAATGTATGGTGATATGCACTCATGAAGTACTTTTAGTTCGCGCATAATCTGATTGCGAATGGCTGGCTTTATTTCCAAGTGTATTCTCTGAAAACAAAATGTTTTGAATGATTTAGGAGTTGATATTCTAAATTAGGAGTTAATAAATTGGGGCTTGGGTAAAGTGGAGATGAAGAATGTATGTGTTAATTTAATTTGGAAATTGTCTGTTGGAATTACTGCACCAGAAGCATGATAAAGTAGGGTTTAGGATAGCAAGTGCCTCTCTTTATTGCTTTCCAACCTCACTGGTGTGGCTACCTGCTCACCACTTGCTGACTAGTGGACAAATGGTGGCCAAGTACTAGACTAGGGTAAAGGCATGGAAGTATGGTGGAGATTTAAACTGTATGTTAACACTTGATTGGGAAAGAGCCTTTTAGCAAAGACACTAATACTGTGCATTTGGTGGGTATCAGGTGACCAAAAATGAGATTGTGTAAACAACAGAGTTCATCTTCTAACTTAAATGCCTATCTACATTAGAAGTTGGCAGCTGTTGACGATTAAACAAGATCTACATTTGATTGACAGCTGTAAAAAAATATCCTGGGGCAATTGTGATACAAAACATGAATAGGAATGTGCAGAATATACGCTACTTTCTTATGTCATATCAGAATAAATGTTATGACAAATGTTGAAATGTTGAAATTTCTTTTCAGAAACTTAATGCACCTCTCCTTGTATCAGGGCCTAAGATCAAACTTCTAAATGCAACTAATTCAACTCCTGGCAAATAGACCTAACGCTCAAGACACTTGAACACCAGAAAACTTGTCAGAGTTACTCCTTTCCTCTAATCCTCCAATGCTCCTCTGATCAGAAAAGAAACTTAACCGCATTATTTTTCCAGCTTGGATAAAATTTACATTTTGATGCCTGCTTTATGAAAATAATACCAAGTGACATTGACTTTTCTGTGAGTAAATACCAACTCACAGAATTGACATCTTGTTATGTCACAAGCAAACACAAAATGAAAACTAAATGTGCAAATATGGAATGAAAAGAGCAGAAATGTCAACAACCAAACATGCATCAGACATTAGGTTACATAAAAACATAGAACTGAATACTACAGGTTTTACAATAATGCTTTTCAAAACATAACAAACTTAATCTATCTATAAAACATGTAGTTTATTAGTAGACTACTTGTAAAAAAGCAATGTATGTATATTTCACTCACTTTTCTGGCCATTATAATTTTTGAAGGCTTATGCCTGACTTTTGCCACCACCCCTCCATTGCCAGCCCCTAAATCTTCAATTGTTTCAAAATCCTCATCTTTCATCTCACCAATCTTTGCTTTCTGGCTGAAAAACTCTTCAAGCCTCTTGGTCTGCTCTTCACTAATGTCACCAAGATCAAGCTCACTTAATTGCTGGGCTAATTTATCTTCTAGTGTTGTGATAGGCTTTGCACTGAAATGAGATATAAAGAAAGCATTTTAAAAAACTACAAGACACAGGTGTTGCAGATGTTCTATCAAATATAAGAAAACAGACAGAGAAAAAATTAGGCAAGAAAACAAATTTTAAAACTCAACTGGCTCAAACATTGAAGTCTGAAAAAAAGTCAAACTGGTTTCTATATCAAATATGGCTAATACCCTGCTAGGTTGATAATTACAAAGTATAACTTAAAAACTGCAACACAGACAAAAAAATTGTTAGAGATACACAATGGTTTACATTGCAGTTTAAATGCTGGTTTCAAAAAAGCAAATTCTGTGGTTTTTTTACTTTGAAACTAGCATAAACATATAAATTCCCTTTTTGAAATAAAAACATCATCTAGAAATGTGGTAAAATTCCATATACGTTTCTATTTCCAATTTCAACCTTTTTACAAACAAAATATGCAAAGTAACTATTTCTAAAAACGTTCAAATAAACAAAAAATACATAAAAATTCAAATAAATTGTTTTCATAAGCTATATTAACTTACTTCAACCATCAGTTATGTCAGAATATGTTTCTGAAATTACCTTACACAATGAGAGCTCACATTTTGGCCTCAAAAATACCTTTACATGACAATCATGGGTAGTTTATTTTCTTTCTTTAAGGCACTGAAAATTCTTATTTGAAACCATAAGAGCAGGATTGGAAAAGCATCCGAACCCTTTGACATGCTTTATTGCTTACTTTGTTAGATTTTTCCACAGTACAAACTTTCCAGATTACAATTAAATTTCTAGAGTTAAAGTTGAAATTTTATAACTGCTCCAACTATACTATCCAAAAAGCAAATTAATTGAATCTTAAAAATTTGTCCAAAAATATTGCTATATAAAATACTACATAGGAAAAACATGTTTATATGTAAATATATAAAATTAAGAGCTATAATGAAATGATGAAAAAGCAGACAATATTCAGGAAAAATCTTATCTTGACATATAAAGCTGAAATGCTTTCTTTCAGGAGCATTTTAACATTTAATTTTTTGTGTAAAAAGTGTAGAGAACACAGAAAACAGCAAGACCATGTTTAAATGTCAAAAGTAAGTACAAAAACAAGAAATTCAGTGAAACAGTTTATTACAGATTTCAAGCAGAGAAAAAAACAAGACAGTTGCATTGATGGTAGAATCAAATGAACCAAAATAAGATCCTGATATTCTTGATAGCTCAGTTATTTAAATGCTTGTCACTAGATACAGAAACAGCTTGAAGACTAAACTCTAAATGAAAAATGACAATGGAAGAAAAAACTAAAGATATTTTCATAAAGAAGTAAGATTTGTTGAAGAAACTTAAACTGGAAAGAGATGGTACAAGAATCATATACAATGTATCAAAACAAAGAACAAAGAAAAAATGCCATACAGGATTAAAATATCAAGAAATTGGACAACATCTGAAGCCTTAATGACCCATCAGTCCCGGCCATGGGACTTTCAGTAGGGGAGCAGTACACAGCTCTCCCTAGTAATATTTAGGTGAGCTATTTGTAGATAAATACGAATAGAAACAAAGGCAAATTGATTTAAAGCAGATCAACTTAGGAGAGCAATCAGTAGCTTCCGTTAAGCATTTTGAGGAGAGCAGATTTCCCTAAATGGCCAGACCTGACCCATCCTTTAGAAGTAATGGAGAAACAGCCCCCAAAGTTGCACCAGATAATACCTCAACAATTATAAACAGAGAAAATCAATTACAACTTCCGAAAAAACCACTAGAAAACAGGGTGACATAAAAGTATGAAAAAATAAAGCCTGTGTGCCACAAGATTAAAAAGCCGTATCAATTGAATATGGATTAAAATTTGCATGTATACCACAAAGCTATTTAAAGTTATTGAAAAAATAACAAATTTGGGCATTAAGATTTTTTAAGACAAAAACTGAAATCTTCAAAATATTCACATCCTTAATAACATTTGAAAGCAAAGGAAGGCTAAACAATGAAAAGATGAAGATAATTGGAAATTTTTGAGTGACTGGCCATGGCAGAGCCTTTATACATGGTAGAGCGTTGCAGTAAACCAAATCTGCACAAGTACTTGGAACAACAACACATGCAGCTTTGAAAGAGCAGAAGCAATTGACAATATAAGACTTCAAACTATTTTGCACTTGAGCAAACATCCCAAATATAACAACTCTGCTATTTACAACTGAGAGAACTTCCATTCATGATATAAATCACTAAAGGTTCTATCTTTGTGCGAAGGATTTGCAAAAATTCCATTAATCCATTCTAGAAATGCATGAATCTGTTTGAAGAGAACAATTGACACTGGTTGGTCATTTTTACTTCTAATCTTTATGTATTCTAAGACAATCTATAGTGCAAACATAAGTAAAGCTTGTAGGAAATTGTGCCAATAGAAAGATATTCAAAGAAGAAAATTGCTTTCACGAGTTAATGAAAAATCCAGATGCAATGCCAAAAACAGCAAAACAAAACAGGCACGACGGAAAAAACCTAATACTACTTGCTTAGTCAAAAACTTCACCTAATGTTATTGTGAAAATCATCATTGCATGGCAGTTAAAGAAAGATGTTTTGGCGAAAACACAAAATATTGGATCACATCAGGTTGCTCACTGTAAACAAATTTTAACCTGAACTGTCAGACTGTATCAAAATAGTTAAATATATGCCTGAAATATATTCTTATAAATCATTACAAGTTTACTTGGTGTGGATATCAAATAAAAGAACGAATTTGAACACTGCCTGTGCAACTTAGCATGAATAGCATGTTTGACAAAGTTTCACATAACATAAAACTCTGAATATAAGCCCTGGACTTATAACAGCTCAAAAGCTGCTTTCAGGGGGCTTATATTGGAAACTGACATATAATGTTGCAAGTAATAAGCATCACAAACTTAAAGGCATTTGACACAGGTAAAAGAAGCTTACAGCCAATTGACCACAAGCAATTGACTAATCAAATTGTGTACAGAGAAGAACGTGTGAACAGTTTCCACCTTTCTGCAAATCGGTGAAATCCTAAAGCATCACGCAGTGGTTTCATGTGAACTGTTTCCAATTCCTTTATTGTGCGCTTGCTCTGATCAATTTGGCCTAAGTTATTTTTGGATTTGTTGTACTTATGCATGTCAAATGCCTTTAAAGTGAAAATGCACTAAAGAAAAACTGAAGAACAGAACTTATTTTTCTTGTACTTTGTCACAATAATGGCATGCATGTGTGTTAAGGAAGAAAATAGAGCTGTTATGTTTATCCTAAACAAAAGCCCCAGGCTTAAAATTCAGAGGGCCTATATTCAGAAGCAAGATTACCTCACAGAAACGGAGGGTATATATTAAGGAGGATTATATTTGGAGGGGACTAAATTTGGCAATTTACAGTAAAAATCAAGCACTCAGAATTCATAATGCTATGCAGTGTAGAGAGATTGTTGAATCAAGCAAACAGACAGCAGGGTAACAGACTTTATTTCACCTCTATATTGCAATATTGCAGAGCAAAGAAGTGTACCTAACAACCCCCCCCCCCACCCACCCACAAAGAAGCTTAGAGGCAGAAAGATAAGTACCCTCCCTTCCAGTCAAAGTTGGAGCATTTGAACATATATATAGCATAAATGTTTGCAATAGCCTGAGGTAAGTACCAAACGTTTCAGATAAACACCAAGGGGCTTATTTCCCAAAAAAATTGGGGTGGGGCTTATTCATGGGGTGGGGGCTTATTCAAGGGGGCCTTTTTTGGAGATGGGGCTGATATAGGAGCAGCCAAATATAAACCAAAACAAATTCTCTTCCTCTATATGAAGCACATCAGTTTATTTATTGCTCCCTATTGCTACCAAGGCAGTACTACAGCCTATTGAAGCTTATTCTTGGGTGGGAGGCTTTTGTCACAAAAATTACTTTAGGGTGGTGGCTTATTTGAAGGGGGGCCTATTAGAGGGTGGGGGCTTATTACAGGACTTACAGTAATATAACTGGACACTTAAATTTATCATTTGTAAACTAATCTAATGACTTGTGACTTGTGTAATTATGTAATGGTGATAAGAGATAAGAGAAAAGCGGGGATCTAGAAAAAAGGGGGGGGGGGCTAAAACACAATAAAAAGAGGTTTTATTAATGGTTCATTGCTTAATATAAAGCAGTTTTTGCAAAAAAGCATGGGCTAAAGGCCCCTCCCCCCAAGCTCTCTGCTCCCAGTGCCTCAGCCACTAAACTTTTTGCCTTCACTTTGATACCATTTATGACTACTGATAGGACAGTAAATTCTAATCTGTTGCAAGTAATGGGGAAAATGGGCTTCGGACGCAGGCTGGAAAGTGGAGGTGCCAAGAGACGGGGCCATGGTCCCCCTGGCCCCCCTTCAAGAGAGGCCCTGTAGAAGCCAGGCAGGACTATCATCAATCATTGGTTACAAAACTCAGGAACAATGCTTTAGGGACAAATAAGAAGTACAAGTGAATTATGACCATGAAATAAGATTCAGTGGTGTAATGATAATCGTTGTTGGAAATGGCTTTTACATTGCACATAGAAATTTGACAAAAAATCAGATCAGAATAAAAAATCAGTGTAATCAGAAAAAGTATTGATAAATCTGCTTGAAATATTGCCTAAGAATGCAATCAGACATAAAATAATCATATGGTTTCTACCTGGCAAAAAGTTAAAGACAGAATTTAGAATTAGGATTTTTGTTGAAGGTTCATTAAAAGGGACAAATTGAAGCAAGCAAGATTTCTCCTCAAATAACTGCCTTTTTCTCAAAATTTCAAATTCAATATAGATTTTGAAAGTGAAAAATTTCATTGATACCAAAGAATTTATTTGTATGAACTCAAATATTAAAGTTTTATGATTTTGGGCCGAAATTTGAGGATGAAAATTGCAAGCTGTATTGTATGAAATGAAATGAAAAATGCCAAGTTTTTTTGCTCAAGGAAAGTGAGATTCTGAAATCTATGCAAAAGTGTGACTGCAAAAACGTTCACGACCTGACCGATAGCTACTATCTTAAGCCAATTTTTCCACTTGGAGATATCTGAGAACAGCACTTCACAAGCCACTCCGTAATTCAATTACTCCCAAATGACCCAGTATCTAATAAAGTAAAATGCTAAACACAATTTTTGAAAATCGCATTAAAAAATACGCGTACGCTTGACAGAGTTTGAATGTAAATATCAACAATCATTACTTACTAGGGAGGCTCTGAAACACTGTTTTCTTCGACTGGAGGCATAATTTTCAAACCAAGTTTGTTTTTTCGTGCACCCGCACCCTGAGACATGATTGCTGCTAGCGGGTTAGGCCGAATTCTTCAGGTGCTTTGCTCGCGCGTTAATGCAAAAAAGTTTAACAATACAGTGAAATTTCCTCAGCTAAATTTCCACGGAATCCGCTACTTGCAAAAATCAAGTCCATCATCTATGTAGTATATCCATATGACTCATTTTATTCTCGTCCTTGCTCACATCTGCGACCCGAAAACCCTACACTACAACTGGCAATGTCATGCTCTTCGAGAATCAAACGCTCCTGTGCAGAGGATGCTGCAAATTGAGGGATGGTTACTCTCCGATTCTTTTACACTTTTTTTTATAAGAACAATTTTATAAGAACACGAGCCTCAAAATGGGTCAAAATTCAAGAACAAATTCAGAACAAGCTGAGGCTGAGCTTCTGCAAAATGCAATTTTGAACAACGTTTTTTCTCAAAAACGAGGATTTTCAGCCATGTTTGGGTGCTTTTTCGATGAATATTAAAACATGGCGGCAAATTAAGTTTGTCTCTACGCACTTTGTTGGCAAAAGAGTCCTGAACACCTCCCCAGAACAAAAAGCTAGAAATCGCACTGCTTATACCCTATAAATTTAAAAACAAATTAAGAACAATCCAGCCTCAGATTTTCGGAAAAATTAAGAACAATCAGCCTGAATTTAAATTTACTGGTTCTTATAAAAAAAGGGTGTATATCAGCACAAGTTGTCCTCTTTGCGGCAATAGCGAAGCCAAATAAAAGTAGTTTTTGCTAACAAAATTAGGCGTTTCTCAATCTTTAAGGGCGTGGTCAAAATATAAATACTCTTATATGCTGTTTTTATGCGTTTCTGTTTCAAATTTCATACTTTAGTGCTACACTTTGAAAAGTTCATTTTGGTACTGCAGAAATTTTGATACGTTACAGTTGTTGCAAAATAGTTAAAGGAAGAGTACACAAATTGCTTCTTTTGACCGGCAAAAAATCCTTAATGTGTCGACGGGTAAAGTTTTGTGCACATAGCCACATGAACGTGTAGTGAACCCCTGTGAGGAAGTGAAACCTGAATCTCTTCAAAATGAATATCTTGCCGACAACACGTTATCACATTTTAATGTTTGGGAGTCCTACCCCCAATTCATACCCCCGTTGGTGTCTCCAAAATGGGCGAAGAATTTATGCTTGGCGAGGAGTCGTGCCGTCTTCTTACTGCATGCTGCCCGAGGGCGATGACTTGTAAATGTACCCTCCCCTTCATGCTGGAAATTCCATCAATACTGCGCATGTGCTTAGAATGTCAACCGCTGAGGAAGGAAGAAGAAAGTATTAAAGAGATTCTTCCTTTTCCGCTGCAAGGAAGATAATAAAATTGAACTTTATTCTATGAATCCTTCTCAGAAGCAGGCCTTCTGACAGAAGTTATGTGACCCAAGATTGCCCACAAGTTATATAGGGTATATTCCAAAGCAACTAAAAATGCATGAAAGGGGGCCCTTGAAAGGGAATATGGTTAATTTTCTTTAAAACATTAGTGTTGATCATTATTAAACTTAGTATATTTAATTCTTATCCTAGTCTTTTTAAGAGAGTTCTGCGTCAGAGTGCAAAGCCAATCTGTACATTTCCTCTCCTTTTTCTTTTGTTTTTTCCTTATTTTTCAGGTAGAGAGAGAGAGAGAGACTTGTAGCTTGTCCAATCTGCCATTTGTTCTTCCGATCTTGGTAGACCCGGCCTTCTGTTGAAGCGTTTGTGGACTCCTTCCATCTTGGATTCAGGGGCGTCACTTCATACTTTTCGTTGGAGTGGGTGGCTGCATATTGCCCTGCAGAAAACATCTTGCCCTGGCAAAAGTTGGCCATGTAAGGAACTGGCCCTCAGTTCCCGTAACACTAAACGATTCATCCTCAGATTTTCAAAAAAATTAAGAACAGCCAGCCTGAACTTCAATTTACTGGCTCTTTTAAAGAAGAGTGTAATGGTACATTTTACTAACCTCCCTTAAGGCACCGAAATGTGGAAACCCTTTGCCCCAAATTATGCCAACATATTCATCACAACAATATAACAACATATCTTGAGCAATGCTCCGATGGGGCCTAGTCAAATATTTTGGAAAAGATTTATCGATGACATAATCTTTATCTGGCAAACACAAGCTTGAAAACCTTCAGGTATTTTTTTACAATACACCCTATATCATCCACAAGAAGTAGATATAAAAACCGTATATAGTCGGCTCCCTTCTTAAAGTCACGCTTTTGGTTACAGTCAAAGCAAATTTAGACCAAAATATGCATAACTTTACCATCAAATTTTGACCCAAATAGCCCCGTTTACAGATTCTTAGTTTTCTGGCAAGCGGGGCTTTTTCTAGTTTTAGTTTTTAAATAAGACACAAATATCAACCAAGGGTGTAACCATAGAAATGGGTGTAACACTTAAGGTGAAAGAAAATCAGGATTAATTTAGAAATCTTTTCCATCCAGCCCAAGGTCACGCTGACAATTTCTACTTCGTGTCACTGGTAGTCTGTATCATTTTACTTTTGGAGTAGACAAATGACAAGCATATCCTACTTTCTTGTTACAGTTCCATAAGAAAAACAACAAAACAGACCCTACTTCCCATACCCCTCTTAAGTGACGCCTCTGCTTGGATTTCTTCGCATGCAAAGAGCCATGTACTTCAGAGGATTACTTTGAAATCTAAGGTAATGCTCTGAAGTTTAATCTCCTGGAATTCCATTTAATCTACCTTATCACGAGCTTGTTAATTGGTTTCTTCGTTTCATCTCGGCACTTTTCAAACGTTAAATCTAGGATGTGGATGTGATCAAAGCTTTGCTTTCCAGAGAATAAATTTTCCCTGTTCCGAGAAGGATTTGCACGTTTTACCCTGTTCTCTACTGGAGATTTTGCATATTTCAACTTATTTATTTGAATCATTTGAAAAATATTAACATCACCCACAAAACTAGGTACATACACATTTAGTGAAATATATTCAAATAATTTCGAGAATCAAAACATTTTATGAAAAATAAAACCAATGAAACGGCTTTTTGTAATGAAAATTCCCCTCAGAATGGAAAAGCCATCTGATTATACCTATCAAGTAATCCCCTCATCTAGTTAACAAAGTTATTTTCAGCTGTTGTTATATCTGATCACAAGCTTAATCATAGATCTCGAGTCAAAGTTTTTACTGTAAAAACAGAGAAGGCAGGAAATGCGACGTGATAAGATAAAGGAGACAGACAGTTCAAGAAAATCTTCAGATTCTAGAGAAATAACGAAAAGCATTGAGTTTTTTGAGGCAGGGGTGCACCCAACACGTGTCTCCTCCCCCCCCCCCCAACTCTGGGAAACTGCTCTTTTTCAAGAAGTAACGTCTTTGCTACCCTGGGTGCCAGAGCCTTAGAGAGTCAAAGGATGAAGAACGGGGGAACGAATTGCGAAGGACAATAGAAGAGGAAAGGGGGGAGACGAGGCTCGTCTCTTTGCATAAGTGTCTCCTTTTCTGCGACAAGATGCACACCTTCCTATTTGTATCGTTTCAACTTTGAAGCTGAAGTCTCTGGTAGTAGGGAAAGGAATGAAGAAGAATGAAGAACTTTTATGAATATGGAGAGACTGTTTAGACACCTAAATGCAGGAGAGCTTTCGGAAGCTCCTTCGTCATACGAACAAGTCCTTGATAAATATGAAGCGCTGTACATAAATGCATTTGCAATTTTATGCTCATAAGCTGCATGCTGAGCAAACTAACTAAAAGGGGCACGCGATATGTAAATGCTCGAAAGACCGAATTTGTAGAACAACACCAATATGCCAGACTTTCCTAAGTTCTATTTTTTGATTTTTGTCTATTTTTTGTCCTTTACCCTGTATTATCTCCATCGCAGTTTAGATTTGCCCTCGCAGTGGTACGAATGCTTTGAAGATTTAACAAAAACAAATTTTGGGAAAGTCCACCATTATGTAGACCGAGGGGAAATCACTCCAAAAAAATTTTGTACACCTTTTGTGAAAATCCTATTGTTTTATCTAAAAAACCCTGGAAATCCTTTTTTTTAGGGAAAATCACGTACTTTATTTGCAATAGTGAATTACCCCTCGATGCAGACCAGCAAGGCAAGCAACTCCCCCCCCCCCCAGCCCCCTCCAATCACGGCGACATTTAGCTTTTATTGCCACCCAAGATCTGTGTTCATATCAAACAGTGGTGTTACAGATCTTCCCCATGTAAAGGCTTACTTCATATTGCTGCTGTTGCTGCTTTCTCTACATATCATCGACTTGTTTTGCTTGATGCCAAATGACATGCGCACTGTTTCGAATGTCTAGCCTTAATCAGGGTTGTTTACAAGTTTATTTCTTGGTTCTCGTGACACTGTAAGCAGAGTTCTTGCGTGACTTTCTGTAGAACTTGAAGAGCTGTTTAAAAAATTAAGCTGCTAGGTTTCACAGAACAAATGGGGATTACCCACTGGCATGCCAGATCAACAAGCAGGTGCTGTGTACCTATGCTGATCTAAAAAGGGCAAGATCTCTTCATTGCCTATTACTGCAGGCACGATATTTGTAATAAATTCATCTGCCAACACCGAAATTTATTGTTTCTCTTGAGTTATGTCGGCCTGCAGCACTTTGACGTCTTTCGGGGGAGCAGTTTTGTGCTGAGTCCTCTTTTGATGCAAGAAAGGCTTTACCCCTCGTTATCAACTTGAGCACCCACCCCCTTCTTCTCTTTCCAGCACCACATCCATACGTTTCATAACTTAATTGAAATTATAATCTTTTCATCGCAGTCTTTTCTTAAGAAACTTAGGTAAGGGAAAAGGTCACCCTGGGCGAGGGGCAAATCACTCCGAAAAATCTCGTACACCTTAGGCGGAAATCCTAATGTTTTATCTGGAAATCACTAGAAATCCTTCTGTTTTAGGGAAAATCTCGTATGCTATTTGCAAGAGTGAATTGCCCCTCGACCCTGGGGATAAGAGCCTCATATGATATGCAGCACAAAAAGCGGGGGGGGGGGGGGGGGAGAGAAGGGTTCTACAATTGTTCCTAATGAGTATTCTGAGACATCAGCGTCCATAGTAAGGTAGGGTAAACCTAGAGCAAAAGCTGGAATATGAACGCGGCTACATTTTCAAGAGTGACATCAATGAAAATGAACAAATAAATGATGACCCTGTGGTTTCAGCACTCTGTTTATGCACTGCATTTAGACGTTAAAACAAATGTTTTCTCATCTTAC